AAATCGAACCTGGAGACACAAGTAGAGGTGTAGGGGATGATGAGGGGAAGGCAATGGAAGCGACAAAAAGCCCAAAATATGCGCGGAAGTGCTTGTCGGAGCCTCGCCGGAAATTGCCTCCGGCGACTCAAAATCGGCTCAAATCGCCTCAAAGTCGAGGGATAAGCCGAAAATGGGGAGAAAAGGATGGGTGTGGAGGTGTTTTGGTGAAAGACCGACCAAAAATGACCGAAAATCGCCAAAGAGGGCGAAAGGTCGCTGTTTTCCAACGAGGGGGAGAGGATTCCGGCGAGAGGATTTGAATTTTCTGACCATGCGGCCGTGTCGGCCAAATTTATAAAGGCTGGGCTCGGCCACACGGGCAAGCTCACACGGCCGTGTGAGGTGCACAGGTGCCCGTGTGGGCTGACAGGGACAGGCCGAGGATTTCCACACGGCCGTGTGAAAAGCAAAACTGGCCGTGTGGAAATTGTCGAGGCTTCACACGGGCAGGGGTTCAATCCACACGGCCGTGTGAGGGAGCCCTCCTGCCCGTGTGGATTTTCCAGGGCCTCCACACGACCATAGCCCATATCCACACGGCCGTGTGACTTTTAGGGCTGGCCGTGTGGGCTGCCAGAACTCCGAATTTGACCTGTTTTAACTCAAAATCGACATACGACTCTTGGAAAACACCTCAAGACTCAAAAACACAAAAAATATCAAAAGGCAGAAGGGTAAGAAAATGCAAACCTAGGTGGGGTTGCCTCCCCACAAGAGCTTCTTTACCGTCTTTTAGCTGGACGCCAGTAGGTGGATGCTCAGAGAGGTGTAGGAGCAGGTGCCTTCAAGAGCGGATCCACATTGCTCTTGAGGTACAGCTTCAGATGGTGACCGTGCACACGGCGGGTGTGACCACCAGCACTCGCCAACTCGACTTGGCCATCTGGCAAGATGCAAGCGAGTGAATACTCGGATGGCCAAGGTGGTCGAGGTTCAGGGGGCGGGACCAGCTCGTAGTGGTCTCCGGCTTTCTTTTAAGCAGGCTTAGCTGCCTGCAGTTTCGGCCGTCACTCCTCCTTGATCTGCTCTTTTGGTGACGGAGTGGACGGGAGTGGCGGCGAAGGTATGGGACGGGGATCCTGCAAAATGGGAAGCACAGAAGGATACACGACAGACTCGTGCTCCTGGTGAGAAACAGCATGCAAAGGTGACGAAGCAGGGAGAGTATTAGCAATAAAAAAGTTATTCGCTCCTCGCCATCCCTCAAAACTAAGGTCCCATCATGCACATCTATGAGAGCCTTGGCGGTGGCCAGGAAAGGCCTTCCCAGTATAAGGGGCACTTCTGTGTCCTCATTGATGTCCAAGACAACAAAATCCACAGGATAAAGGAATTTGCCAACCTTAACCAGAAGGTCTTCCACTATGCCCCTAGGATGTACTATAGATCGGTCAGCTAATTGAAGACTCATCCTAGTTGCACGGGGTTCACCTAGGCCTAGTTTCCTAAACAATTAATATGGCATGCCATTGATACTAGCACCTAGATCCGCCAAGGACCTACATGTAACTTACCTATAGAGCACGGGATAGTAAAACTACCTGGGTCCTTCTGCTTCGGCAGAAGCTTGTTCAGTAGAATGGCCGAGCACTCCTCGCTGAGCTCCACAGTGGCCAGCTCGCTCAGCTTCTGCTTCTTTGAGAGAAGATCTTTCAGGAACTTCGCATACTTAGGCATTTGAGATAGTGCCTCCAGGAAAGGTACTTGGACATTCAACTTCCTAAGCATGGACATGAAGCTCTCGAACTCTGCCTCTAGCCTGTCTTTGTGTAACCGAGTAGGGAAGGGGAGTTGAGGGATATACTCCTTTACTACTGGTTGCGGTTTAGGCGCAGGCACCTCAACCTCCTGCTCCACTTCTTCTTCAGCCGCTGGAGATGCCGAGGCAGGGGCCTCTCGCTCTTGTGCCCGAATAGGTGGATCAGGAGTCATCTTGCCACTCCTAGTTGTGATGGCATTGCAGTGGGCATTTGGGTCCTTCAGATTAGGAATGGTATGACCTGGCAAGGTACCAAGAGCCCTTTGCGCCACTGCTTGAGCCACGCTTCCCAGCTGGGTTTGGATATCCTGCAAGAAAGCTTGTGTGTTCCTCTGGCCAACTTCAAGAGCCAGGAATTTACCCGAGGCCTTCTCCATGAACTGCTCGATAGTGTTGAATTTCTAAGCACTAGAACTGGCGAGAGAACCCACCAAGTCCCGCAATTCAGCCATCGGATCATTCTTCACTAGGGTTGCAGGGGCTGCACCTGGCTGCTGGAAAGGTCGCGGTTGTGATTGAGCAGCATGCCCCTGCATGGGCTGGTAGAGAGACTGCTGCTGCTGGAATTGCCCCTGTCTGGGCTGATATGGCGGCTTCTAGAAGCCTGGTGGTCCTTGGGAGGCCGGTGGTCTAGGACTGGCCCCAGCCTAGGAGAAGTTGGGATGCTGGCGCCACCCCTCGTTGTAGGGGTCATTTCGCCTAGCATTATTGATGAAGTTCACCTGCTCCTGGGGTGTGGTCGACTCCCTCATCGCTTGGCAGTCTTCCACCGTGTGATGGGTGCTCTCGCACCACTGGCAGAGCATCGCCTGCTGCTATCCGGTCCCTGGAATCATCCCAGAGCGATCGATGGCTGACACCAGCTTCGACACCACCTGCACCAAATCAGATGACTGGGTGGCTACAGAATGCACACCTCGGCTTGGTGCTCTCCTCGACCTCCTAGCAGTGCCCCAATCGTACATGTTCTCTGCCATATCCTCAAAGAGTTGATTCATTTGTGGCGGTGTTTTGGTCAGCATGTTCCCGCCACAAACCGAGTCAATCAGCTGCTTGTCTTCTGGGAAGAGGGCGTGATAGAAGGTGCCCACCTTGAAGGCGTCAGTAAAACCATGGTTAGGACACTTGAGGAAGAGACTGGTGTATCTCTCCCAAGCATCCCGGATGGTCTCGTCTTCATCCTGAGCAAAATGGGTAATTTGCTTCTGCAGGTCCGCCGTCATGGACGGAGGATGGTAGCGGGTGAGGAACTTGTCCGCCAGGTTGGGGAACGTGCTGATAGAGCCTGGAGGTTGAGTGTCTAGCCACTCCTTGGCTTGCCCCTCCAGAGTAAACGGGAAGTACTTCAGCTGGATGGCATCGGCTGGGGCCCCATTTATCTTGATTCCATCGATGAGCTCGTGGAATCGCCTCAGATGTGATCTGGGGCACTCCCCCTCTTTGCCACGGAACACCACCGAACCGCGCAGGCGCGCAGCATGGTGATTACAAATGTGCTCACCTCAAAATTATTTGCTGCCACATGAGGGTGTTGAATGAGTGACCTCATGTCCGCGGCCCTGGCGGTCCAGTAGTATCCCATGGTCTGTTCCTCTGGAAGGACCACATCATGGTCCTGTGGATCACCCATCTCTTCTTTGTCGGCGATTTGCAGCTGTGCTAACGCCTCCTCCGCAGCCAGTCGCGCCTTTAGAGCCCGCTTGAAGTTCCTGCAGGTTCGTTCAAGCTCCTGGTCTAATGGTAGTAGATCTCCCAACTGGCTACGGGTCATGCACTACCTGCACACAATCAGCAAAGGCAACCCGTGATGGCACACAGGTGGAAGAGAGAAAATGCAGTAAAGAAAAAGCTAGAGTAACAAACTTTCACATTTCTCCAATAACCTAGAGAGTCCCCGGCAACGGCGCCAAAAACTTGACGCCAAAACACAACACCAAACTGCGACCAAGTGTAATCGCATCCCGGGAATGCAGTAAAGTGGCAAGTTCTAAATATCAACCCGGGGTTTAGATCTACTGCCTACTCCGTGATTATCTATTATCTAGCAAACTAAGTCGATTGATTTTGGTCTTAACTGAAAGCAGAAAGAAAGCAGGAATTGATTCGGTTTTCTCAAGCAAAGAAGAGTCAATCGGGAATGAGGCCCCCTAGCTCCTTAGTTAGGTCTCAGTTGTATTTCCCTGGGTTGATTTACTGTTGATTAAACTGCGGAAGATCCGACAGTAGCTTGGAATCTCTTAAGCTGACCAATCCCTCTCAGTCTAACTACCCGGCAGACGACTAGTCTTCACCGGGATAGAAAGCTGAAGCAATAAGCACAGAACTCCACTACTGGAATTGGATTCTAGTACAAACCAATAGACTGGCTAACTCTCGTATAACCAATCCTGAGGAAAGAGAGATGGCTGCATTTCGGGATTGTCTCAATGATTGTGCACTTGTAGATGTTGGGTTCCAGGGGTACCCTTTCACCTGGGATAATGGTCGTGAAGTGGGATTCACGGAGGAGAGATTGGACCGTTATGTGGCGACTGAAGGTTGGTTGGACATGTTTTGAAGTGCGAGGGTCATGCATTTGGATTGGAACCGATCCGATCATCGGCCTATCATTTGCGATACCAAGGGTGAGGAAGATGAAGCAATTAAGTGGGTTTGGTCTTTTAGGTTTGACCCGTTATGGGCTAAACATGAAGAATGCCCTCGGGTTGCTGAGGAGGCATGGCAACAGGGTGGATCAAACGTGCTTGACAGATTAGAAAATTGTAAAAAAGAGTTGGAGAAATGGAGCACCCGGGTCTTTCCTAATTTTTCCAGACAGAGGAAACGGATTGAGAAGGCGATCCGAGCTCTGGATAGAATGAAAAAAAAAACCCAGGTAATTCAGCAGCGACGGTTGCTAGAGGCGGAGTGTGATGAAGTTGAAGCTAATGAGGAACAATTCTGGAAACAAAGATCGAGGGCTGACTGGTTAAAGGATGGAGACAAGAACACAGGTTTCTTTCATAAGAAGGCCACAACAAGAAGGAAGCGAAACACAATTAAGAAATTAAAGGATGATTCTTGGAGATGGTTTGTGGGAACCGAGCAGCTGTTCGACTGTTTGGGACCCTATTTTATAGAGCTCTTTAGAGATGGTCCTGTGCCGAGTGTAACGCTGGTGCTAGAGTCGATTAGGCCATGTATCTTACCTGAGGACAACGCCAGGCTGATAGCACCTGTCAGTAGGGATGAAGTGTATAGTGCGTTGAAGCAGATGGGGCCGAGGAACGCCCCCGGGAAAGATGGTTTGTCGGCCTATTTTTTCAGAAATATTAGGGAATTGTGGGCGATGAGGTGACAGCAGCAGTAATCAGGATAGTTGAGACATGGATTATGCCTAAGGTGAAGCAACCGAAATCACCAAAAGAATTCAGGCCTATAAGTTTTTGCAATGTCTTGTACAAGCTAGTTGCGAAAGTGTTGGCAAAGAGGCTAAAACCGATATTGGATAAAATCATATCTCCGGAGCAAAGCGCCTTTGTCCCGGGTTGTTTTATAGAGGATAACATCATCACTGCTTTTGAATGTTTTCACTCGATGAAGAAGAAGACAAAAGGAAGAGCGGGGTTTTTTGAAGCCAAAGTTGACATGGCAAAAGCATATGATCGAGTAGAGTGGCATTTCCTGGAGGGAGTAATGTGGAGAATGGATTTTGACGAATAGTGGATACGCATAGTCATGATGTGCGTTACTAGTGTATCATTCTCAGTGCTGGTAAACGGGCATCAATCCCCTAGTTTTACACCGGAGAGAGGGATTCGACAAGGAGATCCGTTGTCCCCTTATCTATTTCTGCTCTGTGCGGAAGGATTATCAGCTTATACTAGAAAAGCAGTAGAAGAGAAAAGGATTCATGGACTCCAAGTGGCACAACGAGCCCCAGTGGTGTCACACTTGTTTTTTGCTGACGATAGCATTTTCTTTTGCAGGGCTACTATTGATGAATGCAAAGAGTTAAAAAAGATTTTTCAGGACTATGAAGCGGAGTCATGACAACTTGTGAGTTTTTCCAAATCCGAAGTGTCGTTTAGTGGAAATGTGAAGACTCACCGAAGATTGGAGGTGGGTGGTGTTATGGGGATGAAGGTGGTGGAGAAACACGATAAGTACTTAGGCCTTGCGACGGAAGCAAGACGCTCAAAAAAAGATATGTTTATTGGTGGACGAGAAAGAGTCAAAAGCAAACTAAAGGGCTGGAAAGAACGTACTATTTCGGTTGCAGCTAGGGAAGTCATGATCAAAGCAGTAGCGCAAGCACAGTTGACCTATGCAATGTCAGTTTTTCGGCTCCCAGAAGGTGTCATCAATGAGGTACATAGCCTCACGATAGAGCAATAATTACACATGTTTGCACCCTTAGTTCTTATCAGTTTGCGGCTCGTAGTCGTGTATTTTTTGCTCGTTTTACGCTGGGTTGTGCTACTTTGTCATATTTCAGGTCCCAGACGTCGAAGGAAAGGCTAAGCACGAGATTCGGGGCGTTTGGAGGTCATTCGGTCGAGCTGGGGGCAAAACACGGGCAGGTGGCCCGAGGAACACGGCCGTGTACACAAACAGGCACGCCAGTGTTTTTATGTGCGAGAGCTGAACTGATGGAAAAGCAAAACACGGGTTGGCCTAAAGAAAAACACGGTCGTGTCCATATTTAGGCACGATTGTGTCTTGGCCGACGCGGGCGTGTTTTTAACACGTGGCAAGGGCACGGATGGGCAAAAGCAAAACACGGCCGTGCCCTCGACCGTGTTTTGCCCAGAATCGGGTTTCTGAGGCAGATTCAAGCCAAAGGAAAGCGGGAGCTGGGTTTTGGATCCGAAACACCCAAGGGACGAACCAAAGGGAGAAAGGGCAATTTGAGGGCATTCTAAGAGTGGAATTGGAGGATTTCTTCGCCTTGGAAGCTTGAGGAACAAGCCCGGACTTGAAGACTGATCATCTAAAGATTCTTACTGCAGTCTCTCTCTTCTCTATGGAGTAACTTCCTTTCACTTAGGTTTTGAGGAACCCTAGCCATGTTTGTTTGATTGGATGATTGTATGAGTACTCCTACTTGATAATCTTGAGTTCATATTCAATCTATGCATGTTTTCATGATTCAATTCTGCTTTAGTTGAGATTATTGATTCTGCTTTGATCCTATGAGAGCGAATACCTGATTAGGTCAATAGAGCACCATAGATTGATAGTATTGGATCGATTGCTTTAGTCTAGGGTAGATTCACTGCTTTGTATCGATTGAGAACCTCTTTCGATAGAGGGAGTCTAGTTCAGAACGCCTTGTTCGGTTGTTCTAGAGAAGGATACGTCCCTCTAGGCAATTGACTCAAGAGGGCCTTGTTCCTTTAGTCGAGACTCAAGGTCTAGTCAAGGATTCTCCGCATTGTGAATGAAAGTGAAACAGGTTAGAGATCATCAATCATTAATCTGGCTAGTGGATAGGGGGAATCATACCTAAGTGAGTTCCCAACCTGTAATTAGATTAACTTTAACTATAGTTTGCTAGAGTAGTTTTAGTTCTTTTGTCTTAATCTGGTTTGCTAGATAATGAACTGAAGATGAGTAATAGTAACTCTAGAGACCCGTGGATTCAATATTTATTACTTGAGCCACTATAATGCAGTCCCTTTCATTGGTTACACTTGGCTTTTGTTAGGAGTTTTGTCATAGCGAGTCAAGTTTTTGGCGCCGTTGCGGGGACTTTCTAGATTATTAGGAAAGGCAGAAGTTTGTTACTTTAGCGTTTTTCTTTTCTTTTCCACCCTTGCTTTTCACTTGGGTGTTTTTGTTTTTGTTGGTGCAGATCTGAATCATGGATCCTCATGGCTTCTCCAATCATTGGGGGTATCCACTACCGTCCGAGTGGTATTACCCCGAGACTCCCTGGAGCAATCAAGGAGGATAAGACTATGGATTCGGGTTCCAGTACCAACCCCCTTACTACGGAGAAAAATCAGACCCTTGGGCATATCAAGAACAACCTCATTACCAAGAAGACTTTCTCCCACAACCAGAAGGGCCATCGACGCTCGGATTACCCATGGCGGCCTTCACGAGCCATTCTGCAGAGCCATGCTACACTCCACAACCAGATCCAAACTATGAATTAAGGCTTCTCATGGAGCAGTTTGCTCGAGACAGTGTGAGATCATGGTCCAGGATGGATCTTTGTACCCAGACCTATCGTGAAACAGAGGAGATCCTCCTGATCATTAAGAAGAGCATCGATGATCTTGAGCGATCTTATGCACAACCTGCTCCAGATCGCCCTTCTACTACCATACTAGAAGAGGTGGAGGAAGAAGAAGGCCATAAGGACATTGTGGAGCACACTAAAGTTGTCACGGAGAGCTCCTGTGATGATCATGATCAGGAATGTCCTGTCGTAGCCGACCACACCTTCCCACATCCCAAACTGAGCTTTGAAGAGGCGGACATGAGTGAGGAGATGCAAGAAGATCTCATGAAGGAAATTGCTTGGCAACTTGCTCTCAAATCCGTGCTAGAAGAAGAAGAGCGAGAAAGGGTGCAGAAAGAAGTTGTGGAGGATGACGAAAGTGAAGTAGAAGGAGTTCTTGATCATTTACCAGGGGTGATACCACATGAAGAAGGAAGGGAGGTTGCAGAAGCAATTGGCGTCCAGGCCGGGGACGAAGTTGAGGTGGAAGAGGCTTGCACCGGCCATGAGTTACATGTGATATCTCCACCAAACTTCGAGGAACTGCTTAGCAAGGACCCATTTGCATTGTCTCTTTGCCAGACCACGGCCACGTCAACATCGGTTCCTCTTGGTGGACGCAATGGTGGTCAATCATTGTCGTCATATCTGGTTTGGGGCAATGAGACGAGAGAAGAGAAGAAGAGGTCTCGAGGGTGGAGACGTTATCTGCATCAAGTGCATGAGCTTCCATCACCTATCATACCACATGCTTGTGACTTGAGACTCCACCTCATCGACGAGAACCTCAACTTCAAGGAGGTTTTGGGGTGGAACGAACCTTAGGAGCCATCGTCCTGCTCACGACGTAAAAGAAGCGCTTGTTGGGAGGCAACCCAACCATTCGGTTTGCATTTATTTCTCTTTTTCTCCTTGGTTGAGTCAGTTTTGTTATTTGATTTTAGAGTCAATAACTCAACCTTTGAGAGATTTTGTGTGGTGTTTGTGTTCCGACTACTCTCTCCTCCTGGAATGCACTGCCTGCCTCGTCCAACATCATTCACCCTTGATCTGGTAACTTCGTTCTACCCTCCTTATCTTTCCTCCATTGAGGACAATGTCGTGCTTAAGTGTGGGGGGATGTTCGATTATGTATGCGGGTGAATGTTTGGCTGTTTGTGTGCTTGGAGCCTAATCCACTGTCCAAATTTTTAAATTTGAGGGCTCCAAGTACGTGTTTCCTTGCAAATTACCTGCTCAGTATGTTTTGAATTGACAGTCTCTATAGTAATGTGAAACCTAGGGAGGTAGTGTAGCACTATGGAGGATGTTGAAGAATAAGATTTTTCCTATCTAGCTCTCTGTTGTGCCAGTTGATTTTGTGAATTAGTGGAGCTAAGACCGTTGAATTCATGTGGTAATGGTGACTCTGTTTGGATTGTGTTATGGACTCGTGTATCGAACAGGGTGCTCATGTGGAAAATGAAAAGCAGTTGGTCCTCCATGTCGAAATCATCGAAATCTTAAACATGGGGTAAGCCCAACATGTGTGGCACCGTTCATTGCACAAAATCGAGTTTTGGAGGCGATTTTAGTGATCCTTAGTGGGGTACCCCCACAAGGTGAAGCTAGGCTATCTCTAGTACAAGTAAAACTTCCACCCGTTGAACGGTTTGCCTACTTGAGGATGTGCTTTTAAGGGAACGGATAGAACTTCTGACCCCCTTAATTTCATTGACCCTCCACACGAGTTGAGGAAAAGGAGTTAAAAGAAGTACTCTGGCGAGCGCCAGATGTGCAGAAATTGCTCTTGCTCGACTAATAAGGGTCGGCCGGGCAAAAGACTGCAGTTGGAACCCCCACAAAGTGAATGAAAAGAAAAGAAAAAAAACTTAAATGAAAGTGAGAAAGGGGTTCCAACGGTGAAATGAAGTGAAAGAGCACCCCGGTACAACGAGTCCTTGGTTGTGAATGGTGTTAGTCCCTTTATCCATGAAATGACTGTCTTACTTCTACTTCTTCTCATGATCCTGGCTTGAGTCTAGTACTCGCATTGAGAGAGATAGGGGACGTCTTAGAAGACCAGTTGACCTCGTAAGCTGCTTTATGATCTAGAAAATCCTCTACCGGCGATCGGGGTTGTTTGTTGCTATAGAGGTCTGGAGAGTTGCATTGGTTTGAGTTAGGTTTGCTTGGGGACAAGCAAACGGTTAAGTGTGGGGGAGTTTGATAGAGCAATAATTACACATGTTTGCACCCTTAGTTCTTATCCCTTTGCGGCTAGTAGTCGTGTATTTTTGGCCCGTTTTACGCTGGGTTGTGCTACTTTGTCATATTTCAGGCCCCAGACGTCGAAGGAAAGGCTAAGCACGAGATTCGGGGCGTTTGGAGGTCATTCGGTCGAGCTGGGGGCAAAACACAGGCAGGAGGCCTGAAGAACACGGCCGTGTACACAAACAGGCATGCCAGTTTTTATGTGCGAGAGTTGAACTGATGGAAAAGCAAAACACGGATTGGCCTAAAGAAAAACACGGTCGTGTCCATATTTAGGCACGACTGTGTTTTGGCCGACGCGGGCGTGTTTTTAACATGTGGCAAGGGCACTGATGGGCAAAAGTAAAACACGGTCGTGCCTAGGGGTGGGCAAACGGTTCGGTAAACCCGAACCGAACAGAATTAAACCGAACCAAAACCGAAATAATGCTATTCGGTTCGGAATTCGGAAGGAAAATATAGATATTTCGGAAACCAGGGTTCTTTCAACTGAACCGAAATTCCAAATTTCCGACCGAAAAACTACAATTGCAACCTCCAAATGGTGGATTTTTATATTTATAATTGTTTTTTTACTTAAATATTTGAAATGTTATATGACTTATGTGCTGAAAAGTTTCATTTTATCATTGATTATGCATATAATTGCATATTTATTGTTTATATTAGGAGTGAAAAATAATTTAAAAGTGAGAATATACAAGTAGCCTCACAAATTCGGTATTGTGTTAAAAATCGAACTAAACCGAATTATAAATCTGTTTAAACCGACCGAACCGAATTATAATTCGGTTCGAATTCGGTTTGAGGTTTGGGAGAATTCGGGGACCCGGTATTCATAATTTCGGTTCGGTCTCGACCGAATGCCCACCCCTAGCCGTGCCCTCGACAGTGTTTTGCCCAGAATCGGGTTTTTGAGGCAGATTCAAGCCAAAGGAAAGGGGGAGCTGGGTTTTGGATCCGAAACACCCAAGGGACGAACCAAAGAGAGAGAGGGTGATTTGAGGGCATTCTAAGAGTGGAATTGGAGGATTTCTTCGCCTTGGAAGCTCGAGGAACAAGCCCAGACTTGAAGACTGATCATCTAAAGATTCTTACTGCAGTCTCTCTCTTCTCTATGGAGTAACTTCCCTTCACTTAGGTTTTGAGGAACCCTAGCCATGTTTGTTTGATTGGATGATTGTATGAGTACTCCTACTTGATAATCTTGAGTTCATATTCAATCTATGCATGTTTTCATGATTCAATTCTGCTTTAGTCGAGATTATTGATTCTGCTTTGATCCTATGAGAGCGAATACCTGATTAGGTCAATAGAGCACCATAGATTGATAGTATTGGATCGATTGCTTTAGTCTAGGGTGGATTCACTACTTTGTATCGATTGAGAACCTCTTTCGATAGAGGGAGTTGAGTTCAGAACACCTTGATCGGCTGTTCTAGAGAAGGATACGTCCCTCTAGGCAATTGACTCAAGAGGACCTTGTTCCTTTAGTCGAGACTCAAGGTCTAGTCAAGGATTCTCCGCATTGTGAATGAAAGTGAAACAGGTTAGAGATCATCAATCATTACTCTGGCTAGTGGCTAGGGGGAATCATACCTAAGTGAGTTCCCAACCTGCAATTAGATTAACTTTAACTGTAGTTTGCTAGAGTAGTTTTAGTTCTTTCATCTTAATCTGGTTTGCTAGATAATGAACTGAATCTGAGTAATAGTAACTCTAGCAACCCGTGGATTCGATATTTATTACTTGAACCACTATACTGCATTCCTTTTCATTGTTTACACTTGACCTTTGTTAGGAGTTGTGTCATAACGAGTCACCTCATCACCAATTTATGGTGGAGCCAAAAGGGCGATGAAAAGTGTGCTCATTGGCTCAGACGGGAGGAGATGGCGGTCCCGAAGAGTGAAGGTGGAATGGGATTTCGCTATCTGGGTGGGTTTAATGTGGCTTTGTTAGCTCGGCAGTTGTGGAGCATGGCGGCACACATTATGGCACACTGTGATATGAGCTGGGATTCTCCAGTAGTGTGGGTTGATAGTCCTCAAAATTTCCTTATTAATCAGCTGATTTTGGACAATGTAACGATCTCTTCTGATTAATAAGATAAGCAGATTTCCATAAAAAAAAGGTTAGAAGACTTCATTATTAATCAGGATGTTACGTACAATGGGCTCGTTCTTTAACTAGGAATTTGGAGCATTCCTATGACCCATTCTTTAAGAAGGGAGCGCAGTAGTAGTGTTGCTTGCTTCCGCCTTCGTGGATGCCCATGGGCCTTGCTATTCTCATTTGGGCCAAAGAAAATATAACATGTTTTATGTCAGTTCTTGCTTTCACTCTTTGGCTAGAGAGAAGTTCAATGGAGCGGACAACTTTCCATATATATTCCACAAAAGAAAAATAAAGAAAGAAGTTTGTTTTCTTGAAGTACAACTAAAAATTCAAATTCCTACTCATACTAATTTGTGCTTTAGTTTGCCATGAAGCATTGCCATCATCGGCCATCTGAAGAAGGTTGTCTTTCAATTTCCGAATAGGTGTTCTCTTTACAAGTGTTCCAAAAGTTTATTTCCATTCTTTCGTTGGTGTGTCCCTTTCTTGCAGATTTCTCAAGGCATGTTTTGAAGAATTTGATAACGCGGAATTAAAAATGAATACATAACACGAGACAAGGGGTTTTACGTGGTATTCTCGATCGATTGATTGATCGAGAGTAATCCACGGTGAGCTCGGAAGAGCTCACGACAGACGTTTTATTATTTGAGGACTACATCTTGATAGCTTGCTTACGACAGGTTCGTAGCTAAGTCTTATATAAAGATATACTAGGGTTAAAACCCTATTGACAACCAAGTTTCCTTCTTTGACAAGGACAAGGAAACAAGGGACTTGGAGGACAAGGAATTAATTATTTTTGACTAAATAATTAATATCCTCAACACTCCCCCTCAAGCGAAGACATGAGTGACAAGAATATCGAGCTTGAAAAAGGAAATGTAACGAACAAGCATGACAAGCTTGAACAACAAAACTCGAGATGAATAACATCTCGAACGAGGTTGATTTGGAGACAGTTAACTCTCTCCCTTGAACAACCTGATGAAGACGGTTGACTACATCTTCTTGAACGTCGTTACAGAGACGGTTGATTACGTCTCTTGAACGATCTGACGGAGACGATTGACTGTGTCTCTTGAATGACTTGACGGAGACGATTGACTACGTCTATCCGTATGATATGGTGGAGATGGTTGACTGCATCTCTTGAACGACTTGACTCTCTATTCTCCCCCTCAAGCTGACGCATGAACGATGTGAATGCGCAGCTTGAAAGTTAGAATGGTGATGACTTAACATTGAACGATGTTGAATGCTGAGGGGACGATCGTTACTGGGATCGTGACTGCCTCGCTTTATGACTTGACCATTTTTTTTTTTTGAAGAAAACTTTATCTCCCCAACAATATCTATTGAAGAGACAATGACTAACAACATTAACACGTCCCCCTCAAACGAAAGCCACTCACAAGGGCTGGAAGTTTGCACATGTCTGAAGATAAGAATACCATGTGCTTAACAAATGGGGGTCATTGGGAATCGAACACAAGACCTCTCGGTCACAGAAGGCTCTGATACCATGTCAAGAACCAGTTGATCCCAATAACTCGAGTTGTTGGGAGAAGGTTCTGCTGGAACTTATACAACTCGCTAACACGCCCCCTCAAACGAAAGCCAACCCATGGGCTTGAAGTTTGCACAGGCCCACCATACCTTGTGCTTTAATCAACTGTTAATATTGGGGGTCGTGGAGATTCGAACACACAACCACTTGGCCAAACCAGCTCTGATACCATGAAGAATTTGATAATGCGGAATTAAAAATGAACACATAACACGAGACAAGGGGTTTTACGTGGTATCCTCGATCGATTGATTGATCGAGAGTAATCCACGGAGAGCTCGGAAGAGCTCACGACTGACGTTTTATTATTTGAGGACTACATCTTGATAGCTTGCTTACGACAGGTTCGTAGCTAAGTCTTATATAAAGATATACTAGGGTTAGAACCCTAATGACAACCAAGTTTCCTTCTTTGACAAGGACAAGGAAACAAGGGACTTGGAGGACAAGGAATTAATTATTTTTAACTAAATAATTAATATCCTCAACATGTTTGGGCTTGGCCTTGCTTGATTAGATTTAAGATTCGTCATGACTTCGGTTTTTAGTTTTGCATGTATAATCTCTTGGTGCATTTGGCTGGGCAAAATGAATTTTTAACGATTCAGATATTGATATGACTAGTCTTGTGTATATGTTTACCACTAAAATTAACTTTGTACCACATCGGTTAAAAACAAGAAATTAAATGGCTTTAGAAGGTCAACTTAATTATAACAATTAAAATCAATTAAGATGGGCCATGTGGATTGGATTTTTTGGCCCATGGCACCCATGCCAAAGTCACTCTAGGCGCCACTCTTGTCATCTATTTAAAAATTTGGCTAAGTGTTGGAGCCATCCCCCAAGACGTGGCAAGCAGGGATGGCAAAAATATCCGCAACCGTGGATATTCGCCCGAACCCGGCCTAATCGGGTAGGGTAAAACCCGAACCCTAAGAACATTTAGTGGGTACGGGTAAAACCCGAACCCGAATATTGCGGGTAATGGGTGGGCATGGGTTTCTCACTATCCAACCCGAATCCGCCTGATTATACACATACATATGTATTTTGTCTAGAAATAATCATTATTTTTCTCTAACATATTTTATATTTAGCATATAAATATAATATTTTCATGAAATTGGGTTGTTTTAATTAATTTTCTTCATTCTAGTGAATTATTGTCATACTTTTCCTCTTACGTAATGTGAGAATACGTGTGAATGTTAACATATTGGTTGCAGTTATGAAGAGAAATCATTACCCGGCTATGGGCATGGTTTTAAATTTCTACCCATTTCACATGTGGGTATGGATATGGGTAAAACTCGAACTACTTTGGGTAGGGTAACGAATATTCACTATCCGTACCCGACCCGACCCATTGCCATCCCTAGTGGCAAGGGGGTGGATACAATATCGCCAGCCCCGAGACGTGGTGATGGGGATGGAGGCCCGGTAAAATTTGGCTAAGTATGAAAGATGATGGAGGTGGTCTGGGCCCCCCCATGGTATGATCAAGGGGATCAACAGGTCACCAACGTCAATAATGGCCAGGGATGGTCATCATCATACCCCCATGGTATGATAAGGGGGTCATTTTGGGTGAAATTTGAATTAAGTCTGGAACCAACAAGAGGTGGGGATCAACATATTCCCCCATGAGGTGGTCAGGGGGGTCACACAAGATACCACCCCATGGTGTGGTCAGGGGTATGGGGCACTCGTAAATGGTGAAGTATTTTTGTCATGTTTGATTCATGTGATTCGAGTACCCACCCATATGTGGCACGTGGTCTGCATTCATGCCTTACCCATTTTTTCTTTATAGAAAAGTGAAGCTATGAAGGAGATACCAAGAGCAGGGAGTAAGGTCTCAAGAGGAGGGGGTCAAGACCAAAGAAGGTGGCACATCCAACATCAGGGTAACCGTCATAGCAGTTGAGAGGGTAACCGTCACTCCACATCAGCGGAGCAATTTCTTAAAGCAGTTACTTCTCGTGACTATAAATAGGAGGTGAAGATGACAGAGAAAGGGTTCGCCAAAATCACACCAGACAACCTATTGTCAACTTTTATCTTTATCTTTACCTTTTCCTCTGCAAATGTAGTCATAGCCATAGTCGTAGATCTGGAGCTCTCATTGAACCCCCATAGGAGTAGTGGTAATTTAACTTAGCTTTGTCTCGTAGATCATCAAAAACATCGAACACCCTTGTTTGAACTTTGTTCAAAGAGGTGTGAACTGTGTTTGTCAATCGTTGGTAAGAAGTCAAAAAGTGCAAAAATCAATTCTCTGTTCATCTAGATTTTCTCGTCGGGAAAACAAATTGACACACCTGGTGGGACACGTGTGTTCGATTTGATGGCTCCGAGGCGGAGGAATCAAGAAGGTGACACTCTGGCTGGTTTTGTGGAGGAGCAGGTGGACAACATTGAACATGGCCAAGTGTGAGAGGCGGTGTCCGGAAACAATGGTGGGGCAGAGGGGGTCCTTCATCAAATGATGGAGGAGAACCGCAAGCTGGTGGCAGAGAACCGTCAAGCCACAGACAAGAACCGCCAAATGATGGTAGAGAACCGTAGCATGATGGAGGAGGCTAGAGCTGCTTCTCATCAGGTAAATTCTCAAATGGACTATCTTAATTCTTAAGCTGATAGACGTCTAAGTCAATTATTTGAAGTGGTCAATAAGAACAAAAGTGATTTTGATGAGTTTAGAAGGTTTTTAACCACACCAATAATCCAATCTAGAGCTCTGCCATTAGATGGCGGGAATTCAAACCCCAATAGCAATTCTGAAAATTTTAGTTCATCTCCGCTCGGCAGCGAAAATGGTCAACCCCGGCAAGATAACTTCTCGTTGCCGATGACAAACAAACCAACCCCTCACCGCATGGATCGCGATGAGATTCCCGCCACTACTCAGGTGGAGGGGGTACCCAATGTGGGAGTTGGAGAAATTCCCCCACGTGGTGAAAATTTGGGAGTCACGCATTCTGCTCCAGTGGAACCGCCACACATACCCATACCAGTTGCAAGGCCCTATACGGTGCCTGCTCACTTGGGAGGGGAAGTAGGGTTAGGTGGGGGTGATCAAATTCCTCCAAGGGTGTACCCAACACCTGTGTCATCCCATCTTAATGGGCATGGCATGGACCCCATGGGATTTGTCCCCCATGGGGGGCAACAAGGGGGGCATTGATCCAAATACTCTAAGGGATCAGGTGGCTCAACTTCTCGCAGAGCAATTTGGCATGGGAGTGAGACCCACCATGCCTCCTGTCTATCGAAAGCTCTATCCTGAGTGGGTGGATAGACTATACCCATTCCCAAGGGGGTTTAGGGTGCCCGAGTTTGTCACGTTCACTGGAACAGGAGACCAGTCTACTGTGGAGCACATTGGACGCTTCACTGTTCAGTGTGGGGACGTAGGAGATTTTATTAGGTTAAGAGTATTTGGCAAGTCACTGACAGGACCTGCTTTTGCTTGGTATGTCAACTTGCCATCTAACTCTGTTCACACGTGGCAACAAATGAAGAAAATCTTCCATGCTCAGTTTTATAGATCTGAGCGTGAGGTTTCTATGGCTGACTTGGCATGAATGCGCCAAGATCCAAGGGAGCCGGTGGAGCAGTTCTTAACAAATTTCAAGAATGCTCGTAACCGTTGTTTTGTCAAATTAACAGAGAGAGAGTTTGTCAAGTTAGCACAAGGGGGTTGAGTTTTGAGTTAAGGAAGAAATTCCAAGATAGGGAATTCTCATACTTGTTCCAACTCATGTCTTGTGAGGTGAGATATGAATCTCTTCTTCAAGAAAAGGAAAATAGGAGGAGTGCCTCAAGGGGATAATACTTCCCCAACATTGGCTACCCTGTTGATCATATTGGCCAAGAGGCCAATGAGGTGGAGGTAGACCTGGCTGAGTTAATTTCAAGGAAGTCATATGTATGTGCTTCTTTGGCTAAGATGGATAATGAACCACAAGGGGGTAGACCAAATCGTGCCCCCATCTAGCCACGAAAGTACTCTTTCGATATCTCCAAAGCTGACTTGATTTTTGACCAACTCTACAAAGATGGTCAAATCAAGTTGACAGGGGGGCATAACATCCCACCCCCTGAGAAGTTAAAAAGGAAAAAATATTGTAAGTGACATAATAGCATGTCACACTCTACTGACTCATGTGTGATTTTTTCGCAATGTATTGCAGGATGCCATCGAGAGAGGTCGCATCAAGTTCCCTGAGCCAAAGAAGGATGCCATGTTGGTGGATACCAACTCGTTTCCCAACGTTTTGGTGTTAACTTGGTTAATCCAGACTTCTCCAAGATTGAGCTTCCCCGTTTCAATCTCGTGTTAGATACAACACCGCAACAAGGGAACCCCAATGTGGTGGTTGAGCAGGGGGAGTCATAAAGGGGCAAGCAGGCCAACTCGGCCGCATCTTAGTTGTCTAGTGAGGTGGAGAAGGTATGTGTCTAATGCCAAAGGAGTCTTAGACTTGATGAAGTTAGAACAAGTTGACCCGTCCAACAAATACTTGATCCACCCCATAGGCCGAGATACCCACCTTATCAAAGACAAGTAGAGGGGTTCATTCCACCAACTTGGGGGCAAAGGGGCCAATGGATGGCACATGACCCTCTTCTGATGAGAATGACTTTCAAGTTACCCAATGTGCCACAAGGTGGGTGGCATACTTATGACATGCATCGTCAACAACCTGTAGCTATTGGGGGGACGACGAGAACTCAAAGGAGGAGATTACTACGTAAAAATGCCATAGAGCGTCGAAAATAATATCCAGTAGCACCTGGTGGGTTGGTCGACCCATCACAAGAAAATGATGATGTTCAAGATAGTATCAAAGTGGCCAACTCTATGGCCACGGGTCTCAAAGTAACAGTGACTGAAAAGGGCAATCATGTCCAAGTTCAAAGTGATGTTAAGGGCCAAAAGGGGTTGGAGGATAGATCACAAGAAGAAAGAGATGGTTATGGTGACGAGAATGGTGAGCGTGTCAGGGGAAACATGTTCAAAGATGAACATCCCAACTCCAAGTGTGACAGGGTTAAGAAAGATGATGAAGGGGATGCTGTAAAGTCAACTTGTGAAGAATTATCTCCTCTAAACAACCATGGCCATATGATGTATGGTTGGCTTGTTTGGTTTAATCCATGGACTTGGCAATGGGTGTATACCTTTGGCACGTTGGTTATTGCCAAAGGGTATGGAGATCAATGATACTTGTAACTACTTAATATATGTAGTAAGTATAAAAAAAATATAGAAAAGCCAATCATGGTTATATATAAATGTCGAATTAGCAAGTTTGAGTAGGAGTTGGTAGGTTTCGATGTGAGGATCTTACCAGGACTAGTAAGCCTCAATCACTACTCATACTGCTCGGCCATCAAGGTGGCCTAATCATGCCAAACCTTATAATCTTGCTAAGGTATGAACCATACCCCTCATGACAAGACTGGGGGGTGATGGTTGGTGGCATGGGGTATGATTAGTAGTAGTTGGGATTAACTAGGGGCATGACTTTGTTTTGGCTCCAATGATTTCACAAGGTACAAGCCACATGATTTAAGAATGACCATGAGTGTCGCTGGTCACAATGGCATGGGGGCACGGTTTGGATCGAGATGGAAGAAGGACTATGGGAGGCACGATGAATTAGATAAGAGATTGAAGCTATTAAATCCTTTCTATTAAGGAAAATATTTGATTTTACTGTTCGACAATGTACTGATCATCTGGTTCAGTTCGGGTGGAGTCTTGGTAAGAATGTCCCCTCCTGGGCATAGAGACTCGATCACCCTCTGGCTTTCCGGAGAGAGAGCACTGTAGAAGTTCCCCACTGTGAATGCATCACTAAAGCCATGATGGGGACACTGCCAAAAAAATCCCATGTACCGCTCCCATGCATCACGAAGTGACTCATCTGGCTCTTGTCGGAAGTGGGTGATCTCCCGCTGGATCTCTGTAGTCTTCGATGCCGGATAGTACCTGTGCACCAATTTGTCAGCTAGATCATCCCAAGAGGTGATGGACAATGGGGGCTGGGTCTCCAACCACCTCTTAGCATTCCCCACCAGAGAATGGGGAAAGAGGTGAAGGCGGATTGCATCATCAGGGACACCGTTCAGCTTGAACCCGTTCGTCAGCTGCAGGAAACGGGACAGGTGCACCCTTGCCTCCTCATCCTTCAAGCCATGAAACTGGACGGAGGATGTAATGAGTTGAATCCAGCATGGCTTGATCTCGAAATTGTTCGCTGGAATGCGCGGATAGAGGATGACAAGGCGAATGTCAGCAACCCGTGGAGTATAGTAGTACTCCAAAGTGGGACCCGGTGGTGGTGGGTGATTCCCCAAGAGCTGATTCCCCGGGAGTGGATTGTGATCTCCTTCCATCTCGTACTCTTCTTCGGACTCGCTACTCAAATGGTCGTCTATGCGCTCCGCCGTAGCCAGTCTAGCTTGCTGTTGTCTCCTGAGTTGGCGACAGGTGCGTTCAATCTCTGGATTCAACGCCAGTAAACCTCCCGACTGGCTACGGGTCATGCACTACCTGCACACAATCAAGCAAGCAAACCCGTGAAGGCACAAGTGGGAAAGAACAAACAGTTAATGCAAAAACGAAAGTGCTAAATTAACAGAAATCACTTTTCTTCAACAACCTAGCCGTCCCCGGCATCGGCGCCAAAAACTTGACTCACTCTTACTGTCACTCTAGAAATTGGCCAAGTGCAACCACTTCCTAAAGCGTAGTATAGCGGGTTTGGGTTTTAATGTCAACCCGGGTCCTAGATTTGATGACTACTCGGTGAATTCTTGTTATCTAGCAATGAAACTTTAATGCAAGTCTAAACTAACAAACAAGTAAAGCAACTAAACGGTTGTTTTCAAGTTAAGAGAGGTCACCCGGATATGGTTCCCCCTAGACTGCAGTTAAGTCGGATTGCAATTACCAAGTTCAGTTTCTATGATAGTTATACTGCGGAAGGTTCTTAAGCAGTCTGAAGTCTCGACTAAAGGTCTCCAGACCCTCTCAATCTAAGTCTCTAGCGGGCGACTAACCTCCACCGGAGTAAACAGATTGAGGCCCTACGAACAAAACCTCCACTACCGAAGTGAATTCGGTACAGAATAGTGAGTTGGCTCCTCGACTAAAGTCACCAACTCCCTACCTTCAATCAAGTATGCTCTATCAACCTAGGCAGATATTCTCATTCTAGGTTAAAGCAGAAACAACAAGAATTTGATCAGGATTCAAGTCATTCAATCATTCAAGCCTCAATCGAATATAATCAACTCATAGAATCAGTACTTGGGTTCATACAATCAAACCTAACATACAAATCTAGGGTTCTCCATACCCAGATGAATGGGAGAACTACTCCATGGAGAAAGAAGCAAAAGCAGAAGCAGACGCGGAAATCATACTGTGAAGAATGGATTTCTGCTCCTGGACGTTGATCGGCACTTCTCCAAGCTCAAGCCGGGCTCCAATGGTGATGAAGATCAAGCTATGGCACTTGGGAACTCTTATTCGTCGCTTTCTCTCTCTAGGAATCGCTCTATCTCTCAAAAACTCGAATCCCTTGATCTTTGGCCTTCTTTTCCTTTAAAACAGCTTCCTGTCGCAATACCCGGTCGAAATACCCGGTCGGGTATTTTGGGTCTCGACCGGGTATTATTAAAACGCGCGTTTCGTGCCAGGGGAAAATCCCCGGTCTGCTCCAATAATCCCCGACCGGGGATTTAAGCTTCACGCCGGGCCCCCCTCTGTTTCTCACGGGTGCCAAAACAATAAATACCCGGTCGGGTATTTTAGCCCCCGACCGGGTATTTTCCTCCTGCAGCACACTTCGACCCAACTTCGCTCCTTTCGACCCAAAACTCGTTTCCTCGCCTCGATTCCAACGCCGGGTCCTGAAATATGACATAAACACACAACCTCGCGTGAAATCGGCTTAAACACGAGAGTCAACCTCTCAAACGGCTCAAGAATAGGGGTAAAAACATGTGTAATTATTGGTCTATCAAGTCTCCTCCTTTTAGCCAATCGACCCTTTAGCGTTGCTTCTAGTAAAGCTCTTCATTGTGATCGAGTTCCTCCTCTTCCTTGTCCAGCTGTTTGAGCTGTGTCTCTACCACAAGGGAGCGTCGGGTTAGTTCGAGCATCTTCCGAGCTCTCCTGATGCGGGCTCTATGGATCCGGAAGTTTGGGAAGGCTGTTCGGCTCCATTGCTCAAACTTTGACCTGCAAGATAGCAATTTTGTTAGAGTATCCGCATGTGGGTCTTGCTTCCATGCCTCCTCGATCACTTTCGGGCACTCTCCATGTCGTACCCAGTGGGGGTCGAACTTAAACGACCATTCCCACTTTGACTCCTCATCTTCCTCCCCATTCGTATCACATAGAATAGGCCTATGGTCAGATCTCTCCTTATCAAGGTGACGCACTCGGGCAGTTGGGAAGACTGAAGAGAGCCTTCCAACCATCATTTGCGACAAATCCATCAATCCTTTTCCTCAATATATCCGTCTCCAGATCGTCGATTATCCCAAGTGAACTGATAGCCGCTGTACCCCAAATCAAATAATTCAGCTCCCATAATGCACGTATGAAAATCCATCATTTCTCCTGCTCAGCTCCTGCCCAGCTCCCACTAAAAGTAACCTTAGTAAAAGAAAGTTGAAACTTTGCCTTTCAGAGCGAATCTATTGTTGAAGTTAGATAATAATAATAATAATAATAATAATAATAATAATAATAATAATTTCCCAGCATTCCGTTCCGTGTTTCATTCAGTAACAATGCACCACCAGACAAGACATAGAACCCACACACAGCACATGAAGAAAATCAGTGTGAGTGCCCTAGAGCTACGGAGAGACAAGGAGGCAGCATAGGCCAGAGAGACCAGATAACACAAGCTGCATGTGTCTGGCCCCCTTTCCTTTCCACTGCATTAGACAAAAACATCAATCACTCAATTCAAAAAAGTCTTCTCTGGCAGTGGCACGGCAGCAGCAGCAAACACACCCATTCCATTAGCTAAATCCCTCGTTACAAGACACGAAGAATGCCAAAACCGGGTCTCTTTGGTCCATTGTTAGTTTATCTTTTGGTCTCACAGCAGCATCTTCGGCATGGGCTCAGGCAATAATACACTCACACTCTCTCCCTCCACAATAATTTCTTTACCTATATTTCCCATCTCAAAAACACAACCAAAAAAAAATAATCATCCAACACAATGAAAGCTTTGTATCTTCTTCCATTCCTCTGTCTCCTAGCAGCTGCTCTGTATTTCTCTTCCCATGGTTTCAGCTCGTCGTCTACTAATTTGGTTCCCCTTCCGAGCAGGAGATCTATGCGAGAGTGGAACATCCCCACATCTACCACACAACTTTATGTATACGGCAACAACAAGGTATGTGACTGTCCTTGCCACCGTCTAAGTTTTGGTCTGCTTATTCATGCTACAGCTAGCTAGAAATGTGTCTCTACATCAATCAATCCTTGTCCTTGTAGTTGATGTTGCCTATATGTATAATCTTGCAATTGCAGGATCTGGAGCAAGACGAACAGGAGAATATCAAGGAACACGAGGAACTGGTGGAGAATCTCAACGATAGTGATAGTGTCGATGAGCTTATCTACCACATCGATTACAATGGTGTGACAACTCATCCCACTCCAAGGGATTTTTAGAAACCGAACAGGAAAAATTAGGGTTACCGATCTGGCTGAGTCGCGGACTAGGTCGCTCTCTTTAAGACGTTCGCGGCACTGCCTCGTTATTCGCACAGCATACTATCAGCCCGTCGCCTCCAGGATAAAACGGCCACTCTTTTGATTTGCTCAGCGGTTTTGTGCGGAAAATCGGAGCTCTTTGACTCTCACTCTCTCTCTCGTGTTTCTGCTCTCTGAGGTGTGTTTAGAGGGTCTGAGGCGTCTCCTATTTATAGGAGCAGAAAACCCATAATATTCCCTCTTTCTTTGGGAATAAGTCATATTTTAATTACGGAGATAATTACTCCCATAATTAAAATATAATCTATTAAGATAATTATTCCTAATTATCTTCATAATATTCCTTTTATTAATTATCCATCTTATTTATGTATTATGGGAAAATACTGGATAATTAATTAGGAATTTCATTTATAGCTTTTTCAAGGCTATTCATCCCAACAATCCCCCACTTGAATAGTTTTGAAACTATCTCTGAGCATCAACAGTTCCATAAGATCGGGCATAAGCTAAGGTATCGCGAAGATTTGAACCTTAGCGTAGTGGTTACACTTCCGATTTCATAAGGGTGACTCGTAGTCTTGAACCCTATCTCAGACAATGTAGCACACCGGATCTTTTCATTGAGTGATATTCTCTCATAGGCCGTGCGTTTATGGCCATGCACGTTATCCCGGTTTAGTGAACGCTCTAGCAACTTTGTGCCTCCAAAGTTCCATAGGGAGCGGCCTCACTCCCACATTCACATAGGTGAGTCTATCAGAAGTACCCCCAAAGTAAAGTACTTCACTCCACATAGAGTATAGATCTCATTAAGAGTTTAACTCAACCTCCAAGGCTTTGGGATCCATGCTTCACCATGCATGAACTTTTCTCAATATTACTCATGACTTGTTATTACCCATTGAACCCGTTTCTTGGGATCTCCAGTCTATCGGGTCGGGTTACCATCACTTGTAATCCGTGGTTCGGTAGGCATAAGTCTCATACCCTTGGCGGTACTTTGGACTTTCTCTCTAGATAATCCTTTCGTCAAAGGATCAGCTAGATTCTGTTAGGACCTTACAGGATCCACCCTCATTGCTCCTATCGTTAGGAGTTCTCTTACAGTACTGTGCTTACGACGAATTTATCGTCTCTTTTCGTTCTAGAACCGGTTCCCTTCTTTAGTAATAGCTGTGGTGCTATCACAATGAATCAACTACCGGAGGGATCGGTCTTTCCCATAAGGGAATCTCTAGTAATGACCCTCTCAATCAACTTTTCTCTTTACTAGCCATTGCTAGCTCTATCATTTCTGATTTCTTAGTTGATTGAGCCAGGATCATTTACTTCTTAGACTTCCAAGACATAGCTTCTCTATCGATGTTTAAACACATCCTCTTGTTGTCTTGGAGTCCTCTATAGGGTATTCTAATCCGCATCACTATAGCCTACCAATACAGCAAGAAAACGTTGATAACATATATCAAGGCCTACTGTTCACTTAAGGTGTCTCATGACCCTTTTCAATAGCATTTCAATGCTTCATACTAGGACAATCAATAAGCCTGCCAAGTACCCCCTACTAAATCGGGCCTCATGTTTATTAGATGCCTCTCGCAGACTATAAATGCTAGTATATTCTAACTTTCTTACACCGTCTTAGGTGTTCTTTAAGTATGTATACTAGCATCATCAAACATGTATGCAGGTGTACATCTTGTATTTTCCTAGTTATTAGGATCTCTAAGCATAACATTTGTTTCATTTAGATCCTTCACATTCAAAATTCTCAACCATCATGGTTTTTCAATATTGACATCACAAATCTTTGTACCAAAGATCGACGTGTCATTCATAATGCAAGTGTCATTCTCAAATTTGTATTAAATGCACTTGTCATTCTTAAAACCATGAGAGAGAATCTGATTTTTCACGCCATTGTTTTAGAGTCATCTTCAAATCTTACCATGATTTGTCTAGCCATAGACTCTAAAAGCATGTTCAGGAATAACAACCTTATTGGTTGTCCCATGTAGATTTTCCTATCTAAATCACCATTCACTAAAACATGTTTAACAATCCATCTGACGCACAACACTAGCAATCAGAACATACATGGATGTTATTCTACATATGGTGAATAGATAACAAGAAAATTTACAATTTTTCCTTTCGCTTAAAGCCTTAGCTATTAGGCGATCCTTATACTCATAAACTAAACCAATAGGTTTCACTTTTCTTTTAAGAATCCATTTATTACCCATGACTTCATTGCCAAGAGGTAAATCTCAAAGATGCCAAATCTTGTTTGACCCTATCGATAAATTACCCAATGCTTTATAGCCAAGAGGTAACTCCACAAGATTTTAAGTCTTACTAGACTCCACTAATTCCATTTCGCTAATAATGGATTATCCCACGAATCTGCATGGAAGTTCAAACTTCAAACAGACTTGTGGAATCTTTCTTAGGGTGTAATAACAAATTCATAACCAAAATCCTTTAGTGATTTATGGTTCATTTGTCTCTTGTGAATTCATACTTCAAATTCATCACCCCCACTAGATCCATTATTTCTAATAGTAGGCAGGATACTACCCCCACTATTTCTTGATCTAAAATGGAAGTTTATTGTCATCAATGGATTTCACAACAACATGAGCATTTCGTTACATAGGAACTATGTATTTTTATTGTTGACAACATAAAACACACTCATATGCTATTCTATTTATCACTACACTGGTTCGTTAACTCTATCACAAGCATGCGATATATTGAATAATCAGTTCAATCAATAAAAATGCAATTAAGCATTTCTCAAACTATTTCAAATTAGCATCTCCAATAACTAGACAAAACACTTTATAGAGCAATAAATAATTTATTGTCTTTCCACCTTGTTTACCCATATCAAAATAAATCAGATCTATCTATTTTGATTCTCTAACCACATATTTATGTGTCATTTATCTGATCTATGGAAATCACATTTACCACATCCATTATGAGAATGTGACCCTAGTTATTCAATCTTCAAGATATACGTCAAAGACGTGCATGCAAGACCCATGAGAATTCAACACTTTAACATTATCATCATATGCATACTCTCATCACCATTATCAATAGTGGAGTGAGCAATACTCAACAACACTTTCTTAATACCATATGCCTTAGTATGCCTCGAGGTACCAGTATTTAGCCACCATTCTTCAGAGTTACCATCAAGGTTAATCTCTGCTATTTTCACAATCATCACAACCACCAATCCTTCTCTTCAATAAAGATAACACTAGAATCAATGTTATACTTGTTCATACATTTTCGTGTTATATGACCTAATTTCTCGCAACTATTGCAGAGAAATAAAACGTCATTCTTAGAGGATTGGCCGATGATCATTTGGTTACCACGAATGGTACCATTCTAATTGGTGTAGATGGTTCGATTTTCTATTATGATTCTTGAACCTTTTAGGTTCAAACTCGCATTAATGACTCACTTAGTACTGACAACAGTACTTCGTCCAACATAATTATGAGCCTATAACCCATTCCACTAACATATATGCCACAAAATATGCATTTATATTTGCTTCATAGTATGCATTCATGTAATCAAAATCACTCTTTTAAAGATGTATACGAAGTTGTACTCTAATCATTAAGCATAACACATCTCAATGTCAACCTCTTCATGCATCGGTTCTAGCTTTTGTCTAGCATTCACACAAATTTTCAATTCGATGCATATATCCATACGACATTGATTCTAATTTATCATTCATTAATTACTCAAGAAAAGGATTTTAGCTCTTACCTCTTTTTCAGAAGTAGCGATGTGCCTCTTTCAGCAAATCACTAGCATTAATCGTACTTCCTTATTTCTTGAACGATTTCCGGGTATAGGGAAACTTTGACGATAGTCCATTTGGAGTTCTTCTCATCCTGCTTCTCTCCATAGTCCATAGTGACCTCGAGGCTCACTTCTCTCAATCTTTGTCCGTAGTGAGCAGCCCAGTTGTCCCTTCCAGATAGTGTGGGCGACATGTCTTTCTAGGGATCCTTTACCAGCTTTGGAACACGCTGCGGGACAGGTAAAGAAACAAAAATCCAATTGGCTGGTCGAGATATTAATTTCCATTGCCTCCACCTTCTCTTTTGAACTTGACTCCTTTGATTGTGGTCCCATAACTTGCGAATTAATCACCACCAATTTCAACAAAGCACCGTCTCCGCATCCGGTATATCGCCTCCGCTGTGCAATTCGACATGTTATCATGTGCCCTTCCTTGCTCCAGTTCACAGCTCCAGGCACCAAGATCACGGCCAGAGCTATGAACAGAAGTAAACCAAATGCCGCATTTCTGTTCAAGGGATATTTTCTGTCCTTTCTCAAGTCACCATAGGTGGCCAAATGCTGCCCTGCCACAGAATAACTAACACCTGTCATCTAATATGGACTCTCATCATAGCTTCCTTTCTTATCCCATGATGGGCTTTATCTTCGTGACTCATCAATTTTTACTTTGGAAGCAAACGGGCCAGCCGTTCTTACATAATAGGCAGCCGAGAAAGGAGGTACTCATCAGGGAACATATGGCAATTAGCATAGTGATAAAATAAGCTATAATGCTCCTGGAATTCGCCCTCTCGGAGATTGAACAAAACCCCCCTTCCTGGCAATTATCGGCTAGCGGAATTCCGACGAGGTTCTCTCAGATCAAAGAGAAGTCTCGAGCGGCAGGTTTCAGACTTAATTCCTGCTTCTTTCGTCCCTTCATGATTTCCTCCACTACCTCCCATGTTCTTCTTCTCACAGTGGCCTATGCTCGCTCTTTTGCTCGTAAAAGAGCCTTCTCAATTAACCTGGCAGCTAGCGGCAGTCTCCCAGCGGCAACCCAGAAATCAAAAGGTCTCTATTTAATTTTCAGCGACCCCGACTTTGCAATTGCATCGGCGCCGTATGTCCCGTTATCCGCCGATGCAAGTTAATGGCTTCGTTCGTCTCCATCGGTCGATGGAAGTCGCTCGAACTAGAATCGGCATCCTGCTCGGCAAATACGACAGCAACCGAACGTCTTAAAATTGTTAGAAACCGAACAGGAAAAATTAGGGTTACCGATCTGGCTGAGTCGCGGACTAGGTCGCTCTCTTTAAGACGTTCGCGGCACCGCCTCGTTATTCGCACAGCAGACTATCAGCCCGTCGCTTCCAGGATAAAACAGCCACTCTTTTGATTTGCTCAGCGGTTTTGTGCGGAAAACCGGAGCTCTTTGAATCTCACACTCTCTCGTGTTTCTGCTCTCTGAGGTGTGTTTAGAGGGTCTGAGGCGTCTCCTATTTATAGGAGCAGAAAACCCAGAATATTCCCTCTTTCTTTGGGAATAAGTCATATTTTAATTACGGAGATAATTACTCCCATAATTAAAATATAATCTATTAAGATAATTATTCCTAATTATCACCATAATATTCCTTTTATTAATTATCCATTTTATTTATGTATTATGGGAAAATATTGGATAATTCATTAAGAATTTCATATATAGCTTTTTCAAGGCTGTTGGGATAGACCGTGAAAAGAATCATGCTATATCGTTAAGTTTCCAGGTGTAGAAAGTGAATATTGAATTGTCATCGGGTGAGAGATCCACTTACATTTTAGGATGTACAGCAAGCTGCTCCAGCTTGGCTAATGGAACTAAATCCATAACGCTCTGAATCTTTAATCCTTTTGGCCATGGTGGCAGAATGCCAAACACATTCCCTAGCACAAGTTTTTTTTCCTTCTGATGCAAAGAGAGCATTCCGTAGGTGTATTCATTTTTAATCTTTTTGTACTTCTCAAGTAGAATTTTGTAGCTACAAATTGCATCATCAAACGAGGCTTCATTGCAGAACCTGGATTTAACTAGGGTTGTCTGTTCGGTTAACCGAAACCTTTAAAAAAACATTTTAAAAAAATGCTACAGATTGTTTTCCCAAAATCAAAACCGAATCCGTTAATAGACTTTATCAAATTTTGGTTAATCGAAAATCGATAAGCCACTTAACGAGTTCGGTTTCGGTTGAAAAAAACGGAGAACCTAAACCCTTGCACCCTTTATAATGGTCTCGGTTAGAGTAATCTTATAGATTTTTGGTTTAAATACAAACCCGAATCAAAATCCGGATATGATAAGATTTTTCTCCATTTGATTTCAATTTAAACCGATAAACCGAACTCAATTTCCTCATCCCTATTTGGCCTATAAAAATACAAGTTGGTAAAAACAATCACATATTCTCTCTATTTTTTGGCCCAGAACCACTTTAGCCCTATTTTTACTCCAAAATCAAAACCGAATTTGTTAAAGGACTTTAAGATTTTTTGTTAACCAAAAATCGATAAGTGCCCTGCACCTATTATGCCGGAAAAACCAAAGACCCGGATCCTATAAGATTTTTATCCATTCGTTTTCGATTTAAACAGAAAAACCAAACTCAATTTCCCCGACTCTATTTGGCCGTAGAAAAAATACAAAGTAGGTAAAACCAATCACAGATTCTCTCTATATTTTTTTTTACCCATAATCATTTTAGCCCTCTTTTAACTCCCTTGGGAGCGAATCGCTCCCCCTTTCAAAATAATGTGAGTGAGATCACTTTTCCTGCATTGCCTCTCTACCTCGAGTGAAAACTTAATCGGCCAAAGTAATGCACGAACCTCAGAAGTATTCGGTGTCACATGACCAGCAAAAAACTGAGCCTCCTGCTTCCTTGTGATGGTCTACCATAACTTCCAAAAGATCGTTGCTTGCTCTAATGGGTGCGAGTAAGCTCTAAGACTAGCATCGGAGAGTGCTCCTCTCGTGTGATAGGCAGGAATCTCTAGCTTCCTGGAGAAACCATAATAAATGTTAGTGAAGTGTCGTACTACCAATCTATACGAGATGTAGAGCTGGATCAAGCTCCTTATTGGAGATATTATGAATGTGGCAAAGAACTCCCATGTGGCCACATTACGACAATCTCCTCTAGTGCTGAATAATGACAAGAGATCAGCCTCGTCTAGCTTCTGTTTCACTAATGCTCCCCATCCTGGTATTGGTCGAAGTCCGATCAATCAAGCTCTCCCTAGGAATCTACAGGATTGTATCTCCACTTCTCTTTCTTCTTCGCACTAGAACTACCGAGCGGAAACTAAAGGAAAGGATGTGGGGGTGTCTCTGGTGCCTCCTTATGAACCCAAAGCTCGTTATTAGTCTCGAGCACCTTTGTCCCCTATGGCATCCTGCTCCTTGATCTCCTTCTATCTAATGATAGTCTTCCACTACTGTTGCTAAAGGAGATTCAAACGAACTGGTATTGAGAATGGGAGTCCCTCAAATATGACTCCTCATCCTCCTCGACTATAGGCTCCCCCAAGTGGAGTCATGCAAACCTCCTCAGAGTTGCACACTCTTGATCTCCTCTAGGTAGACTAGGACGCCTAAGTCCTCGTGAAGAAGATGCACCATCATCTCCCTTCTTCTTGTGCCTTCCAAGCCATCCAGGAACTATTCTTCATTTTTCTGCATATAGAAAATAAACCAAGTTATTTATAGATAAATTTGGGAATAACCCCACACTTTATAGCATGGCTTCTTCTATAAGATAATCATATAATTTCTTCGATATGTATTATCAAGATAGCTACCTATGGCAAACTCATTCAGTCTCATATAATGTTAATAGTGTATACAAGAGTAAACGACAAGGTTGGTCACTGAAATTACTAAAAACATTCATGTTTGGTCACTGGAAATTATCCATTAGTTTGAAAGATTCTTTTTTTCAGATTTTAGCATTCGAACTAATTCACTTCTTTTCCATTTTATTTGTATCCACATGTCAAATATTTTTTGCCAATATTATTAATGTAATCTTTATCAATAATGTTGTATAGATTCTTCCATTTTAGTAATAGTGTTTAAATCCATGCATATGTTTCTACGTTAATTATTAATGTTTTAATCGTAATATTAGAATTTTTGCCCATCTAATTAATGTTTGCATCAACCTCATTGATGAGACAGCGACATCAATTATTAAATATAATCATGTTATTATCAACATATTTGACTCTAGAAGTTCGTTGATGTCGCCTATATTAAGGTAATCGGTCTCAATATTTTTTCCATTATTATCAAGTTTTCCATTATTTTTTCCCTATATTAAGGTAACCGGAAGAGAGGAGGGCTATTTCGATTTCAATTTATCATAGGAAAATGTCATTGTAGAAGAAACTCTTTGGGTGCTATGTGTTCCGAAGCAGCAACAAAGTTGTCGCAGGGAGCTTTTGAGAACTCTGTCCCTCCTTAGAATCCATCGTGGTGCCAACAGTGGTTTCGGCGGCACTGCCATATTGCCTATTGTAAATGGAGGTAATTGAAATGAGGAGGAGGAGACGCTTTAGTCATGCTTACAAAGATTGGTTGGACGACGAGGAATGGCAGCGAAGGAGGCGGTGGTGGTGGTGGGTTTAGATAGCTGAGGTTTGTTTGTTTGTTTGTTTCTATATATACACATGAGGAAGAATGAGGCGACACATGCATATTAGTAATTCTTATTATTAATCATGTTATAAATTCTATTATTAACTGTATTTATTATTAATGTTAAATTTTTTCATTATTAATTTTTTTTGGTTTGTTTAGTAAAGCTCAATGAGGTGGCGCGTCCATATTAATAATTCTTATTATTGATCTTATTAGTAATTCTATTATTAATCTTATTTTACATGTATTGCAATGGTTTTTTCTTTTATGTATTGAGACATATTTTGTTGTACATTGTGCTACATCAACAACGAAGAGTTCTAGTTCATGAAAAACATTCCCAGCGGGTGTGATAAAACAAGATCTAAGGAGATTGGAGAAGAACCGGTACGATATGTCATGGCTTTATGCGGAAGGGAAGTCAAATATGCATACAAGCTCGACGAGTTCACATGAAATGAGGACCTTGGATTCAAGCAAGCCCCACAAGATGGGACTTCCTCTAGTGTGTTTCATCTCAAATTTATTGAGTTTTGGAACGGTTATATGGAATATGATGGGGAGACCTAATGGCCTGATATTACATACATCAGCAACATGACAACTTATAGTTGCAACTTGCAAGCTCCTTTTGCTCGACTCTACAAATCTAAAACGTCAATATTTGATCGATACGGTTACTGCAAACCATGCGCATCATCTCCTTTACTTGAGAACTCAGTACCCAACACAGTTGGAAATTCTGTAATGGTTCGAAAATAATTTAGTCGACTTTGAATCATTCTTTGATACAATGTTACGAATACATTTTCCTTTGTTATTCAGTCTTTGGTTAAATACTGATTCAAAAGATTTACCATCCAACGGTTTAAATGTTTGAAGGATTATTTTTCTATATTTTAGTGTTCGAACTGATTCATTTATTTTCCACATTGTGTTTTTATCCATTTGTAATGTTTTTTGCCAATATTATTAATGTACTCTCTATCAATAATGTTCTACATATTCTTCTATATTAGTAATAGTGTTTAAATCCATGTGTATATTTCTACGTTAAATATTAATATTTTTAATCATAGTATTAGAATTTTTGTCCATCTAATTAATGTTTGTATGAACCTCGTTGATGAGACAACGACATCAATTATTAAATATAATTCTGTTATTGTCAACGTGTTCAACTATAGAAGAGCACTGATGTCACCTATATTAAGGTAACTGTTCTCAAAATTTTTTCCCATTATGATCAAGGTTTTTGACAATGACCTATAAACGTATCAATGTTGATACCATGGAAAGTCTTTGTAGTCATGTTATCAATGTTGGTGGTGCTTTCTAACCCACTTCAAAACTGTTCTGAAAAGCAAATCAAAGAGTTATGTGGTGATTGAATCCAACGAAGAGAACTACAAACATTGGCCAACTTGTTATTGTCAGTAAAATCTCAAAAGTTATTAACAGCTCGTTCTTTTGGTAGGATATACCTAAATTAAATAATTAGACAAATATGCTTTTCAAGTTTTCATAGCAACACATTAATGAAACATAGCCTGTTTTCAATTTTTAAATCATAAGCTAATGATACATCGTTTAATACATGGCGGATATGGGTATTGAAGCATCCGGCCAACCCCATTGCCATCGCCACCATATTTAGAGTTTAGACCGCCACCCACCCAATACCTGCTTCAATCTTGATAGTAAAATTGCAAGACATGGTTGACCCTCTCCACCCACGTAGTGATGACAAGGGAATGGAGCGGGTACCTCAACATCCATATTCGTCCCACACATGCACAAGTCGGGACGAGTCTACCCACTTTTACATGTTAGTTGAAAAAAATGTAAATTTTTTATTTTCACGATAAAATGAATAAAAAATAATTTATAAATGAAAAATAGTGACAATTGAATCTAGCTAATTGAAGAAGAGTCAAAATAAAAGAAATATGAAGAAATATTATACAAAATTAAAATATAATAAGACAAGAACTGTGCGAAACGGGTAAAAAAACGGGTCAAAAGTAAACAAACAAACTCATCGATCAAGTAATACCCACCCTATTCGAGGTCAGATCAGATAATATTTAGTGAAATGGGTTCAAATTGCCATCCTACACCCACGGCGTTAAAAATGATGTTGAAAAACTGTAGTTTTGGAGGAAAAGCCTTTTGAGTTTTGATCCGAAAATTTCTGGGAAATCGGCGCCAAATATTTCGCAGGCAAATAAACCCGCATTCTCGAAATCTAAAATATTCACTCTTCCCGCTCACTTTCCCACCATTTCCATTTTGCAGTCTTAGTTTCCCGCTTTTTTTGCAGGTAATTAACCCAAGCGACGCGATTCTTCCATTCATCTTTTGCTGTTCTTGCGCAGTTTATTACAGCTCTCCCGCTCTTCCTTCAGCGACGCTTTGGAGGCTGCGTCTTGAGAGGAGAGGGAGCGTTATCTTTTTTTCCCTACCAGTCAAGTTGAGTTCTGGACAAACGCAAAATCAGCTGATTTTAGGGTTTTTGGCTCAATGGGCTCGGCATCACTGTTGAACTCGGGAATCCCTGATCCGGAAGCTAATGGTATATCGTCGTCCGCATCAGGTAAAATCAACCCGATCTGTATATTTCCCTTCTCTTTGCTTCATAGTTGAGGGTTTTACTGTAGCATGCAAATCTCTGGGTATCGTCTCACATATCGATGGAGTTGATCGTTTTAGGTTTTGGGTTTGTTAGGGTTTGCTTTCAGCCTTTATGTTTCTGATACCTTGATAAAATAGTGACAATATGTTCCTGCATTCTTCATTCACTCTTGTGGTAATAGCGTTCGTCCTTGTCTCTGTCTCTCTGACATGCATGTCATTGAAGCTTCAATTTGCCTTGTTTTAGTGTTGGATAAGTGTACTTTGCACGTTGTCTGATGATCAAATTGGGATCCTCTCTTGTTCCTTTGCCAAAGCTTGTTGAGACTTTGAACTATGCATTGGATGATTTGAAACTGAGGGGTACTGAGATTCCTGTGGCTAATGAGGTCATGGACTCATGGGTAGTTGTAATTTGTTCTTCATTGCAATTATTTCTGTGTCAAGTGTTTGCATTAGATCGATGACGCAACTTTAATGCACTATGAGCTGTGTAATCAAGGAAATTTTAGATTCATGTAGTATTCCTTCTTTGTTGGGTAATCCAGATGTTTAATGCAATCAACATGCATTCTCCATGTTAACTTTTATGCTAAATTTGAACCTGCATGTTGCGCTGAGCGTTACGTATAACGCTTTAGGGGTTTTGGCTTCAATTTCCACATATAGTTGTCTGTCAAAAACTCAGATTTTAACCTAGTTTTCTCTTGGGAACTTTGAATTATTAACAGGAAGGAAAAAGAATAAAGGCAATTCAATGCCTTCAGATTCGAAAGCTAAAAAGGTTGCAACAAAAGGCAAGAAGCGAGGGACTTGTCAGAAAAATGAAACTCATGCTTCCCCTCCAAAACGACCTAGGCGGGCTGCTGCACATGTGGATTTTAGGGAAAAACCCGTAGAAGTGATTGATGAGTCCTCACTTATAGAATCAAAGAAAGAGCAAGTTGTTGATGAACTCCTTGCTGTTCGTCTGACTGAAGGACAAGAAAATGGTCGTCCAAACAGGCGATTGACTGATTTCATAGTGCACGATGAAGATTTTGCTCCACAGTACCTGGAGATGATTGAAGTGAGTGATATGTTTCTTTCTGGTGTTATATTACCCCTTGATGATTGTATTGGCGAGGGTAAAGCAAAGCGTGTGCGTTGTGAAGGTTCTGAAAGGATAGAAGAGTGGGACATTTCTGGCTATGAAGATGGCTCCCCAGTTATATGGCTTTCAACAAATATTGCTGATTATCATTGCATTAAACCGGCAAGTAGCTACCGGAAGTTTTATGATCTCTTTTTTGAGAAAGCCCGTGCTTGTATTGAAGTGTACAAGAAGTTGTCGAAATCAGCTGGTGGAAACCCTGACCTCACGTTAGATGAGTTGGTTGCTGGGCTTGTGCGATCTTTCAGCAGTAGCAAGTGCTTTTCTGGAGTATCATCCATTAAAGACTTTGTTATCTCGCAAGGCGAGTTCATATACAACCAGCTTAAAGGGTTAGACGAGACATCCAAAAATAACGAACTTAGATTCTCGGAGATGCCTGTTCTTTTGGCTTTAAGAGATAAGAGCCAAAAACATGATAATCTTATACTGGAAGGAGCAGTTGGTTTCAAGGGGAATCTGGTCATTGAACCAACAGTTGATGTCAAGAAGACTAAGTTGGATCCCTTGAGTGGATCTGCTGCAACAGTTGATGAAGATGAGGATGCTAAACTAGCCCGTTTGCTGCAACAAGAGGAGTTATGGGGTTCCATGAAACAGAAGAAAAGAAAAGGTTCATCCTCCATGGCTAATGCCATCTACATCAAGGTCCATGAGAGAGACATAGCAGATGATTATCCTCTCCCTGCATACTACAAGCAAACAGTTGAAGAAACTGATGAATATATAGCCATTGACGGTGATGATGTGATTAATCCTGATGATCTCCCAAGGAAACTGTTGCATAATTGGTCACTTTATGATTCAGACCTAAGAATGATGTCCTTGGAGCTTCTCCCAATGAGACCCTGTGAAGATATTGACATCACTATTTTTGGGTCTGGTATGATGACAGAAGACGACGGGGGAGGATTCTGTATTGAAGATGATCTCAATCAGTCTTCTTCAGGTTCTGAGGTTGAAATGGGGTTGCCAATTTTTTTGAGTGCTATAAAGGAATGGATGATTGAGTTCGGATCCTCAATGGTTTTTGTGTCAATTCGAACAGACATGGCATGGTTAGTATCTATCCTATTGATCTAATAGTTGGGTTTTTACCTTTTTGTTCTGATTACTTTTCAGGTGCACTTTTTGATAAGCTTATTTATATTTAGGCATCTTTATTACCTTGTAGTGCTGCATTTTTGCTTAGTGTTTCGTCTATTCCATGACTCAGGTACAGACTTGGGAAGCCATCAACACAATATGCACCGTGGTTTAAGACAGTACTTAAGACTGCAAAACTTGGCATAAGCATCATCTCACTGTTGAAGGAGCAAAGCCGAGTATCCAAACTTTCTTATGCAGAAGCTCTGAAGAAAGTTTCAGAGTTCAAGAAAGATCATGTTTCTTACATTTCCTCTGAAGTGGCAGCTGTTGAGAGATTTACTGTTGTGCATGGACAGATACTTCTGCAGCTCTTCGATGAATTCCCTGATGTGAACATCAAAAGAAGTGCATTTGCTACTGGGCTTACAAATAAAATGGAGCAGCGTAAGCATATAAAATGGGTTGGAAACAAGAAGCTGATTTTGCAGAAGAGTCAAACTAATCTGAACCCTCAAGCTAATATGGGTCCTGTGGTGTCTAAGAGGAAGGCTATGCAGGCGACGGCAACGAGATTAATTAACAGAATTTGGGGAGAATACTATTCCAACTACTCACCGGAGGATTTGCAAGAAGAAACAACTGAGAAGGTCAAAGGTGAACATGAAGATGAGGAGCAAGAGGATAATGAGGAGGATGCTGAAGAGGAGCCATTAATAGTTTCAGAGGAAGTGCAGAAGCCATCCCCTATATCGATGAAAGTTAGATCGCATGATAGGAAGTTAGAAGTAAGATGGGAAGGAAATTCAGTCGGCAAAACTCTTCTTGGTGAACCTATTTACAGTAGAGCCATTGTCCATGGGGAGGTCATTGCACCTGGGGGTTATGTCATGGTTGATGAATCTGATGACTTTCCTGCCATCTACTTTGTTGAGTACATGTTCGAAACTTCTGATGGCACCAAAATGTTCCACGGAAGAATGATGCAACATGGTGCTGAGACCGTTCTTGGAAATGCATCCAATGAAAGAGAGGTCTTCTTGACAAACAGTTGCACAAGTTATTCATTGCAGGATATTAAGCAGCCTGTTGTTGTGGAAATCCGTAAAATGCCATGGGGTCATAATTTTCGGAAACAGAATATAAATGCTGATAGACTGGATAGAGAAAGAGCTGAAGAAAGGAAAAAGAAAGGTTTGCCATTGGAATATTACTGTAGAAGTTTGTACTGGCCAGAGAAGGGTGCGTTCTTCTGTCTTCCATCTGCTGAAATGGGTCTTGGTTCTGGTGATTGTAACTCATGTAAAATTCGAGAGGTCGAGGAGGCAAATGACAAGTTCAAAGTCAATTCTTCAGGCACCGGATTTGTGCTTGGAGGAATCCAGTACTCTCTTCATGATTTTGTTTATGTTCAGTCAGAGAACTTTGTGCGAAGGAAGGAAGCTGGAACTTTCAAGGGTGGAAGGAATGTAGGGCTGGAAGCTTATGTGGTGTGCGAATTGGTAGAGATCAATGTGGAAAAGGAAACACGACAGACTAGTGAAAGGTCTACCCAGATTAAAGTTCGAAGATTTTTCAGACCAGAGGACATTTCATCTGAGAAAGCTTACTGTTCTGACATCCGTGAGGTAACTGTTAATCCTGAAGGAGATAAATACTGATAATGACTTGTTAGATTGGTATCATATTTTTTACTTGTTATGACTCCGTACATCTCCAACTCTCATTGACACGGTGCTGATGATTGAACTGCTCAACTTGTTTGAATTTTCAGATATATTACAGTGAAGAAACACACATTTTACCTGTCGAGGCGATAGAAGGAAAATGTGAAGTAAAAAAGAAAACTGACCTTCCAGCTTGCAGCGGTACCACAGTTTTGGATCACATCTTCTTTTGTGAGCGTCTATATGATCCTTCTAATGGTTCGCTTCGGCAGGTAATTCATGATACTACTTTTGTCTTGTAATGATGGACATTTTCTAGTAAGCTAAAACCTGTCTTGTGGATTTTGCAGTTGCCAGCTAATATCAAATTGAGTTATTCCAGAATGGGTGACAATAATGATGTTGCTTCTAGGAAGAGAAAGGGTAAGGGTAAGGAGGGAGACAATGATGTGGAAGTGGAGAAACCAAGAGAAGAATCTCAAGGGAACTGTTTGGCCACACTTGATATTTTTGCTGGGTGTGGTGGCTTGTCTGAAGGGTTGCGACAAGCTGGTGAGTACCTTTGTTTCCTAATATTTTGCATTAAATAGTGTAAGGATCGTTACCTTTGTAAATATTGATTGTATGTGCTCTCATTCTGATGATTACTTGCAGGTGTGTCTATGACGAAGTGGGCCATTGAGTATGAAGAGCCAGCAGGGGAAGCATTCAGACTTAATCATCCTGAATCATTGGTGTTTGTCAACAATTGTAATGTCATTCTCAAGTAAGTAACAGATGAGGAATCTAGGGTATGAAATCTAAAGATAATTTTTGTCATCCTATGTCTTTTTAACCTGTTAATATGTTGAAATGTAGAGCGGTGATGGAGAAATGTGGTGATGCAGATGACTGCATTTCAACTGCAGAGGCTGCTGAATTGGCTGCAGCTCTCGGTGAAAATGTCATTAATGACTTACCACTTCCAGGACAGGTGGAATTTATCAATGGCGGACCTCCATGTCAGGTATACAACTCTCCCTTTGTTGTTTCTGTAAAAAATTATGAGTTTATATACTCTTGTTGGTTTTCATAATAGACATTTCTTTGCAGGGATTCTCTGGGATGAACAGGTTTAATCACAGTACTTGGAGTAAAGTTCAATGTGAGATGATCTTAGCGTTTCTATCCTTTGCTGATTACTTCAGACCAAAGTATTTCCTCCTCGAGAATGTGCGGAACTTTGTCTCTTTCAATAAAGGACAAACATTTCGTCTAACTCTGGCTTCCCTCCTTGAGATGGGTTATCAGGTGTGTGGTGCAAAGCTTGACTTGAGCTGTTTGTAGACATATGAACCATTCCTGCTTCCTTTTGGTTTCAAACTGTTTTTTTGCATTTAGGTGAGATTTGGAATTTTGGAAGCCGGAACGTTTGGCGTTTCGCAGTCACGGAAAAGAGCTTTTATATGGGCGGCCTCACCTGAGGAGGTTCTCCCAGAATGGCCAGAACCTATGTATGTCTTTGGTGGGCCCGAGTTGAAAGTCTCTCTGTCTCGGAATTCATACTATGCTGCTGCTAGAAGCACTGCTGGTGGAGCTCCGTTTAGGGCTGTAACTGTAAGAGATACCATAGGTGAACTCCCGGCTGTGGCCAACGGTGCCTCTAAGGCAACACTGGAGGTATCAATGCTATATAGTTGAATTGCTACATTTTACTGTTATTCTCAAGCAATCATCTAGTCTAATTGGCGTTCTTTCTATTCATTCATGCAGTATGCAAATGATCCAGAATCGTGGTACCAAAAGCAAATTCGAGGTAACATGGCTGCCTTGACAGACCATATATCTAAAGAGATGAATGAGCTGAATCTCATTAGATGCAAGAGGATCCCTAAGCGCCCTGGTGCTGACTGGCGTGACCTACCTGAAGAGACGGTACTCTAGTCTGCGACCATTTCCATTTGATTGTTTTTTTACAGTTGATGAAAATTATACAGTCTGATTCAATTGGGTTGAAACGAAAATGGCAGGTGGCTTTGTCAAATGGTCAGAAGGCTGATCTCATCCCATGGTGCTTGCCAAATACTGCTGCTCGGCACAACCAGTGGAAAGGACTGTTTGGGAGGCTGGATTGGGAAGGGAATTTCCCAACCTCAATTACAGATCCTCAACCCATGGGGAAGGTGGGGCTGTGCTTTCATCCTGATCAAGACAGGATCGTTACGGTGCGTGAATGTGCTCGATCTCAAGGTTTTCCAGACAGCTATCAGTTCTGTGGCAACATTATTAGCAAGCACCGTCAGATTGGAAATGCAGTGCCCCCTCCATTGGCGTATGCGTTGGGAAGGAAGTTGAAGGAAGCACTTAACAGCAAGAGGGCCAGATAGATAGTGTTGCGTTGAACTTGTAACTTTATTTTCTGCTGAACTTTATTTTGTGGAACTGAGATCGGTGCAAGAACTGATTCTGTTACAGTCCAAGACAGCGTTTCAATGGTGATGAGTGTAGTTACTAAGGCTTGTTCAAGAAATTTGGCAGGAAAAAATTGTTTACTTTTCATATTGTTTTTGTTTTTGTTTTCAACTCTTAAAACAGAAAATGGTAGTTTTATGATATTTCTAGTAACAATAAAATGTTGTTTCCACCAACTTTTAACATATGTTTACTCAAAACTTTAGCGAAAAAACTTTTTTATTTAATTGATGAGATGAACTATTCTCATGACATCAATGATAATTATTTTTTAATTTTTTTACTTTAATATTTTAAACTTTATCTTTCATCTAACTTTTATCCTTTTTATTATATAGAAAGGTCTCTTATAGATTATTTGGAACCAAATGCATGAAGAATTACAAAGACAAGTAAATTCCTAAAATATTAATAGAATTCTCTTATACCAGAAGATATGTTATAATTCATTTCAAAAAGTCACTAAACATCTATCTAGTTGTTTCCTAATAAAATATTTCTCCCCTTTTATTCTCCTTTTATTATTCAATACTTTTTATTTGGGTAAATTGCAAGGTTGGTCACTGAGAATACTAAAAACATTCATGTTTGGTCACTCGAAATATTTAAATCTATTCATGGTCACTTAAATTAGTAAAACCGTCCAAGTTTGGTCACTCTCCGTTAGTCTCCGTTAATGCCGTCAGTTATTAACCATGAACTATTTACTTCTTCAGTTTCTGGTTGGAGTTGGTTAACAAAGTAGAGAGGAATTAATTTCTGGGGGTGGAGAAGTCAAGGGAAGGATGCTGAGTAAATACTGGGAGGGGAGGGAAACCCTCCTTTAGTTGACCAAACCAAAGATATAGTTATCGACCCCTGCTAAAGCTTCCCCTTCCTTCATCTCTCGACCCCCTGCTACTCGATCTGCTTCCCTAGCTCTCCATCTAATCCTCTTTCTTCCCCACTCATCTGTGGTACATGTGTTGGCCTCCTCTTTACTAGCTTGGCGTACATCAAAATTGTTGTCGTCGCCACCACGCACGACCAAAGCTTGGTACTCTGCTCCTTTTTCTTGAATCCGTATCCACGATCTCACTCCCTCCTCCGTCATTCTGGGATTCATTCACGGCGGCAGAAGTCTAGACGAAGAACTCCTACGCGGAGCCAGATCGCGGGCTGCCTCTCACCTGCCTCTTTTTCTCCTCTTTGTTGGATGGGATCTCCTTAATCCCTCTGCCTCCTCATGGGATTGGATTATCGAAAATCTGGTACTGGTGGGCAGCAGGGGATTCACTAGATCTAGACATGGTTAGGTAGGTTTTGATTCGAGGGTTGGTCGGGTTGGGTTAGACAAGATGACATGGCGGGTTATAGTGACATGGATGGTCGGATTTCACTATTTTTGGGTTAGATTAGACTGATTAAGCGATTCCGTTAGCCACGTCAGCACATAACGATCTTGGTTAACGGAAATGGATGGAGACTAACGGAAGTGACCAAACTTGGACGGTTTTACTAATTTTAGTGACCACGAATGGATTTAAATATTTTGAGTGACCAAACATGAACGGTTTTTGTAATCTCAGTGACCAACTATGCAATTAACCCCTTTTTATTTTATCATTTTTCTTAGGGGTGGGCAACGGGACGGGAACGGGTACCCGTCCCGTTTGAAACGGGTACCCAATCCCATTTGGAGAGAAAACTCCATCCCATGTCCCAAACCCGTATGGGTAACGGGTACCCATTACCCGTACGGGACGGATAACGGGTACCCGCGGGTACCCATAATAATTAAGCTACAATAACTAGGCTACAATAATTAGGCTACAATAATTAAGCTAAGTGGCCTGTGGCCATAGATGATGGAGCAGTGAGATTCTAGTTCTACTCAACTGCTTACCTAAATCACCTCATCCATAATAATATCCTACCTCGTAAAATTTGTTTGGGAGTCATATGTTGAGATTTGCAACTATTTTAATTACCCATAACCTAAAACAAATCACAAAACATACATGCCTGCTGCTGCTTAATTACCTATCCAGAAGAAAGTTGAATCATTCATTAAGCGTCTTATCATTTCACTTCCTTGTAATACATACGTACATACTTGAGTCATTTTTAAAGAAAAAGGTTTATAACTAATCACCAAATGAAGTTATGGAATCCGTAATACCCAAACTACCCGTACTACCTGCCCACTCTTCATGATGGCTACGTACTAAGTGTTAAACTATAAGTTTAATAAGCTTATTAACCTTATCTTTCATTACTACTTTGGAGAGATGGCGGGTATTATGGGTACCCGTAATACCCAAACGGGTACCCGTAATACCCAAACGGGTATTAACGGGTAACCCGTGGGTACCCGTTGTAGAATTTCTTGATCCCAAGTCCCATCCCATATAAAAAATTACGGGTATTTGGGTACCCGTAACCCTAAAAAAACGGGACGGGTATGGGTGTACCCAAATACTCGTTTCCCGTTGCCCACCCCTAATTTTTCTCAGGTAAATCATCAATTCTCCAATCAATCCATACTATACAGATAGGTACCAAATACACTTGTCATCGCTAGGAATTCTCCCACTGATTGGGTATAAGCCGACTATCGAGTGTGGCGAAATACCAATCATTCCCAAAAGAAAGTTGGTCGGGGAATAAATGGTGATGAGTGTTGCGATTTATGTTGGTTTCATAATCAATATTCAATATTGTTGTTTCCACTAATGTTCAACATATGTTATCTCAAAATTTCAACCGAAACATTTTTTATTGATGAGATAGAAATATTTGAATGCACGTTACCCAATTATTTTTAATACTTTTACTTAAGTAATTTAAATTTATCTTTTATCTAGTTCTATCTTTTTTTGTTAGATATAATTTCCTCTTATACATCATTTGAAACCAAATGCATCGAGAATTCCGAACAAAAAACTTTTCATTTCAAAATAATTCTCTTAAAAACTTATAGAATTCCAAACGATATGGGTTTAGTGACTGAAATCTCTCTCTTCTTTTCTTTGAAGACTTAGGGTTTTCGATCGTTGTTTTCGGATGGCAGCCTCGTCATCGGGCGGTGATGGCATCACCTGGGCGTAACTATTTGAAGTTGCACTGAGAATCGTCTTCGATTTCGTCCTCCAGAGAAAGTGAAGGATGAGTATCGTCTTCCCAAGGAGGTGAAAGAGAAGGGTATGGAGCGCTGGAAAGATTCGTTGATTGGCCAATTTGTTGGCAGTCGACCAAAAATTCCTGCTCTTCAGACATGGGCAAATAGGTTATGGGGGAGAGACGGTCTGGTGCGAGTATCCAAGTTTGGGCCGAAGCTAATAGTGTTTTAGTTTCCCTCGGTGGCTTCGTGTAATTGGGTATTGCAATCGGGGCCATGGCATCATCAGGGTAATCCTATCTTCTTCAGGAAGTGGCACTCTGAGATTTAGCCTTTGTCTCTGCAGGTGGAAACTCTGCCGATCTGGGTCAATATATGGGGTTTGCCTTTGGAGTATGTAGCTCAGGAGGGTTTGGAGTGGGTAACGAGTACTATGGGTAAGCCTCTATGGATGGATCAGAAAAATATAGTGGGTGGTCAACTGGGGTTCTCTCGGGCTTGTATTGAATTGAAGGCTGATTTTGGGTTTCCTTCCAAAATCAAATTTTATCCGGATGATGACCCGAGTTTGAAGTGAAGGTGTAGTATAGCAATCTACCAACAGTGTGTGCAAAGTGTGGTACAATTGGTCATAATTGTGATGCGACTTTGGGTCCAAAAAGAGTATGGTTGCCCAGGCAAAGCTCAGTAGTTGCAGATGGTGTGGTTCGGGATCATCCTGTTTCAGAGGAAGTGTTTTGCGATGCGTTGACTAATGAGATGCAAGCTGTAGTAGAGGTGGATATGGGTCAAGTTCTGGTTCACTCTAGCCCTAATCAAGTTGCTGAAGTGGTTATGGGGCAAAACGAGATTCTCTCTAATCCTAATCAAGTAAGGAGCCCTCCATTGAGTTTTGCTCATGTAGTTAGAGGGTCACCAAATGCTGGGAGCCCTGTGACAACTGAGCAGTTGACTAGATCACTTGAGTCACCATTGTTAAATGATGTGAGCTCGAGGGTTGAGTCAGATCAGGGAGGGATAGAGGGTGGATTGGCTATTGTTAGTAAGGAAGTGCATACTCTACAGGTTGATAAAGGAAAGAATATTTGGGTTGAAGACTCCCATGAGGCTTTTCAAGTGGCAAAAAGGGGAGGTAAGGGTGGAAAGGGGAAGAAGCGAATGAAATGAAGATACTCACCTGGAATACTAGGGGGTTTGTAGCTGATAGTAAGTATCTAGAGGTACGTAGGAAGATAAATAAACATAATATTAGTATAGTAGCTATACTTGAGCCGAGAATTAGGAAAAAAGAAGATAAAAAGCTAGTAATTAAGAGGATTCTAGATTGGGAGAATGAGATTACATACTCCTTGGCTGGGTTGGGGACGATTTGGCTGGCTTGGAGGAAGGATATTTCTTTACGTATCTTGCACTCTACTGAGCAGTTTATTCATGTCCTTGTAAATGATGGTGTGTCTTTCTTTGCAACGTTTGTGTATGCTTCAAATGAGGAGAAGGACATGAGGCAGTTGTTTGATGATCTGAGGAATATTAGAGTCCAGGGAGCTCCTTGGATGATATATGGGGATTTCAATGTGATCAGAAGTCAAGTTGAAGCTTCAAATGTAACACACTTTAGTACAAGTATGAAGGATTTTGACAAGTGTATTATGGAATTGGAACTAGAAGACCATCAGGCAACAGGACCATGGTTTACTTGGCTTAACAAGCAAGACGCTCGTCCAATTGCGAAAAAGTTAGATCGGGTGTTGGTTAATTTTGACTGGTTGGATAAGGTGACAGAGAGCTCAGTTCATCTTCAGAAGCCAGGAGTCTCAGATCACTGTCCAAGTTTGGTGGACACTGAGGCTATAAAGCAATCACTGCCCAAACCATTTAAGTTCTTTCGATTCTGGACCAGACATCCAAAGTTTGATGAGCTACTAAAGAAGGCGTGGGATAGTGAGGTATCAGGGTCACCAATGATCAAAGTTTATAAAAAACTGAGAATTCTAAAGAAATCAATAACAAATGTTCATACTTGAATACAACAAATAAATCAATATCAAAATATTTCCACTTAAAATCAACATATGGTAAAAATATCTAACATTCTTAAATTCAACATATATAAGGTTAACGTTCAAATATTCATACCTAGAATTCAAATATTCATAGTTCAAAGATAATGCATTTCCATTTATATTACACCTAGGATATGAGAATGTTGAAATATATTATCGATAACATCACATTCAAATTATTTTTCTTCAGCTTCATGCAATAGTGTAACCAACCAGTATTCCATTGTGATTCAAGAATAAGCTATAAAATAAAAGATTGCTAAAATAACGTAAATCAATATTTAGTTTAGTGGTAAAGTTGTTGATTTGTGATTTTGAGATCCATGGTTCAGTTCTCATGAGTTTACAATGCCAAATAATAATGACTATCTCATTATCTATCTTTAACAACTTTACACCTACTATATTGGTGTTTCCACATTTATCTTTCTAAAAAAACCAAAACCACATTAGATTGAGTATCATTTTATTTTGGGTACCCAAAATAATGAGTCTAATTTAGAATTAAAAAATGTTGTGTATGAGTGATTTGGGTCAAATTGCACATGTTTTCTCTCAATATTCTTGAGATGTTTGAGGCATTTTCACTTCACGAGGTTCAATATTACGCTAGGGTATGCTTGTTTTTAGTATGTTTCAGATCTTAGCAGGTGGAATTGGTTTAGGGAACGAAAGTTGAACGAAAAGGGGCGAAAACGGATCAAAGGGAGCAAACAATCAAGGATAACGGTGGAAGCCAGATGTTCACGGTTAGGCCAACCGTGATAAAGAGGTCGGGACCGTGAAGTGCAAGGAGGCTAGGGAAGTTTTTGTGCTTCGCGGGCTTAAGAGAAATCACAGTTGATCGACCGTGAACCCCTTTAATGAAACAATTCGTTTTTGTTCGAGATCACGGTCCAAGCTTCAAGTTCACGGCCGTGAACTAGGATCGTGAAACACGCTCGATCTGGGTATAAAAGGAGAAGTGAGCTGAAATAGAAGGGGAGGAGCCTAGTGAGAGAATTGCATCTTCTTCCTCGGATTTCTAGAGAGAGTGACGAACAAGTGAGGATAAGAAAGCTAGGGTTTCGTCAAGCTTCAAGATTTGGGAATCTCATCTACCAAGGTTGATCTCTACACCAAAGGAAGAAGTCAAACATCTCAAGATGGTCTTTTCTCTTCTCCTTTGTGTATTCCCTAGTTTTAGCATGGAGTAGTCCCCTTCTTTCACTTGGGTGTTATAAATCCTAGCTAGAACTATGTGATAGGTTGTATGAATTGAATGTTTTGTGTGTGGTTTGTGCTTTAATACAGGTATTGAAGTATTTTTAGGGGTGGTAAACGGTCGGTAACAGGTTAAATCGGTTGCCGACTGACCGGTTTTTGGTATACTGGGAAAGATGACAACCCTATCGTTTGCCGATACCTGAAATGCTTCGGTACACCGATTACCGAATTGTTGCGGTTGCGGTTATGCTCCGGACAATCGTTTACCGAATGTGATGAATTATGGTGGGGACTGAATCAGTTCAACTGACAAAGAATGGCGGTGACTGGCCCACTGCCCACGTTGCTACTTTGCTTTCCCATCATCATGTCATGCACAACACTACACGCGGAGCTCTAATCTTCTTCACAAATCACACGTCCTCTAGACTTCTATTATGGACTCATCCCCTTAAAAAACAAAACATAAACAATTAAAAATAAAAATAAAAGCCATCCAACAATAGCTGATGTTAGAAGTCAAAACCGTAGCAACCAAACATCCTCTTTCATCTACCGCCGTATCCACCCAGTACCCTCCTCCCCAAAACCCTTCCGCTCCATCCTCGACCTAGAGCCACCACGTCTTCCGCAGCGGCAACGACAATGACAACAATGATTTGGACTCCATGGATTTGGCCTTCAAGGTTGCATGCAACCAGATCAGACTTCTGCCTTTACAATTCATCTTTGAGGTTTCAAAATCGCCTTTGTGCGAACTCGCCTTTTGTGGCTTTATCCTCTATTGAGATTCAATACAACACGGGGTTTGAAGAAGCGGCGGCAGCCTCTCCCACGACCATCGTCACCCCGACCCGCACGCAAACCCGTCCTCTCGTTGAGAAACTGTTCGGTGAGAACCTCCACCTGCGTTTCCATCTCTGCGCATCCAGATCTGCCCATTGGCAGCTCTCTCCATCAGCTATTTTTCGCATGGATTTCAGTCGGCCTTGTGTTGCCCAGCGCCTGAGCTTCTTAGCTTCTTTGTTCACCGTCTGGGCTACCTTTGGCGCAAGTATCACATACATAGCACAGCCAGCGCACCTCTCCTTTTCACCTGCTTTAGGACTCCCCGATGGTCGCCGCCGGCCCCAAACCCAAACCACAGCTTCGCTTTGCGCCAGCGAGGGCACCATGTGTACATTCCTGCAAGCTGCCCTGGCACGTGTAAGGTGTTTGCCTTCATTCTTATCCGAAGCAGGTAAGCGGTAAGTTTGTGAATGTCTCTATCTTGTCGTTGCTTTCGTAGGCCACAACTTATGGGTTAATGTTTTGTTTGGTTGCGCTGGCTTGTTTTATTCTTCGTTCTAAATTAAATGAACTCATAATTTAGGCTTGCTCGTTAGTTGGGCTACTAGCTCCATTTTAATAGGTGAATTTTTGGTTTGCTGATTATATTTCCTCCCATGTCATAGAGTCTGAGTTCTTTTATAACTGCTTTATGTGTTCTAGATGGGCTATTAGCTAGATTTATTTATAGGATTTGTTGCCCCAATTATTTATTTTGCAATTTCGTTGGTCCTATTGGTTCTAGGCTTCACTACTTTGGAGCTTTTGAAGTGTGGTTGCTTCGGTTAGTGTTGTGTTAGCTACTGTCTATTTGGTTGAGCCTCGTTCGTGGCTAGGTGTGATTTGTTTTGCAGGTAGAAGTTGCTCCTACTTCTTTTGGCACACGGTGGCATTCTCTTCAATGGCAGCGGGATGGAGTCGAGACTTCTGGAAAGAAGCTAGTCGTTCTTATTTTGCAGGTGATTATCTTCATGTGGGCTAGGGCCGACTTTCCCTATTGGAGAACATTTGTTTGTTAATTTTGCAGGTGATTCTTCCTGCGAGAACCAGCAACTCATTGCTTCTCTGCTTCGATTTCTAGCATGGTTAGTCCCATGATTTACAATTTTATAGGGTAGAAGTCATGAATATTGGCCATGCCGTATAGGTATAAAGAGCTGCCCGTTGCGTGGCGAAAAAGGCTCTCTTATCAATGGTTCGACTATTTGTCGACCGTCGTCCCTTTCTCTTATATGTTTTCTTACGGTTGCCTGAAAAGACTTCCAAGTCGTACCTAGTTGTTCCCTTTCGGGAATATCTTTGACAAAAAAAAAAACAACAATAGCTGATGTCTATTGTGGCGGGGGAAGGCGGGAAGCTGGCCGCCTGGAGTGGCATCAATCATCATCATACAACAACTGAACAAGGCAACAAGACAAAAATGAAGGCTGAAACTGACGATCTTATGGCGGCTATTGGGTCAGAGAAGCAGGCAGGAAGTTGCATCGCCGATTAGGTCGAGCGCACTAGGGTCGAGCGCCGGACGGAGAGGATGCGTCGCTGTGGTCGACAGAGACTCGGAAAGGTTGCGCTGCCGAACTGGTACATCGTTATCGTCGGTCTGTGCGCGCCAGCGTTAGAGAGGGATTGCCGATTGGGGTTCCAATTGGACGACCGGCGGCGAGACTCATGACTCGTGAGGGCTGGGTTAGCTTAAGTAGGCAGAGAGCGAGAGGGGTGAGAACAGGATGTTAATTTAGTTATTAATTAGTCTATAATTCATTTTTCTAATAGACTAGAGATAGAGAACCAACATTTAGGAGAATTATACTAACACGCCGCCATTCAAATTCGGTATCGGACAACCGGGTTTCCGTCGATTACCAAGCAATCGGGTTATGATATTACCGCCATCCCAGTCTTCGCATTCGACAATCATTACCATCCGGTTAACGGTTTAACCGGTATTGTTATCCGTAAAACCGAATCCTAGCCCTAGGTATTTTGATGAAGGTTGAGTTGTGTTTTCCATTTCTCACTATTATGCAAATTTCACCTAGGTAGAGGGAGATCCCCTTCTTGCTAAGATGCTTTTAAAAAAGATAGAATTCCTTGGCCAATTAAGCCACCTACTTAGGCAGAATTAGGGAAAACCTCATACTACGTTTTAGCACCTCGAGTTGGTTGTAGTGTAGCCGTCCAGACTAAGGTCTGAGGGAGAAGTCTAGGAAACCCTTAGTCAATTAGCCCAGAGAACGAACTTGTTGGCTTGATTTGATATCCCTTGGACTATCAACCGAGAGGGCGAAGCTTCTTCGCTTGTTGCGCTCTCCTATGGTTTACAACCACCTTTCTACACACTTGCATTCTTGTTGACTAACCTTGATATATGGCTAGGGGGAGCAACACCTGGGTGAAGCCTTCTCAATTAGTATTCAAAACCATTTACCTATTCGCTTGCTTTCAATTGTAATTCGTAGTTTTAACCAAAAATCAATTGCTAGATAATGTTTCAAACGATTGAAGTAGGGGTACATGGACCGGTCTGGGTTTGACATTTAAATACTTGCTCTATATTGCATCCGACTAGAGTTTATACTTGGGCTCTATTCGGGATTTTAATCCGAGGTGTAGTAGTAGCACAAGTCAAATTTTTGGCGCCGTTGCCGGGGACTTTCGGTCCATTACTTTGAAAAGGCCGTTTGGTGTTAATCTAGCTTTTACTTTTTGAATTGTTGATTGTGAATCTGCTTCGTGTTGTGTTTCTTTGAAGTGTGTGTAGGAGGGTGTATGACCCGGATTAATCCGGCACCTTTGGCGCCATTAGACGAGAACCTCAACCGAACTCTCCGACTCTTGGCTCGGGAGAGGGAGTTGGCGGAACCAAGAGGAAGGAAAGCGGATCGGGGACAAACACAAGTTGAACCGGTAGTTGAATTTGAAAATGAAGTTGAGGAGGAAGTTGAATCGTAAGAGAATTTGTAGCTGAGATGGTAGAGAATCAACATGCCTAAGAGGAGAATGAGGAAATGAGAACCATGGGTGACTATATGGCTCCACGGGCGGAGGATATTCAACCAAGCATTTTGCATGCACCCATGGTTGCCAACAATTTCGAGATCAAAGCCCGACCTCGTCACAATGATCCAGAACAATATCCATTTCCCTGGGCTTAAGGATGAGTCTACAAGGGAGCATGTCTAGAGATTCCTGGAGATAGCGGGAAGTTTTAAGATCAATGGGGTATCCGAAGAGGATCTAAAGTTGAGGCTTTTCCCTACTCTTTTGCGGCGAAGGCGCTCCGATGGCTCAACAATAGGCCACCCCTCTCGATTACCTCATGGGACGACTTGCTCAACAAGTTCATGGCCTGATATCATCCACCTTTCAAGACGGTAGAATGGCATAAGAAGATCACTCACTTCGCCCAAGAGGAGGACGAGACGTTGAGGGATGCATGGGAGAGGTACTCTGACTATTTCCTCCAATGTCCCCATCACGGGTTTGGAGAGCAGTTACAGATCAAAACCTTCTATGACCGTCTTCTTCGAGAGGATAAGATTCTCATAGACTCTTTGTGTCAAGGAAACCTGATGAACAAGATTCCACCCGGGATGACCGCTTTGCTTGAGGATATGGCGACAAAGGGGTATGATTGAGGTTTGACGAGAAGTGGAATAAGGGAAGCCGAGAGAGGAGTACACTCCACAGAGGCAAATCCTCCGCTCACCGCAAAGATTGACCAGTTGATAACGTCGCTTCTAGAAGATGAGAAGCAAGGCAAGAAGCCGGTGATTGGTGTTCGATGACCAACCATGAGATTGTGGAGTGTCAATTGATGAAGGAAGCAAGCACTCCGGACGAGAAAGTAAGCTTCATTGCTAATGCTAGGGGGATAAACAACAACAACAACCCCTATACCAACACTTACAATCCGGGTTGGCAAAACCATCCCAACTTTGCATGGTCTTCCCCGAGCAATCCAAGACCCTCGATTTCCAAGGACCAACGGGGAACTATAAACCAAGGCCTCCTTTCGTCCAACCAAGGCCACAATTCCAAGTCTCGAACTTACAACAACAATTTCAACCACAAGGTGGTCAAGGGTTCCAACAACAACTCGACAAGTTTGCAAAACTAGAAGGCCTCATCACCACCTTTGTGAGTACAAGTTCTCAGAAGTTTGAGGAGATTGAGAAATTTATGGAGGTAGAAACAAACAAGCTTACTTCAATTGAGGAAGCTCTAAGAAACCATCAAGCAAGTCTTCATAACTTGGAGACCCAAATCGACAATCTTGTTGGGATCCTCATCGAAAGACCGAAAGGAGCCCTACCTTCCCAAACTATCGCCAACCCCAAGGATCAAAATGGCGGGTTGAAAAATATTTGCTTGAGGAGCGGGAAGGTAACTCCGGAAGTTGTTGCTAAGGAGAAAATTGAAGAGAAGGAATCCCCTCCAAAGATCAACGAACAAGAACTCTCGGATGGAGAGGGTGAAGAGGCTAAGAAGGCATCGCCGACGCCACCACAAGTGGCTGAGTACAAGCCTCCTATCCCCTTCCCTACAAGGGTGCACAAAGACCATTTGGAGGTGGAATGCGGCAAATTCATGGAGATGCACAAGAAGCTCAACATCACAATGTCGTTCCTGGAAGCAATGGAGTACATGCCAAGCTAGGCCAAGTACCCCAAAGGGCTTCATGCAGTGAAGTCAAAGTTTGAAGACATCACCACTGTCACCTTGGGTGAGGATTGCTTAGCCTTCATCCATAAAAAGTTTCCTAAAAAGCAACAAGATCCATGTAGCTTTACTATCCCTCTTAGCACCAGAACATGCCATATAGAAAATTCCTTGATGGATTTAGGAGCAAGCATCAATGTAGTGCCATATAAGCTTTTCAAGACGTTAAACCTCGGTAAATTGAAAACCACTAGGTTGAGTGTTATATTGACTGGACGATCCGTGATTAGTCCTAGAGGTATTGTGGAGGATGTTCTAGTTATTATCCGAAGGATTTCATTATCCTTTACTTCAGTGAAGATGCATATATGCCTCTCATAATAGGATGCCCCTTCCTTGCCACCTCCAAGGCCTTAATTGATGTTAATGAGGGCACATTGATCTTGAGAGACAGAGAGGTGAAAATACTTTTTCGATTGACCCTAAGGGTAAGCATGATGAAGTTAAGGAAATGGAATCGAATGATATGTTTGGAAGTGGAGGTGAGCCACTCAAGGTGAACCCCACTAGTGCTCTTGCTCCTTGTGATTATGTGAAATAGGGACCTAAGGTGGGTACCAAACCCGAAGGAAAGAAAAGGAAAGCTTGGCGTGAGAAGATGAGCCACTCTTTTACCCAAAAGAAGGATAAGGGTAAAGCGAAGGTACGCGACCAAGAGGGGATGGGAGTAGGTGCTAAGCCCTATAAGGGTTAGCACCGTGATAACTAGCAAAAATCACTATGGATTATTATAAAATCAATACAACCTCTAAGCTAAATCACTACTAATTCAAACTAGTAGTAGTTTTTCCCTTGGTTAGGACGGTGCTAACTATTGTACAATTAGCACCGTAACCCCTCCCGACCAAGAGGGCCATCCTTTGGAGTTCAAGATGGGGGTGACAAGAGTATCCACTCTCGGAGGCCTCATGCTCTCAAGCATGAAGATCTGAAATGTCAAGCTAGGGACATTAAATTAGCGCTTGTTGGGAGGCAACCCAACATAGGTTTGTGTTACTTTTCCTTATTTTCTGTTTCTGTGATTGAGTGATGAGTTTAAGTGGTTGAATGGTGATCACCGTGCCAGCGTTGTGTGTTTGAAAATTTTGGATGTTTAATGATTGATTTAGGGACACGGTTATTAGATCGAGGCTTGAGAGTTTGGAAAATGCCTTGTTTTTTTATGCACTTCACGGTTTTAGCTCGGACCGTGATAATGTGGCTGAGACCGTGATCTCGAGAGGCATTTTCACTTACCCAAAACTTGCAGTTTTGTCACGAGTTCACAGTTGATGAGTTGTTTTCACGGTCTTAGTGACCATGAAAATCGACCCCCGTCCGTGAACCTCGGGATCGTGCTATAAAAGAGGGACTATGATCCCTCATTCTTCACAAACGTTTTCTCGCCGGAAGTCTAAGAATCTCGCCAGAAAATTGCGATTTCAATCCATTTTCCCTCGAGTTCGTCGAGTTCTGGCCTTCCATTTTCAAAACCAAAACTAGATCCACATTCCTCGAGACCGACCGCCTCTTCGTCGAAGTTTTGGAGTGATTTGGCGCAACTTTTTTTTTACAGCGAGACGATTTCAGGTGAGCTAGTTGAGAGCTTCAGGAAAATCTACCGTGAGCCTCTCTAGCCTGTTTTTTTGGCTATTTTTCGATTCCTCGCCATCTCCTCAACTTTCCCTTCGATCCTACTTGAGTCTCCAGGTGTGTTTTAAACTTTTGCCTTGTTAATTATGGAGAATCAACTTAGGATGCCTAGGTGAGGAGATTTCGTGCATTTATCCATGCATGTTGAAATTAGGCGGGGGGTTAGTTGATTGATGAAGATTGAATGATGCATCAAGTGGTTGTGGAGTTGATTGAGCCTTGGTGGGAAAGATTTGATATGATTTTTGTTTGGATTGGAAAATTCCCACCAAGTGCAATGTGTGAATGAATGTTTGGTCTACTTTTGTGCATGATGGTTGGTAGCTATCGAGGCATGGTTCGGGTTCGAAATTGTGATAACACCTAAATTGGTGTTATTTATCCTTCATGTATAGGTTTATTTTGTTGTAATGCATGCACATAATCATTTAATAGCGTTGATTGCAACCCTATTTCGTTCCTATTTGATTACGATGTGATTTTAGGATGCTTTAGATAATACATGCGAATTAGGTACGAAAAAAGAACAAGTGTAGAAAAAGGGGGCAAAATGGTGATGATTGTGGCCTAGAAATGGAAATCACTACTGAGAAAAAAGGCAACGAACTCAAGGCAAAGATCACGACCTTGAACCCTACGATCGCGGTTGCGATCTCTGAGGCTGAGGGCGCGAACTTCGTGAAGAAGCCAGCAAGGAGAAACAAAGAGTTTCCCTAGTCCGACCACAACCACAATTTACATTGACCGCGAGGAAGTTCGTGGCCGGGCTTCAGGGATCGTGACCGCAATCTTTATACTGCCTGGCCGCGATCTTCTCTGTTCTTTGAAGAATATAAATAGAAGACCCCTTCCGCCATTCAGGAGAGCTGATTTTGAGATAGAATTTCTTGTTAGAGAGAGAAAGAAGAGAGAGAATCTGAATGAATAAGAAGAAAAGAAGAAGGAGGAGGAGCTAAAAGGGAGGAGCCATATTCCTCACATCAATCACATCAAGTCTTCCCCAATTTATTTTATGTATCTTCTTTCCTCCTTTATGGAGTAGTCCTCTAAGGTACTAGGAGTTCTAAATCCCAAACCTTAGTTCTAGGGTTAATATGTAATGAATGGATATTTTAGGGTTTAATGAATGAATGTGTTTATCTAGTTGATTTCATTGTTTCTCTAGTTTTGATTGTGTTTGGGTAAGTCACCCTAATCTTCTATACTAGCCTTCTTAAGCTTCTACGTTGGGTATGGAGTTTTAGGGTTAGACGGGAATGCGCCATCAAGAAAATTGATGTTAGATGTATGAATATGATTCTATGGTGGACGACGCGACCGCACCGCTGCCATATGAATGCCTTCCTAGATAGAAACCGGAATAAAACCTCAGTGTGGATGGTGGGTAGTACCCATTGAAAGGAGCTATGTTCTTAATGCCCCTGAAAACGATAGCGTAGATCAAGGTGGCTGACATGGGTTTAGGGGAGATGTACTCGAGGCGTGTAGATAACCATGAAAGGCCAAGGAAAAGAGCTCACTCACCACATGCGACAAACCCTATTTATCTAGACATTTCATAGTAGACCTAGGCTAGGATTGAGCGAGAATGTGTGTGTTTGCTTGCGTTTAATTCTTCTTTTTGAACCTTCAAATCTCCTACCCCGGTCTATTCCAACTTTCACTTGCCATTATTTGGAAACTTCTTCACCCTACCCTTATTCTCCATTGAGGAAAATGTCGTTTTTAAGTGTGGGGGGTGTATCATTTGTGCTTGGCATGTGAATGCGAGTGAATGCTTGATCACAGTGGCCGGTTTGTGGGGATTCTTGTGTTTATTGGCATTGACTTTGGATTTTTTACTTGTGATTGAGTACATCCTATTATGATGATTGAGAATTGCATTAGGTTGGTGCAAGTGTTTAGTTCTCATATGTGTGCAAATAGATGGATGCCTTGACTTGAGTACTCATTGATTGCAATTGCCATGCATCAAAATATTTAAAATTGGAATAGATGATTGAGAGGCTAGGTAGCCATGTGAGATTTGTGTCGATCGTCTTTTTCATGTCAGATAGATCCCTCTTACCATGATGTGTAGCGTTCATGTTGTCATTAGCGAGGAAGATAGAGGCATAGGATTAGTCCACTCCCTAATAGTTGATTGTCTTGATCTTTGTATCCCCTAGTCAACCCTTTTGAGCCGTGTGAGTTTGGGTCGTTCTCATTGTAGGAGCTTTTGCTACTTGAGCTTAATTGAGATTTGATAGAGCGACCTTTTTCTTTCTTCATGTCTAAACCGTTGTGAGTCATCCTTGTGTCTGGGAGCTCTCGTCACTTGAGTTTTATGGAGGTTCTACATAGGTGAGTTTTGCCTGGTTCCTACTATGAATGAAAAGTTAGTGTTGGGGGAAATTTCTTAATGGTGAGAAATTGTTCGTAAGTTCTAAAGGTAGCATGTGTTTAGCTCTCTAGTACCCCCTCGAAAAAAAGGAAAAGAAAGAAAAAGAGAAAAGAAAGAAAGGAAAAAGAAAGAGAAAGAGAAAAAGAAGTGAAAAAGAGGTAATAATGAGGGTAAATAAAAGTAGAGAGTTGCCAAAAAGTTGAAGTGTATTCTCTAGAAATGTATTTCTTGACACCCAAGCTATTGAAACACCTACTTATTTGTTGACCTCTTTCACTTCTATGCTTGAAAGTTGGATAATAGGTGTGGTTTTTGGCCGATGCTAGTGGAACCTCATACTTTGTTTGACACTACCCAAAAAGCCTTTTACCCATGTCCAAGACAATATCCAGTCATCTGAATCCGTGTCTAAGACCTCCGGACATGCTAGTGACGACAACCATCTTGTGAACTTTGACATTTAGAGGTTGTCGTTGCGGTGAAGAGACGATATGGCTGAGTGTTGATGATGTGCATCTCTTGCATGAAATGGTCCTGGCCCCATTGGCGGCAGCATCAAATGCGGATCTCCAGTCGTCACCTACAGGTGGACCATTTGTCCGAGGGCTGCTCTCTGCAATGGAGCGAATGGAGAAACAAACGAAATTTAGCACCAGACCGAGGTTGCATTGAAAAGAAGCTGGGTTCTCTCGAGGGGGGCAAATTTAGATTGTACCTGCACTGCCGTTCGGCATGGTGGAAACAGCAGCAGCTGCAGCCCGGTTGTCGTGAATGCTGAGTTGACGTGTTAATTTAGACAGCATCGATGACTGCTTCTGGTACCGCTCTCTCCTATGCTTTACATTGTGGTCCTCTTGAAGCAACACCTCAATCCTTCCAGCGCTTTGAGAACTACACGTTCAGGAAAATTGATCAGGCCGACTAGGGAAAGCACAATGGATGACGAGGAAGTTAACTAAGGAGAATCAGTCAAATCTGACAGAGCTGTAGAGCTGGTTCAACATATCTTCTTTGGATTTTTCCACTTGGCAAAGCACTACTGCCTGCTCATCAAAATAGTAGTAAAATATTACCACATAGTTCGATGTCCTCATCGAAATAAAGTGAACACTATTGGTCAAGGGAGCTCACTTTGGGAACATTAGCAGCCAAGCTATTCAAAACTGCTTCGACATAACCCCGTACTTCTTGGGACATCCATCGAAGCTCCTCTTCATTCACATTTTGCATGTTGATATCTTATCCCGGTGAGGGCCTTGTTCGCTCATTTGTCTATTCCTAGGGCTTGAACTTTATGCATGGATAATTGCGGTTTATGAGTAGTTTTGTCAAGTCATGTGTTGGTTTGTGAACAGAGTGAGACCTTTTCGTTTGCACGTTCTTAATGCATTCGAATGTCGTTTATGGTGGTTTCGGTATTGCTTGTGAATTGTCCATGTGTACCCAATAACCATTAAGATCATCCACTTTGAGCCCTTTGATATGTCCTCAAGTCATTGTGTTTAGGTTGATATATTACCTTGTTTGAGTTTGGTTTGCTTGGGGACAAGCAAACATCCAAATATGGGGGAGTGATTCGGGTCCAATTGCACATGTTTTCTCCCAATATTCTTGAGATGTTTTAGGCATTTTCACTCCGTGAGATTCGATTTTACGCTAGGGTGTGCTTGTTTTTATTAAGTTTCAGATCCTAGCAGGTGGAATCGGCCTCACGAACGAAAGTTGGACGAAAAAGGGAAAACGGATCAAAGGGAGCAAACAGCCGAAGATCACAGTGGAAGCTAGATGTTCACGGTCAGGCCGACCGTGATAAAGAGGTGATAGACCGTTAGTTACACATGTTTTTACCCCTGTTCTTACACCGTTTGAGGTGTTGACTCTCGTGTTTTAGGCCGATTTCACGCTAGGTTGTGCTTGTTTGTGATATTTCAGGTCCTAGTACGTGAATGGAGGCTTGGGAGCGAGTTTGGGGTCGATTGGACGAAGATCGGACGCGTGGCGAGGTGCTAAGGAAGCTGCACGGGCATTCCTGGACATCACACGGCCATGCAACTCACATTTGTGGCCGTGTGGTTTTCGTCGAGAGCATGCACGGGCAGGATGGAAATCCCGCACGGCCGTGCGACCCTGGCCGTGTGGGAAGCCTAAGATCGAACTAATTGGAACGCAACGTTTTGACTCGCACAGGCAACTGGGTGAGCCACACGGCCGTGTGGCCTGCCCGTGCGAGTCGGGAAATCTTGATTTTTCAGCCAATTTCGAGCCACAAGTGAGGAGATCGGACTTTTTGAGCAAAAACAGAGCCCTAGAGAGAGAAAGTACGAAGAACACATCCTAGAAGCTATCTTGGAGCTGGGTTTCATCGAATCGAGCTTGGAGATCGTCCCAGGAGTGGAAATCATCATCCCGGAGCATATTTTCCTCATCCTTATGAGTATGACTACTCCGATTACTGTTTTCTTCTCTCTCTATGGAGTAGAACCCCTTTCTCACTTGGGGATGAAGAACCCTAGTTCTATGTGTTAGGGATTGATTGTAATGACTTGGGATGAGATTACTGTTTGATTTTAATCGAATGATGCATGTTTATTGAGTCAATTGAAGTCTGATCAACTTTTCCTGATTCCTGCTGCAATCTGAGATAGATAGAATCTGATTAGGTTGCTAGAGTCTCATCATTCGGTAGTAGGAGATTGGCTATACGAGAGTTAGCCAGTTTACTACTTTGTACTGGAATCCAATTCTAGTAGTGGAGTTCTGTTCTTACTGCTTCAGCTTTCTATCCCGGTGAAGACTAATCGTCTGCCGGGTAGTTAGACTGAGAGGGCTTGGTCAGCTTAAGAGATTCCAAGCTACTGTCGGATCTTCCGCAGTCTAATCAACAGTAAACCAACCCAGAGAAATACAATTGAAACCTAACTAAGGAGCTAGTGGGACTCATTCCCGAGTGACTCTTTCCTGCTTGGAAAATAATTTCCTGCTTTCTTGTTGCTTTTAGTTTAAACACAAATCACTCGACTTAGTTGGTTAGATAATAAATAATCACGGAGTAAGCAGTAGATCTAGACCCCGGGTTGATAATAGAACTTCCCTGTTACTGCATTCCCGGACTGCGATTACACTTGGTCGTAGTTTGGTGTTGTGTTTCAGAGCATCAAGTTTTTGGCGCCGTTGCCGGGGAACCCTCTAGGTTATTGGGGAAACGTGAGAATTTGTTACTCTAGCTTTTTATTTACTGCATTTTATCTCTTCCACCTGTGTGCCTTCACGGGTTGCTTCTGCTGATTGTGTGCAGGTAGTGCATGACCCGTAGCCAGTCGGGAGATCTACTACCACTAGACCAGGAGCTGGAACGAACCTGCAGAAACTTCAAGCGGGCTCTAAAGGCGCGACTGGCTGCCGAGGAGGCGCTAGCACAGCTACAGATCACTGAAGAAGAGGAGATGGCTGATCCACAGGGCCATGCTGTGGTCGATCCCGAGGAGCATACCTTGGGACATTACTGGACCGCCAGGGCTGCAGACATGAGGTCACCTATTCAACACCCTCATGTCCCAGCCAATAATTTTGAGGTGAGCACCTCAGTAATCACCATGCTGCGCGGTTCGGTGATGTTCCGTGGCAAAGAGGGGGAGTGCCATCGATCACATCTCAGGCGATTCCATGAGCTCATTGATGGAATCAAGATCAATGGGGTCCCAGCGGATGCCATCCAGCTGAGATACTTCCCATTCACCCTGGAGGGGCAAGCCAAGGAGTGGCTAGATACTCGACCTCCGGGCTCCATCACCACGTTCGCCAACCTGGCGGACAAGTTCCTTACCCGCTACCATCCTCCGTCGAAGACGGCGAACTTACAGAAGCAGATCACCCACTTCACCCAGGATGAAGATGAGACCATCCGGGATGCTTGGGAGAGATACAACAGTCTCTTCCTGAGGTGTCCCAATCATGGTTTCAACGACGCTTTCAAGGTGGGAACCTTCTATCACGCCCTCTTCCCGGAGGACAAGCAGCTGATTGATTCGGTTTGTGGCGGGAACATGCTGACCAAAACACCGCCACAGCTTAATCAACTCTTTGAGGAGATGGCGGAGAACGGGTACGATTGGGACACTGCCAGGAGATTGAGACGAGCACCAGGACGAGGTGTGCATGCTGTGGGCACCCAGTCATCTGATTTGGTACAGGTGGTATCGAAGCTGGTCTCAGCTATCGATCGTTCTGATTTGATTGAAGGTACAGGACAGCCGCAGGCGATGCTCTGCCAGTGGTGCGAGAGCACCCATCATACAGTGGAAGACTGCCAGGTGATGAAGGAATCGACCACCCCCCAGGAGCAGGTTAACTTCATCAACAATGTCAGGCGCAATGACCCCTACAGTAACACCTACAATGAGGGGTGGCTCCAGCATCCCAACTTCTCCTGGGGTGGGGAAAATCCCAGACCACCAGTACCCCAAGGACCACCGGGCTTCCAGAGGCCACCATATCAGCCCAGACAGGGGCAATTCCAGCAGCAGCAGTCTCTCTACCAGCCCATGCAGGGGCATGCTGCTCCATCACAGCTGCGACCTTTCCAGCAGCCAGGTGCAGCCCCTGCCGCCCCAGCGCAGAATGATCAGATGGCTGAACTGCGGGAATTGGTGGGTTCTCTCGCCAGTTCTAGTGCTCAAAAATTTAACACTATCGAGCAGTTCATGGAAAAGGCATCGGGTAAATTCCTGGCTCTAGAAGCTGGCCAGAGGAACACACAGGCTGTCTTGCAGGATATCCAAACCCAGCTGGGGAGTGTGGCTCAAGCAGTGGCACAAAGGGCTCCTGGTACTCTACCCGGTCAGACCATCCCTCATCCTCAGAACCCGAATGAGCACTGCAATGCCATCATGACCAGGAGTGGCAAGATGACTGTTGACCCACCTGTTCGGGCTCAAGAGAGAGAGGCCCCTGCCTTGGCATCTTCAGCAGCTGAAGAAGAAGCAGAGAAGGAGGTTGAGGTGCCTGCACCTAATCCGCAACCAGTAGTGAAGGAGTATATCCCTAAACTCCCCTTCCCTACTCGGTTGCACAAAGACAGGCTGGAGGCAGAGTTCGAGAACTTCTTGGCCATGCTTAGGAAGCTGAATGTCCAAGTACCTTTCCTGGAGGTACTATCTCAAATGCCTAAGTATGCGAAGTTCCTGAAGGATCTTCTCTCAAAGAAGCAGAAGCTGAGCGAGCTGGCCACTGTGGAGCTCAGCGAGGAGTGCTCGGCCATTCTGCAGAACAAGCTTCCGCAGAAGCAGAAGGACCCAGGTAGTTTTACTATCCCGTGCTCTATAGAAAATTTGCATGTAGAGAGGTCCTTGGCGGATTTAGGTGCTAGTATAAATGTTATGCCATATAAAATGTTTAAGAAACTAGGCCTAGGTGAACCCCGTGCTACTAGGATGAGCCTTCAATTAGCTGACCGATCTGTAGTGCATCCTAGGGGCATAGTGGAAGACCTTCTGGTTAAGGTTGGCAAATTCAATTATCCTGTTGATTTTGTGATTTTGGACATAAATGAGGATGTGGATGTGCCATTGATACTGGGAAGGCCTTTCTTGGCCACCGCCAAGGCCCTCATAGATGTGCATGATGGGACCTTAGTTTTGAGGGATGGTGAGGAGCGAATAGAGTTTTCAATTTCTAATACTCATCCTGCTTCGTCACCTCTGCATGCTGTATCTCACCAGGAGCACGAGTCTGTCGTGTATCCTTCTGTGTTGCCTATTTTGCAGGATCCGCCTCCCATATCTTCGCCGCCACTCCCGTCCACTCCGTCATCGAAGGAACAAATCAGGGAGGAGTGGCGGCCGAAACAGCAGGCAGCTAAGCCTGCTCGAAAGAAAGCCGGAGACCACTATGAGCTAGTCCCGCCCCCACCTTGGCCATCCGAGTATTCACTCGCTTGCATCCTGCCGGATGGCCAAGTTGAGTTGGCAAATGCTGGTGGCCACATTCGGCGTGTGCATGGCCATCATTTGAAGCTGTACCTCAAGAGCGAGGTGGATCCGCTCTTGAAGGCACCTGCTCTTTCACCTCACCGAGATTCCATCTACTGGCGTCCAGCTAAAAGACGGTAAAGAAGCGCTTGTGGGGAGGCAACCCCACCGAGGTTTGCATTTTCTTACATTTTTCCTTTTGTTTTTTTTTTTTGTGTTTTTGAGTCTTGAGATGTTGTTCCAGAGTCGAATGTCGTTTTTGGATGAAAACATGTTGAATTCGGGGCTCCAGCAGCTCACACGGCCAGGCCATATTCTCGCACGGCCGTGTGGATTTTATCCCCTGGCCGTGTGAGCTCTCGACAAATTCCACACAGCCAAAAGTGCAATTCGCACGGCCGTGTGGTGTGGCCTGGCCTGGCCGTGTGGCCGACACGGGAAACTCGTTGATCGCACGACCGTGTGAAATTTTTCCATCGGCCGTGTGAGCCCTCGACAAATTCCACACGGCCAAAAGTGCAATTCGCACGGCCGTGCGGATTTCCTCGACCTGGCCGTGTCGGCCAACACGGGCAAACTTGCACCTCGCACGGCCGTGCGAGCCTGCCCGTGTGGCCGAGCCACGGCCTATATATTCGGCCAGCACGGCTGAGTGGTCATAATTTTGAAAATCCTCGCCGGAAAACCGCGACAAAACCCCCCATTTCGATTTTTTCGGCCATTTTTTGTCATTTTTCCACCAAACCAACAACTAACCCACCCTTCCTACACCAAAAGCGGCCTATCCCTCCATTTTGAGGAGATTTGGCCGACGTTTTTGTCACCGGAGGCGATTTCCGGCGAGAATCCGACGGGAACTTCCGGGCACTTTTTCGGCGTTTCGTCGCTTCCATCGCCTTCCCCTCATCATCCCCTACACCTCTACTTGAGTCTCCAGGTTTGATTTTGCCCTTAACTATGTTAATTGTGGAGAATTGGGTGTTAGGGTGCATGTTTAGAGAACCTCATTGAATCTTGTGATTTTTGTGCAATTGATTGAGGGGAATGCATGGAGTGTGTTTGAATTGTGTTGGGCAAAGTCCCTCTTGATTGTTTGAGCCCTTGTGTGCATGAATTGTGCCAATTTCATGCTTACCTTAATAGTGCACACAAGGTGTTCGATGAAATGCCTGTTTTTCATGCTATGTTGTGGGCACCGGTTGTGACCCTTATTGATGTGTTTTGAGGGTGTGTTTGCTATGGATGTGAACCTTAAGTTGCCTACTTTATCGTGAATGTGCACCCCCACTAAGATTATGCTTGATTTATCGAGTTTTTGACCCCCGAACTATGGATGAAACCATGGCTCGGCTGTTTTCAGTTCTTAAGTGTGGGGGTGTAATTGACCCTTTCTTTGGCTCTTTTGGTTCCACTTTGGGTTGTTCTTTTGCAGGACAATGTCGAAACCTGACCTCAAGCACCCGTTCATCCGGGATTTGAAGAGGGGGCCCGCTCAGGATCGCTTCAAGCAGGTCCTGAAATGCCCGTTTGGGCAGCACCATTGCTGGTCCAAACGGGAGTTTCGGGAATTGCACTGCTACGAGCAACTCTCCGCCGCCGTCACCAACCAACCATGGCGTCGTCTGCTCTCCATCTGCGAGAAGGTTTACTATGAGCCCATGCTGGAGTTCTACACGACCTTCAAGCACACACCCACGGACGATTGGAGAGATGGTGCAGCCGTCAAATTCAGGCTAGGCGGTGCCCCATGGTCCTTGAGCTACCACGAGCTGGCCGAGGCTCTCGACCTCGACCTCGACGACGGTCTGGACTACGTCACCGCGGTCAGCGACCCGCCTGAGGTGGACTTCAAGAGGCTGTACACCCGCCTGGCTCGGCCAGGCCAGACACGTCCCTTCTCGGCCGGGAGGACGAAGACAACTACACTGCAGCTCGAAAACCGCCTTCTCCACCACCTCCTGGCGAAGTCTTATACTCCAACTTCAGACAGTGCCAGCGCCATCACTAAGAGGGCCCTGTACCTCCTCCAGTCGATCCGCCAGGACGACCATCCCCTCCACTTGGGTTCGGTGGTGGCCAGAACCTTCGAGAAGACTGCTTCGGAACTGAAGAGTCTCCACTGCACCCCCCTCATCACCCGCCTGGCCACCTACTTCGGCCTTTCCCTGCAGGGGTGCACACAGCAGGGGGACACCATCGTTTTTGGCAGGTCCACGATCAGTCACATGCACCTGCTGCGACAGAACCGCGGCATTCTATGGATCGAGGGGTTTCCGGAACCTCAGATCTTCGCGGAGGACCAGCAGGAGGACCAGGGGGATGAGGCTGCTGATCATGTGGAGCCCGAGGATGTGGACGCTGCTGTTGATCCACAACATACTCACTTCCATTACGGAGGTGGCAGCTCCGCTTTCCCGGGGCAGGATTACTTCACCTCCCAGTTCAAGCAGCTGCGTCTCTAGAACCAGCAGATCCTCGACCATCAGATGCAGTTCCAGCAGCAGTACGCGGCTCACCAGGCCGGGTACCACCAGAGGATGGCTGTTTACGATGAGAGATTGGACCAGATCCAGACCCAGCAGGGAGTGACTCTCGCACACATCGAGCGAGAGAGGCGCCGTTCACGGCGCATGCAAAAGGTCCAGCAGCATTTACTCCGGCTGCTACCGGGCGAGCAGCCCGTTTGGAGGACTCCCTGGGAGGACTCTCCCCTTCCACCTCCACCCGCGAATGGTGATGATGGTGCTGCTGGTGATGACGCCTTCATGGACGACATCGACTTTGGTGATCTTGGCGACGAGTAGGCTGTACTCGTTGCCCATCTCAGTGTGTTTTGTTTTCCGTGTTAGACTTTTGTGTGTTTGCTCCATGTGTGAGGAGCTTGAACTTAGTGTCGTTTGTTTTTGTTTTTGGTTTTCTTTTGTGGATTGTTTTTGTTGTAGCCGTCTGGGCTAACACTTATCCCTAACACAACGTGTGCTAGTGTGTTCTTGGTGTTCGATTCGTGCAGAACTGTCCATCTTCCCGTTTGTTTCTCGCTGACTGGTCCACTTCCAGTCCCCCAGCAGTTTCAATCCGGTAACATCGTTCCCCTTATCTCTCCCTCTACTCCATTGAGGGCAATGTCGTGCTTAAGTGTGGGGGGGTGCTTTGTATCGGTTGGAATATATATTTGGGTGCTTGGAGCCTAGTCCGCTGTCCGAATCTTACGATTTGAGGGCTCCAAGTACTGCTGTTTGATCATATTGGCACTGTGTTTTGATTGGTGAATTGAATGGTTTTCGGATTGATGCATGACAGCTTGATTGCGACTAGGACAACCTGTGATGAGGACTGAGACGTGCAGTAGAATTGTGTAGGGGTTCAGTTCTTTCAACTGCTTGCTTACCAACTGTGACTTGATTTAATCACTTGTTCTTGACAGTCGTTTATGCATCTAGTTCAGGGTATCAGAATGTGAGATAGAGCATATAGGTAGCCATGTGAGATTTGAGCCTGCTCGTTTCTTTCTTGTGCGATAGATCCCTCTTCCATGATGTGTAGCATTCACGTTGTCACTAGCTAAGATGATGGGGGCATAGGATTAGCCCACGACCAAAGTTGACTGTCCTGATGTGTCATATCCCCTAGTCAGCCCTTTTGAGCAGTGTGTTATCCTTTCTTTTGGTCTGAAATGAAAAAAATCACCCTTGTTGCATCTTGTAGAAGGTTCCACAGAGTGGTTTTTACATATTCTCTGCTGTTTCTGCTAAATTTGATGTGAGTGTTGGAGGTAGTGCTTAAAAGTTGGGCAGGTATTTGAAATATGTGCAGAAGTGGTGGCTCTCTTAAGAAATGAAAAGAAAATGGAAGAAAAACAAAGAAAAATTGAAAGCAAAGAGAGCCACTACCAAAAATCTGAATAATGCCCAGTAAGTAGTGTTTCTTAGCAGTCTGGCTTGGAAATGCTGACATTTATACCTCCTTCGCTCTTGTGCTCTTGAGATATTGAGTAATGCAGAATAGCAGAAAGGAAATACCGGTTTGTTTGACTGTGATTGTGTGGGTTTGGAAATGTGGAACCTTGTGCTATGTATACTTCCACCACCTAAAAGGCCTTTTCCCCATGTCCAAGACCCTAGCCAGTCATTTGAACCTGTGTCTAAGACCTCCTGATTAGTTAGTGGTGACACTCCATATGTGAACTCTAGCATTTAGAGGCTGCCATCATGGTGAGGAGATGTTAGGGATTGAGAAATAACATGCGCATTTTTCGCATCAAATTGTCCTGACCCCACTGGTCGAGAGTGAGTGATTCATTTTCATATTCTATATACTCTTGTACCCCGGTGAGGACCTAGATTGCTCGGTCTCTATTCTGATGTCTTGAGTTGGATGCATGAGTTGACTGTTTTGAGTAAGTGGTTGAGTCAAGTCTAGGTTGGTTGGTGAACAGAAGGGAGACTCTTCCTTTACTCGATTTTGCTGCACTCGAATGTCCTTTGTGGTGGTTGTCCAGATTGCTATTGAAGTTGGTCAGGTGTTGATGTTTGAAAACCAGTACGATTCACGTGTTCTGTGCCTTTATGACTTATCCCCAATGTTGGTTGATTGAAATATGTAAGCTTACCTTGTGTCTGACTTGGTTTGCTTGGGGACAAGCAAACGGTTAAGTGTGGGGGAGTTTGATAGACCGTTAATTACACATGTTTTTACCCCTGTTCTTACACCGTTTGAGGTGTTGACTCTCGTGTTTTAGGCCGATTTCACACTAGGTTGTGCTTGTTTGTGATATTTCAGGTCCTAGTACGTGAATGGAGGCTTGGGAGCGAGTTTGGGGTCGATTGGACGAAGATCGGACGCGTGGCGAGGTGCTAAGGAAGCTGCACGGGCATTCCTGGACATCACACGGCCGTGCAACTCACATTTGTGGCCGTGTGGTTTTCGTCGAGAGCATGCACGGGCAGGATGGAAATCCCGCACGGCCGTGCGACCCTGGCCGTGTGGGAAGCCTAAAATCGAACTAATTGGAACGCAGCGTTTTGACTCGCACGGGCAACTGGGTGAGCCACACGGCCGTGTGGCCTGCCCGTGCGAGTCGGGAAATCTTGGTTTTTCAGCCAATTTCGAGCCACAAGTGAGGAGATCGGACTTTTTGAGCAAAAACAGAGCCCTAGAGAGAGAAAGTACGAAGAACACATCCTAGAAGCTATCTTGGAGCTGGGTTTCATCGAATCGAGCTTGGAGATCGTCCTAAGAGTGGAAATCATCATCCCGGAGCAGATTTTCCTCATCCTTATGAGTATGACTACTCCAATTACTGTTTTCTTCTCTCTCTATGGAGTAGAACCCCTTTCTCACTTGGGGATGAAGAACCCTAGTTCTATGTGTTAGGGATTGATTGTAATGACTTGGGATGAGATTACTGTTTGATTTTAATAGAATGATGCATGTTTATTGAGTCAATTTAAGTCTGATCAACTTTTCCTCATTCCTGCTGCAATCTGAGATAGATAGAATCTGATTAGGTTGCTAGAGTCTCATCATTCGGTAGTAGGAGATTGGCTATACGAGAGTTAGCCAGTTTACTGCTTTGTACTGGAATCCAATTCCAGTAATGGAGTTTTGTTCTTACTGCTTCAGCTTTCTATCCCGGTGAAGACTAGTCGTCTGCCGGGTAGTTAGACTGAGAGGGCTTGGTCAGCTTAAGAGATTCCAAGCTACTGTCGGATCTTCCGCAGTCTAATCAACAGTAAATCAACCCAGGGAAATACAATTGAAAGCTAACTAAGGAGCTAGGGGGACTCATTCCCGAGTGACTCTTTCCTGCTTGAGAAAACCGAATAATTTCCTGCTTTCTTGTTGCTTTTAGTTTAAACACAAATCACTCGACTTAGTTGGTTAGATAATAAATAATCACAGAGTAAGTAGTAGATCTAGACCCCGGGTTGATAATAGAACTTGCCTTTTACTGCATTCCCGGACTGCGATTACACTTGGTCGCAGTTTGGTGTTGTGTTTTAGAGTATCAAGAGGCCGCGACCGTGAAGTGCAAGGCAACCAGGGAAGTTTTTATGCATTGTATGCTTAAGAGAATTCTCGATCATTCGACCGTGATAATCCGCTCCAGACTGTGAACTCCTTTACTGAAACAACACGTTTTTGTTCGAGATCACAGTCCAAGCTTCAAGTTCACGGACGTCAACTAGGATCGTGAAACGCGCTCGATCTGGGTATAAAAGGAGAAGTGAGCTGAAAGAGAAGTGGTGGGAACCTAGCAAGAGAATTGCATCTTCTTCCTCAGATTTCTAGAGAGTGGCGAACAAGAGAGGAGAAGAAAGCTAGGGTTTTATCCAAACTTCAAGATTTGTGAATCTCATCTACCAAGGTTGATCTCTACACCAAAGGAAGAAGTCAAACATCTCAAGATGGTATTTTCTCTTCTCGTTTGTGTATTCCCTAGTCTTAGCATGGAGAGTACCCTTCTTCACTTGGGTGTTGTAAACCCTAGCCAGAACTATGTGATAGGTTGTATGACTTGAATATTTTGTGTGTGGTTTGTGTTTTAATGCAAGTATTGAGGTATTTTCATGAAGGTTGAGTTGTGTTTTCCATTTCTCACTATTATGCCAATTTGACCTAGGTAGAGGGAAATCCCCTTCTTGTTACCAGGCTTTTAAATAAGCTTGAATTCTTTTGCCAAATGAGCCACCAACTTAGATCGAATTAGGGCAAACCTCATACTAAGTTTTAGCACCTCGAGTTGGTTGTCGTGTAGCTGTCTGGACTAAGGTCTAAGGGAGAAGCCTAAGCAACCCTTAGTCGATTAGCCAAAAATGCTAACTTGTTGGCTTGATTTGATATCCCTTGGACTATCGACCGAGAGGGTGAACTTCTTCGCTTGTTGCGCTCTTCTACGGTTTACAACCACTTTTCCACACACTTGCATTCTTGTCGACTAACCTTGATATATGGCTAAGGGGAACAACACACGGGTGAAGCCTTCTCAATTAGTGTTCAAAAACCATATACATTTTTGCTTGCTTTCAATTGCAATTCGTAGTTTCAATAAAAAATCGATTGCTAGATAATGTTTCAAATAATTGAAGTATGGGGTACATGGACCGTCCCGGGTTTGACATTTAAATACTTTCTCTATACTGCACGCGGCTAGAGTTTATACTTGGGCTCTTGTCGGGATTTTAATATGTGGTGTAGTAGTATCACTAGTCAATGATTACGTCCCAAAAGTGATTTTACCCAAATTTAATTTTATCCATAATAAAGTGAGGAAGCAGACAACTTAGAAAACCCCTAATTAAAACCACTACTCTAGTCGATTGGGACTTGATATGTTCATTGGAAGATAGACTAGAGGTTCAATATAAGATGAAAGAGCTATTATGGAAGCAAAAGTCACGAGTTGATTGTTAACACAAGGTGATTGTAATACTGCCTACTTCCATATAGTACAACAACTAGGCATCAGTCGTCAGGCCAACTCCATTTGGGGATTAGAGGACTCTAAGGGGATCTGGTGCTGAAATGAACATGAAAAGTTAAACATAGCCGTAGACTTATACCAAAATCTATTCCAATCCCATGATGCAGGGGAATCAACATGTCTAACCTTTCCTTCGAAAGGTTGCTCACATAAGATAAAAACCTAGGTCTTCTTGAACTTCAACAAATTACACCAAAAGAAGTCAAAGAAGTAGTCTTTAGTATGAGTAAAACACAAGCACCCAGACCAAATCGTTTTACATCTGGTTTCTTCCAAGCGTATTGGGATGTGGTAGGGAAGGATGTTATCCAAGATGTCCTAGCCTTCTTTCACTTAGACCATCTCTTAAGATCCATGAATGGAAACCTGGATTTCTCTCGTTCCAAAACCATCTGATGTTCGATCAATGAGGAATCTTAAACCCATCAGCTTGTGCCAAGTACTCTTTAAGAGAATAACTAAGATCCTGGCTAATAGGCTTAGTCGAGTGTTACCCACCATTATATCTCAGACTCAGAACAGGTTTATCAAAGGACATCAAATCTCGGATAGCATCTTAATAAGCCATGAGATATCCCATCATCTTAAAACTAGAGGTGTCAATCGGGCGAGTTCGGGCTGGGTTCATTCGGGTTGCGGGTTGGTCGGGTTGTGGGTCGATCGGGTGGCGGGTTCATCGGGTTCGGGTTGATCGGGTTGCGGGTTACGGGTCAATCGGGTTGCGGGTCAATCGGGTTACGAGTCAATTGGGTTGCGGGCCAATCAGGTTACGGGTCAATCGGGTGCAGGTCAATCGGGTTGCGGGTCGGACGGTTCGGGTTGCGGGTTTTACGGACTAGAACATCACGTTACTTTTTAGTGATTACTAGTAAGTCGTAAATCATAACTATATGAAGCTAGCACAATACTTGTCAAAAAAAGGAATCACTACTCAAAGTCAAAGACTCAAAGGTGGGGGGAAACAAAATTTTGGGGAACATTATAGGGGGAATTATTGGCGGGTCTCGGCGGGTGGGGGAATCAAATTTTTGGGCAGTAGTATTGGGGGAACCCAAAATTTGGAGAGAAAAGTTTAAAAGTAATTTTTCAATTTTTTAAAAACAAGTGAAATTGTTCATATAAATGTATAGAGAAATTGTTGTTTTAGCTAGTTAATTGTTTATATTATTTTTGTATTAAACTAAATTATAAAATTCAGAAAAATTGTTGTGAGTTCAATTGTAACTTTACTCGATAACATATAATCTGAACTCTAAATAGTTTGAACCCCAAATGATTTTATTCATGAACATGTGTTAATAAATAACTTGATCCTTATTATTTATGATTTTGATTAATCTTGGCTAAACCATTAATAGTTTAATACCTTAACCCTAACCCATTACCCTATACATCGATCTCTATATCATATACCCTAAACCCCTAATGGTTTGATTGATGAACATATGTTAATAAAAAAAAAACTTGATTTGTATTAGTTATGATTTTGACTAATCATGGCTAAACCATTAATACCTTATACCCTATAAGTCGACTTTATAATCTATAACCTAAACCCCTAATGGTTTGATTCATGAACATATATTAATAAGAAAATTTGATCTTATTAGTTATGATTTTGACTAATCGTGGCCAAACCATTAATACCTTATACTCTAACCATATACCCTACAAGTCGACTCTATAACCTATACCCTAAACCTCTACTGGTTTGATTCATGAACATATGTTAATAAGAAAAGTGGATCTTATTAGTTATGATTTTGACCACTATGAGAAAAAGACCTTCTTGGCACACTTTGATTGCAACACTTTGTGATCGAGTTACCTTAGATATACAATAGAACCACTTTTTTTTGAAGTTGCGAAAAAAACCTTCTTGCAACACTCAGATTGCAACATTGAGTGAAAAAGTTGCCTTAGATATACAATAGCAACACTTTTTTTTAAAGTTGCTATTAAGTAGTTTACGCAACTCAAATAAATTATATGTTGTATTTGCTCTATTATTCGTAACACAAAATCACAATTAAATTTTCCCTTCCCCATGGCGGCTTCCGGTTTCCAGGGACTTGCAGGGAGCGGTGGAATTGGCTATCCGACGTTTTAACAACTGTTTGGTGGGTAGGATTCTTTGGTGCTTAGTATTGAGCGAGATTTGGCGTGAACGCTGCAGGAGAGTTTTTGGAGGAAAGCAATTAGCAGTGGCAGGTCTTGTTAGGAAAATGCAGGAAGTGATGGAAGCAAAAGAAGCAGGAGACCCTAGTTTTGCAGAGTTGGAAATGGCTCGGCTTTTGTGGTACAAAGAGCAGTCTTGAAGAAAGCTTCGTAGTTGTGCTGTTGCGCCATTTCTCTTCTCTTTTTTTGATTGAATTCTAGTGAGTAGTTGGGTTGTGAAGGTCTGTATCTTGTTGAGACTATGTACAGATTGTATTTGATGAAAATAAAGATTTCACCCATTCATAAAAAAAAATGGGTTGCTAAATCTATTGTTTAAATATTTCTAGGTTATATCTATTGCTTAAATATAAAAACAATTTAACAATTAGCAATTTCTTTAACAACAATTTATTAAAATCCTTGGAGGGAGAATTCACTTTGCTTCGAATTCATTTTAGCTCGAGAGAGCTCAAAATTTGCACTTCTTTTTGTAGAATTGGCTCCAACATTTGCCTCCAATAATTTTTGCCGTCCCTTTTCTGTTCTAAAATTTTTTGGCCTACCGCAAGTGCAAAATCTCACCCCCTTCACCCTTAATTAACCTAAATCCTAACAACTTGCCCCCGTCTTTGCTCCCATCCGTCGAAATCCAACCCCCTTTTCCCAAAACAGCGAAACCCACCTCCAGACGGCGAACTCCTCTCCGTTCGAGCCCCCGGCCCCGGCCTTGCCCAGAAACCCACAACCTTGCTCGTCTCCGCTTCCAACGAGAAGAACCTAACCCTTTCCTCTCCTTTCTCCCCAACATCGGCTGCCCTGCTGGTCTCTGCTTCCGACAAAAGGCCGCCACCACTCTCTGCTTCCGACCTTCCGCCTTCTACTTTAAACCTCTGCGTGCCCAGCCATTGAGCCTGAGGACACTCTGAATATAGCCTCAACCTAGTTGAATAGGTATAATGTATTTCAGTTTTCTAATTTTGGATTTAAGGTGTTTTTAGGGTTTGAAATCGAACAAATTAGGGGTTTCAGTTTTGATGGAATTTGATATTCCTTCTAATTGAACTTGGTTAGATAATCCTCTATTGATGCTAGTCCTTTTCTTTTGATTTTTTTATCTGGTACAGTTACAGAGACTCATAGAGGTATAACTGCTCCTAGATGCAACGTATTTGACTGGAGCTGTACAAGAACCCAGAAAGTGCTAACTCTTGAGTTCGTCCACCTATTAAAGAGGTAAAATAATCGTTTGCAATGCTCCACAATTTGACACATGTTATTCATGAATTTCAAAGAATTCGCTGACTTTCTTACGTATCTTAACTTTGTGCAGATGCTGGCAAAATGAACCACCCACTTTGACAAGGTATATATATTACAGGCTCTGTAGAGATGAATCTAAAGTTGCTGAACATGTAGTTGGTGGAATGTGAATCTTGTTTCGAGGGAGGAAGGATAGAAACTACTCAACATTATTTTTTAGAAGTTTAATCTAAAACTTTTTTTTTATAAGAAGCCCAATAATCTAAAACTTCCAATATCTTTTGTATGGTTAGATCATGCTATATGAGCAATTAGATTTGTATAGCTTTTATTTATATCTTTGTATGGTTAGATCATGTGATATGATCAATTAGATTTGTATAGTCGGGTTGCGGGTTGGTCGGGTTCTGAGTTCGGGTTAGTCGGGTTGCGGGTTGGTCGGTTGCAGGTTAATCGGGTTGCGGGTTGGTCGGGTTGTGGGTCGGTCGGGTTGCGAGTCGATCGGGTTGCGGGTTGGTTGGGTTGCGGTTCGATCGGGTTGCAAATCGGGCGGGTTACGGGTCATTGACTTTTAGTCAAATCGGGTTGATCGGGCGGTTTACTCGGGTCGGGTTACATTTTGACAGCTCTACTTAAAACCATGACCTTGGGATGAAAAACATGGATGACACTGAAATTGAATATGGAAAAAGCATATGATAGTGTCGAATAGTCATTCCTTTTTTAGGTGATGAAAGAATTAGGATTTGATCGAAAGTTTATATCCTGTATTAAAGAATGCATTACAATATTATCCTACTCTATGCTAGTGAATGGGGTCCCTTCCAACTATTTTCAACCTTCAAGAGGCCTTCAACCTCCAATTTGTCGCCACTTTCATTTATTAGTGAAGCTTGCATACAACCCTTATAGTTTCATCATTTGCCGATGATTTTCTCTTCTCATATGTGGTACTGTTAGCAAGAGCAAGACAATGAATGCTTATTTAAAAGTATAGTAATTTAATTTATGTGTGGGAGAGTGAACTTTAATATATGAGCTACTTTACTTATTTATATTTTGAAAATTAAAATTTATGGTTAGAAAATTTCTATACAATTTAGAGAATGTTTAAAAGTTTACACTTGCTTTTGCGCTTTTGTTATTACCCTTCATTTGCTTCTACATAAAAGCTAGACTTTTACTACATTGCTGCTAAGGTCCAATACAAATGGCCTGAACAAGACCTTAGCAGTTAGCATATCCATATAATTTCCCAAATGGGGGATCTACCACCACTGTCACGGCCTTACTCTTGGTCGTGCGGCCCTAACTCTCAATTCCGTTAGAGATGCTAGGCAGCCTTCTCACAAGCTCTCAAACTCACTCAACTCACAAGAAGAAGACACAAGAAGATGGGAGAAACTCTATAGTTGTATTGCTCACAAAAATGATGGATGAGTTACAAGTGAGGGAGATGGCTCCTTATATAGGCCTCTCCTCGTACAAGGCATCAATGCCCCTCATAATGGTCCCTCCACATTACTACACCCTATTAAGTTCCCCCCCATAATGCACACCATTATACCACCTCATAATGTGGCTCTTTATGTGCACCATTAAGCTCATATTCAAGATGGGGAATCCTAGGAGCATCCTATGCTACTAGGTCTTCCTTAATGCCGCACATGCTTGACTTGGTCATGATCCGCACATCATTCTCCATGTCGCCCACCACGCGTGACATCCTCCCCCACCTATTCTTGCGACGCCCTCGTCGCGTCCTTGCTACGAAATGCCTCCATCGACCTCGAGCAACCTCTCTGGACTCTTGAGCCTCGTTGGTGACATTCTCCTCCACTCAATCCACGACGCCCTCGTCGTGACTCTTTAGCAGACACCTTCCTTGCCTTAGCTTCATTGCTTGCAAGGTCTCGTTGCACCTTCCTCCAAACTAAGGATGGGCCTAGCTCGCTCTCGAGCCTTGTGCTCCCATGATGTTGCGCACTACTCCGCGGTCTTCTCCGTCGCGTCTTCGAGTATCCCGCCTTCTCGATCATGGTGGCCTTTCTTTGCTTCTCCTGGCAAGTCGAAGATGACCCATCCTCGTCTCTCATAGCTCCACGATGTTGTGCACTCCTCCTTCTCGTCCTTCTCCAACGAGTCTTCGAGTGAGCCGCTGCCTCCACCATCATTGCCACTTCTCGCTTCCCTTGACTTGCCAAACACCTCTTGTTTGGCTCAAGTTGCTCTCTTGTCATGGGAACCGATCTTGCTCCGTCATTGATGCAGAACCTATTGGCGTAGGGGATTGGGAAAGCTTTCTCCCGCACCATCAACTCCATGCCAAGGATGACCTGATAATCATCCAACGACACCACCTCAAAGTCCGCCACCCCGGTCCATCCTCCAAGCTTGAGTGGCACCTGGCGCGCTACTCCGTGAGTTCTTGTGGCCCTTGAGTTGATAGCCTTCATCCACCTTCTTTGCTTCTTCTCGTACGTGATGCCCAGCCTTCGCGCTTCATCTACGTCGAGAAGGTTGTAGCTTGCCTCGGTATCAACCAAGGCTTTTGTTTTCCTTTGGTTGAGCTTCGCCTCTACGAAGCATTGGCCGTGTTGCTCGGGATGGAGAGGCTCTTCCGTGCGCTTGATGGCGCTCAATCTCTTCATGCAACTAATCTTTGCGACATGGGACTCCACTCTTGGAGTCGTCTCTGCTTCCTCTTCCGAGCTCGAGCACTCTGCTAGTACGGCCTTCATTGCCGACAACTTGTGCTTTCTTGGGCGATCTCTCACACGATGCAGACCATCACAAAGGAAGCAAGTAAGTGGTTTCTCAACCTTATGACTACCTCCTTGGTCCAGTCTACCACGCCTTCGTGTATCTCTATCATAGTCGCGTCCACCTCCATTGCCTCCAAACTCCACACGTTCCTCTGGCTCGTGGTACTCGACTAGGGACTCGGCAATCGCCATTGCCTCAGCAAGACTTTGCACACCTCGCCATTGTAGCTCCAACTTCGCCCATGGTTGGAGGCCGTCAAGGAAGGTGAACATGGCCTCCTTGTCGGTGTAGTCGGGGGATCTCGAGCAACAATTCAGCCATCTTTGGTGAGGTTCTCGCACTTTCTTATCTTCCTTCTTGGGGAGTGAGGACACTGGTTCTTATTTCAGAACCAGGCTCTGATACCAACTGTCACGGCCTTACTCTTGGTCGTGCGGCCCTAGCTCTCAATTCCATTAGAGATGCTAGGCAGCCTTCTCACAAGCTCTGAAACTCACTCAACTCACAAGAAGAAGACACAAGAAGATGGGAGAAACACTATAGTTGTATTGCTCACAAAAATGATGGATGAGTTACAAGTGAGGGAGATAGCTCCTTATATAGGCCTCTCCTCATACAAGGCATCAATGCCCCTCATAATGGTCCCTCCCCATTACTACACCCTATTAAGTTTCCCCCACAATGCACACCATTATACCACCTCATAATGTGGCTCTTTATGTGCACCATTAAGCTCATATTCAAGATGGGGAATCCTAGGAGCATCCTATGCTACTAGGTCTTCCTTAATGCCACACATGCTTGACTTGGTCATGATCCGCCACATCATTCGCCATGTCGCCCACCACGCGTGACATCCTCCCCCACCTATTCTCGCGACGCCCTCATCGCGTCCTTGCTACGAAATGCCTCCATCGACCTCGAGCAGCCTCTCTCGGCTCTTGAGCATCGTTGGTGAAACCACCCATTGGGAATAACTGCATGAACACATCAGCAATCTTCGAAAATGTAAAGATATGTTGACGAAGTAGAGAACACCGGACAACAAGAAAATTCAGTTGAACCTTTAAAATCCATCCTTGAAAGAGGAACGCAAAACTGACGAACTAAAGAAAACACTATACAAATCAGCTGGTAGCCCATATTGATTGATCCTTGCCTTCGAGCTCCATGAAGTTGAAATCTTGGGAGGATCACAATAGAATTACCAAGGCTTCTCTAAACACTTAGCACAGATGGCAGGAAAATGCATAATCGTGCGTACTGTCACGCCCCTACTTTTGGGTCGTGCGACCCTAGCTCTCAAATTCTGTTAGAGTTGATAGGCAACCTTCTCACACTCTCACAAGCTCACTAAGAAAGAAAGTAGACAAAGGAAGTGGGGATAACTCTCTATGTGTATTACTCTATAAAATGATGAAATGAGTTACAAGCGGTAAAGATGACTCCTTATATAGTCCTCTCCTCATACAAGACATCAATGTCCCTTCATAATCAGTGGAGGATCTAGTGTTAGGCCATCCCGGTCCACGGTCTAGCCCTCCTCCGATCCAGAGCTAGTATAGTACGAATGAATTTTTTTTATTTTAGGTGTTCGGCCCAATAATATTTAAAAGACAGTCCAATGTTATTTGATAATATGATTTTATGTAACTTGAAAAATGGTCTAGATGAATATATCCAAACCACTATTCTAAATTTAGACTAAAAATTCAAGCCCCAATAATTTTCATTTGAAAAGAATAAAATAAACAATGAAATCTAAAAGCTTTACACGTAAAAGACTAAAAGTGTAAAGTTTCATTGAAATAGAAAAAGCCCCTCTAAACTAAATCTCACACTTCTCTGTCAAAACTCAAAATATTCCCCCAACCCCCCAAAATACTAAATTAGAACGAGAAGAGGAACGGACCTGAAACGAATTCCTCCGCTAATTCGTCGGGCGCTGATTTCTTTCCAGTCTTTTAATGAAGAAAATATTTACAAACTTGTTGAGTCAACATTTAAATTTCTTGAGTTGAGTGGTGCACTAGATCCTAAAAGTTCTTTTTGGTATTTTCATGAATTAATATTTACAACTTGCTCAAGAGTTTATCCTCGAGATTTTGAAGGTTATTAGATGCATTCTTTGAAGAATGATCTACGATATTATGCCGATCATGTGGTTCATAGTAATGAATATGATGTTTCTTACTTCGCAAAATTACTAGAGATGCTAGTGGAAACTGGAAACAGAGATGGATACACAATACAAATTGATTTGTCGGTTGATTCGTCTAATGCATACCTAGCTTGTTTCAATAGCTACTATTGAGATAACATTTTATGCAATGAAACATATGAAAACTTATTTACGCAACAAAATGAGCGATGAATTTCTCTCTGATTGCATAACTATTTTCTTTGAGAGTATGCTATTTGTATGTACAATTGACATTGTAATGAAAACTATAGTCATCATTTATTTGTTGTTTACAATATCTAATTTTCTATTCAAATGCGGCACAGTGCTCTACTATGTCATGCATCCGCTGTTGCTCATAATGGTTCAGGCCCATTACTACACCTATTAAGTCCCCCCCATAATGCACCCCATAATGTGGCTTAAAACTTTATAAGTGCACTACTCATCTCATAAAGGTGGAGAATCCTAGAGGCATCTCTATATTTATAGTCTTTCATACACGCGCGACATGTACAGAGCATCATATGACAATACTCATCCGTACCCAACTCAATGCAAGCGGGAAACCAATCCGTTTAATTTTTTTGTTCCTATTTGAGGAAACCCTATATAATCTACAGTAACATTTATAGTGGAAACATAAAACTGCCACCACCATTCAAAAATCTCTGCATCTGGAGTGATTTTCGGAGCTGACGTGGCTGGCAACTGATCGGAACCGGCTTCCAGTGTTTTGCAAGCCAAAACTACAATTGTGGGCCTAGCTATGATTTTGGGCACTTATCTTCCTCCATGGCGGCCAATCCATTTATGTGTTTCATCTCCACCCAGGACAAAACGACAGTTCCAGCAGACGGTGGTTAGAGGGCGTCCGGGTCGTTCACGTCGCCCCAAATCTGCTACCGAATCAGTATTTCTCGGAGAGGCCAGTATCCCTTCCCCGCCGTGTGTATTACCTCTTCAGTGTTGGTGCCGTTCCGGAGATTCAGTGTCGGCGGGTGTAAAATTCAGAGGTGATTTTTCTCATATCTACGCCGTCTCATCCCCCGCAAAAGTAATATTCTTTCCGACGCCGCAATTGCCATCCGCCCTGATTTTGAAACTTGCAACGATGGAAATGAGCAGCTGAAGGAGATGTCGTTAGCCGTCCAATGTCCGCCCGGTAATGAGCAGGAACGCCTTGGAGCCGATCTCACAGTACCTTCCAAACCGCCCCTGTCATTTCTTCATCTTCATCCCCAACTACCAGCAGCAAGACGAACTCACACAACCTCCCCCGCCGTCGTCAAATTGCTTTCGACAAACTGAGGAGGGCCTCTCTCTTATTCTCCGTTCCAACGATGTTAGAGACTGCCCCTTCAAGCCTCCCATCCGATTACTATGATTAGCAGTTCGAATCCCGCCATGACGTTCTCACCACTGCCTCCGTTCATCGCCTCTGCAAAAGCATCGGCCTACTACAAAATTCTTCTGCTTCCAATTGGGGAAAACCGACAAGTTAGGTCGTCTGATTGTAAATTGAGACTTACCTTTTAGAAAATCCCCTCTGATTATTACCATTTGTTTTTCCAGTCCCATCGCGATGTTCTCGGCACTGACTCCATTCATCACCTCGACAAAAGCTTCGTCCTGGTATACATGTCTTCTTTTTCCTTATTGCAAGCACTGGTAAGTATATGAGTTTTATCATTTACCAGACAATACATCTTATCTTCGTAAAGTCCTTTATGTCTAACGCAAACAAATCCTTTTTTGCGTTCAGTAAAAATCTAGATCCCTATGGAAAGACTTAGGTAAAGCAATGGCCAAGACGAGATAGAGGTTGGTGAAATTGATTGTGGTGCCAACATATCAGTATGCTCAAAAGTGGACATCTACTCATACCCAACGTTTAAGGTCTTTTATGAAGGAGAAAAGGTTGCTAAATACCAAGGTAAGTTGAACATTCCAACGTCTCACTAAAATCTCATACACTTTGATCAGAATTGTGTGGCAGATCATTAGTAAAAAGGATTGTTGTGTTTGGTCTTTCAATTTTTTGACGATGTTCCCTACCATCATTCTGTTGATATGCAAGAAGGTAGGGCGACGTTGCGCAAGAAGGTAGGGGTTTGGGGAGGGAGGACGGAGAAGCAGGTTAGGCTGATAGGGTTTTGGCTGTTGGGGGTCGTTTTGGGCGGGATGGTGCGGGGTCGTTTTGGGCGGAGTGCGGGTCGTTTTGGAATAAAGGGGAAGAGGTCGGTTAGCCGGTTAATCATCGGTTTCCGATCACGGTTAATCGGCTAGCCGAGTCTCTTCCCCTCTCCTCCGACAACCGACCGCCGGCATTTGAGGACAGTTTTCGGTTAGTCAAAAACCGATCGGTTCGATCGAAACCGTTAAGTTAACTGCAAACCGAAAACCGTTCTGCCACCCTAGAGCCAGGGGCAATAATTCATTTTAGACCAATCCAAACATCAAATATTTATTCTTAATCATGGTGGGTTAAACTCAACGAACTCTTTTAGTTTTTTCCTATCTCCCTTGGCTCCCTTTCAATTTTTTATGTTGTTGTAAATTTGATATTCTCTTTCACCAAATTCTCCAAATGGAGCAGCTTAGAATGACTCTTTTACCAAATATATTTATTCTTAATTTTTCATCATGTAGCTAAAGTGTGCTGACACGCCAAAACACAACACCAATCTGCGACCAAGTGTAATCGCAGACCGGGAATGCAGTAACAGGCAAGTTATATTATCAACCCGGGCTCTAGATCTACTGCTTACTCAGTGATTCTCTGTTATCTAGCCAACTAGAGTAAGTGATTGTTGTTTAAACTGAAAGCAGAAATAAAGCAGGAAATTATTCGGTTTTCTTAAGCAGGAAAGAGTCACTCGGGAATGAATCCCCGTAGCTCCTTAGTTAGGTTCAATTGCAATTCCCTGGGTTGATTTACTGTTGATTAGACTGCGGAAGATCCGACAGTAGCTTGGAATCTCTTAAGCTGACCAAGCCCTCTCAGTCTAACTACCCGGCAGACGACTAGTCTTCACCGGGATAGAAAGCTGAGGCTATGAACACAGAACTCCACTACTGGCGCCAAGAACACCAGTACAAAGCAGTAAACTGGCTAACTCTCGTATAGCCAACCTCCTACTATCGAATGAAGAGGCTCTAACAACCTAATCAGATTCTATCTATCTCAGGTTGAAGCAGAAATTGAGACAAGCTGATCAGACTCAAATCAATTCATGAAACATGCATCATTCGATTAAAATCAAACAGTAGTATCATCCCAAGTCATTACAATCTAATCCCTAACACAAGGAACTAGGGTTCTTCATACCCAAGTTAGAGAAGGGTTCTACTCCATAGAGAGAGAAAAGAAAACAGTAATCGGAGTAGTCATACTCATAATGATGAGGAAAATCTGCTCCGGGATGATGATTTCCACTCCTAGGACGATCTCCAAGCTTGAATTGATGAAATCCAGCTCCAAGATGGCTTCTAGGGTGAGTTCTTCGTTCTTTCTCTCTCTAGGGCTCTGTTTTTGCTCAAAAGGTCCGATCCCCCCACTTCTGGCTCGGATTAGGCTTTAAAACCGGGTTTTCCCGAGTTGCACGGCCAGGGTGCACGGCCGTGCACCTCACCATTCTGGCCGTGCACCCTGAAACGCAGCGTATCCCTTAAGTCGAACTCAGGCTTCTTGCACGGCCAGGTGCACGGCCGTGCAATCTTCAGGGCTTGCCCGTGCAGCTCCTCGGCATGAGGCGCACGGCCAGCTTGCAACCGTGCACGGCCGTGCAGCCCCCCTGGTCTGCCCGTGCAGCTCCCAAAAACCTCGCCACTCGTCCGTTCTTCGTCCAATCGACCCCAGACTCGCTCCTAAGCCTTCATTCACGTACTAGGACCTGAAATATCACAAACAAGCACAACCTAGCGTGAAATCGGCCTAAAACACGAGAATCAACACCTCAAACGGTGTAAGAACGGGGGTAAAAACATGTGTAAATGACGGTCTATCAAACTCCCCCACACTTAACCGTTTGCTTGTCCCCAAGCAAACCAAGTCAGACACTAGGTAAGCTTACATATTTCAATCAACCAACATTGGGGACAAGTCATAAAGGCACAGAACACGTGAATCGCACTGGTTTTCAAACATCAATACATGCACAACCTCAATAACAACCTGGACAACCACCACAAAGGACATTCGAGTGCAGCAAATCGAGTAAAGGAAGAGCCTCCCGTCTGTTCACTGGCCAACCTAGACTTGATTCAACCACTTACTCAAAACAGTCAACTCATGCATCCAACTCAAGACATCAGAATAGAGACCGAGCAATCTAGGTCCTCACCGGGGTACAAGAGCATATAGAAAATGAAAATGAATCACTCACTCTCGACCAGTGGGGTCAGGACAATTTGATGCGAAAGATGCGCATGCTATTTCTCTCAATCCCTATCATCTCTTCACCATGATGGCAGCCTCTAAATGCTGGAGTTCACATATGGGGTGTCACCACTAACTAATCAGGAGGTCTTAGACACAGGTTCAAATGACTGGCTAGGGTCTTGGACATGGGGAAAAGGCCTTTTAGGTGGTGGAAGTATTCATAGCAAAAGGTTCCACATTTCCCGAACACACAAACACAGTCAGCAACCCGGTATTTTCTTTCTGCTATCCTGCATTACTCAATATCTTAAGAGCACAAGAGCGAAGGAGGCATAAACATCAGCATTTCCAAGCAAGACTGCTAAGAAACACTACTTACTGGGCATTATTCAGATTTTTAGTAGTGGCTCTCTTTTGCTTTCAATTTTTCTTTGTTTTTCTTTTATTTTTCTTTTCATTTCTTAAGAGAGCCACCACTCCTGCACATATTTCAAACATCCGCCCAACTTTTAAGCACTACCTCCAACACTCACATAGACTTTAGCAGAAACAGCAGAGAATATATAAAAACCACTCTGTGGAACCTTCTAAAAGATGCAACAAGGGTGATTTCTTTTCATTATAGACCAAAAGAAAGGATAACACACGGCTCAAAGGGGCTGACTAGGGGATATGACACATCAGGACAGTCAGTTTTGGGCGTGGGCTAATCCTATGCCCCCATCATCTTAGCTAGTGACAACGTGAATGCTACACATCATGGAAGAGGGATCTATCGCACAAGAAAGAAACGAGCAGGCTCAAATCTCACATGGCTACCTATATGCTCTATCTCACATTCTGATACCCTGAACTAGATGCATAAACGACTGTCAAGGACAAGTAATCAGAGCAAGTCAGATCAAGTCACAGTTGTCAAGCAAACAGTTGAAAAACTGAACCCCTACATCGTTCTACTGCACATCTCAGTCCTCATCATAGGTTGTCCTAGTCGCAAACAGCATTAATCCGAAAACCAATCAATTCATCCATCAAAACACAGTGCCAATATGATCAAACAGCAGTACTTGGAGCCCTCAAATCGTAAGATTCGGACACCATCATAAATATTCCAATCGATACAAAGCACCCCCCACACTTAAGAACGACATTGCCCTCAATGGAGCAGAGGGAAAGATAAGGGGAACGATGTTACCGGGTAAGAACACTGCTGGGGGACTGGAAGTGGACCAGTCAGCGAGAAACGAACGGGAGAGTGGACAATGCTGCACAAATCGAACATCAGAAACACACTAGCACACTGGCGTTAGGGATAAGTGTTAGCCCAGAAGGCTACATCAAACCACAAATGAAAAACCAAAAAAAAAAACAAACGACACCAAGTTCAAGCTCCGCACACATGGAGCAAACACACAAAAGTCTAAAAAGAAAAAAAACAAACAAAACAAACACACTGAGACGGGCAACGAGCACAGCCTACTCGTCGCCAAGATCGTCGAGGTCGATGTCGGTCATGAACGCATCATCATCAGCAGCGCCAGCAGTTCCATCATCACCGTCAGCTGAAGCAGCCCCGGCCGCACGGGCAGGCGCGCACGGCCGTGCACGGCGTGCTTCTGCCCGTGCAGGCCGACACGGCCTGGCCGAGCCGAGGCGCACGGCCGTGTACCTGTCGCTCTTGGCCGTGCACTCCTGGCCGAGAGCTCGCACGGCCAGGCCAGGCATAGCGCACGGCCGTGCAAGACAATGCCATGCCCGTGCAAATCGCACGGCCAAGCCAGGCTGAGCGCACGGCCGTGCATTGTGCACTTGTGGCCGTGCGCTTGTGGCCGAGAGCTCGCACGGCCAGGGGGGTACCCGAACGGCCGTGCAAGTCTAGGTTCTGGCCGTGCGACTTGCTGGGGTCCCGAAATCAACCTATTTTCGCTCAAAAACGACACGTAACTCTGGATCAACGTCTCAAGACTAAAAAACACACAAAATCAAAGGAAAAAGAGTAAGAAAATGCAAACCTCGGTGGGGTTGCCTCCCCACAAGCGCTTCTTTACCGTCTTTTAGCTGGACGCCAGTATGGATGCTCAGGGAAGTGTAGGATCAGGTGCCTTCAAGAGCGGATCCACATCGCTCTTGAGGTACAGCTTCAAATGGTGGCCATGCACGCGACGAATGTGGCCACCTGCATTCGCCAGCTCAACTTGGCCATCCGGTAGGATGCAAGCGAGTGAATACTCGGATGGCCAAGGAGGGGGCGGGACCAGCTCATAGTGGTCTCCGGCTTCCTTTCGAGCAGGCTTAGCTGCCTGCAGTTTCGGCCGCCACTCCTCCTTGATCTGTTCTTTGGGTGACGGAGTGGTCCGGAGTGGCGGCGAAGGTGTGGGAGGCGGTTCCTGCAAAATAGGCAGCACAGAAGGATACACGACAGACTCGTGCTCCTGGTGAGAAACAGCATGCAGAGGTGACGAAGCAGGTATAGTATCAGCAACAGAAAATGTTATTCGCTCCTCGCCATCCCTCAAAACTAAGGTCCCATCATGCACATCTATGAGAGCCTTGGCGGTGGCCAGGAAAGGCCTTCCCAGTATAAGAGGCACTTCTGTGTCCTCACTGATGTCCAAGATAACAAAATCCACGGGATATGTGAATTTGCCAACCTTAACCAGAAGGTCTTCCACTATACCCCTAGGATGCACTACAGATCTGTCAGCTAATTGAAGGGTCATCCTAGTAGCACGGGGTTCACCTAGGCCTAGTTTCATGAACAATTTATATGGAATAACATTGATACTAGCACCTAAATCCGCCAAGGACTTCTCTACATGCAATTTATCAATAGAGCACGGGATAGTAAAACTACCTGGGTCCTTCTTCTTCTGCGGAAGCTTGTTTTGCAGAATAGCCGAGCATTCCTCGCTGAGCTCTACCGTGGCCAGCTCACTTAGCTTCTGCTTCTTTGAGAGAAGCTCTTTCAGAAACTTCGCATACTTTGGCATTTGCGATAGTGCCTCCAGGAAGGGCACTTGGACATTCAGCTTCTTAAGCATGGCCATGAAGTTCTCGAACTCTGCCTCCAGCCTGTCTTTGTGCAACCGAGTAGGGAAAGGGAGTTTAGGGACATACTCCTTCACTACTGGTTGCGGTTTAGGTGCAGGCACCTCAACTTCCTTCTCTACTTCCTGTTCAACCGCTGGAGCCGCTAAGACAGGGCTTTCTTTCTCCGGTTCCCGAGCAGGGGGATCAACAGTCATCTTGCCACTCCTGGTCATGATGGCATTGCAGCGCTCATTCGGGGTCGGCGGGTGAGGGATGGTCTGCCCTGGTAGAGTACCAGGAGCCCTTTGAGCCACTGCCTGGGCCACGCTCCCCAGCTGGGTCTGGATATCCTGCAAAACAGCCTGTGTATTCCTCTAACCAGCTTCCAGAGCCAGGAGTTGACCCGAGGCCTTCTCCATGAACTGCTCAAAGGTGTTGAATTTCTGAGCACTAACACTGGCAAGAGAACCCACCAAGTCCCGCAGTTCAGCCATCTGATCATTCTGCACTGGGGCAGCAGGGGCTGCACCTGGCTGCTGGAATTGCCCCTGTCTGGGCTGATATGGTGGCCTCTGGAAGCCCGGTGGTCCCTGTGGAGCTGGTGGTCTGGGATTTGGCCCAGCCCAGGAGAAGTTAGGATGCTGGCGCCACCCCTCATTGTACGTGTTGATGTAGGGGTCATTGCGCCTGACATTGTTGATGAAGTTCACCTGCTCCTGGGGTGTGGTCGATTCCTTCATCGCCTGGCAGTCTTCCACCATATGATGGGTGCTCTCGCACCACTGGCAGAGCATCGCCTGCTGCAGTCCGGTCCCTGGAATCATCCCGGAACGATCGATAGCTGAGACCAGCTTCGATACTACCTGCACCAAATCAGATGACTGGGTGCCCACAGCATGCACACCCCGGCCTGGTGCTTTCCTCGATCTCCTGGCAGTGCCCCAATCATAACCATTCTCCGCCATCTCTTCAAAGAGTTGATTCAGCTGTGGCGGGGTTTTGGTCAGCATGTTCCCGCCACAAACCGAATCGATCAGCTGCTTGTCCTCCGGGAAGAGGGCGTGATAGAAGGTGCCCACCTTGAACGCATCGTTGAAACCATGATTGGGACACCTGAGGAAAAGACTGTTGTACCTCTCCCATGCATCCCTGATGGTCTCATCCTCATCCTGAGCAAAATGTGTAATTTGCTTCTGCAGGTCAGCTGTCTTGGATGGAGGATGGTAGCGGGTGAGGAACTTGTCCGCCAGGTTGGCGAACGTGGTGATGGAGCCCGGAGATCGAGTGTCTAGCCACTCCTTGGCCTGCCCCTCCAGAGTGAATGGGAAGTACCTCAGCTGGATGGCATCTGCTGGTACCCCATTGATCTTGATTCCATCGATGAGCTCGTGGAATTGCCTGAGATGTGATCGAGGGCACTCTCCCTCCTTACCACGGAACACTACTGAACCGCGCAGCATGGTGATCACGGAGGTGCTCACCTCAAAGTTGTTGGCTGGGACCTGAGGGTGCTGAATGGGTGACCTCATGTCCGCAGCCCTAGCGGTCCAGTAGGAGCCCATGGTCTGCTCCTCGGGGATCACAGCATGGTTCCCTGGTTCAGCCATCTCTTCTTCTTCCTCCTCTAACTGCAGCTGTGATAGCGCCTCCTCCGCAGCCAGTCGCGCCTTTAGAGCCCGCTTGAAGTTTCTGCAGGTTCGTTCAAGCTCCTGGTCTAGTGGTAATAGATCTCCCGACTGGCTACGGGTCATGCACTACCTGCACACAATCAGCAGAAACAACCCGTGAAGGCACACAGGTGGAAGAAATAAAAAGCAGAAAATAAAAAGCTAGAGTAACAAATTCTCACTTTTCCCCAATAACCTAGAGGGGTCCCCGGCAACGGCGCCAAAAACTTGACACGCCAAAACACAACACCAATCTGCGACCAAGTGTAATCGTAGACCGGGAATGCAGTAACAGGCAAGTTATATTATCAACCCGGGCTCTAGATCTACTGCTTACTCAGTGATTCTCTGTTATCTAGCCAACTAGAGTAAGTGATTGTTGTTTAAACTGAAAGCAGAAATAAAGCAGGAAATTATTCGGTTTTCTTAAGCAGGAAAGAGTCACTCGGGAATGAATCCCTGTAGCTCCTTAGTTAGGTTCAATTGCAATTCCCTGGGTTGATTTACTGTTGATTAGACTGCGGAAGATCCGACAGTAGCTTGGAATCTCTTAAGCTGACCAAGCCCTCTCAGTCTAACTACCCGGCAGACGACTAGTCTTCACCGGGATAGAAAGCTGAGGCTATGAACACAGAACTCCACTACTGGCGCCAAGAACACCAGTACAAAGCAGTAAACTGGCTAACTCTCGTATAGCCAACCTCCTACTATCGAATGAAGAGGCTCTAACAACCTAATCAGATTCTATCTATCTCAGGTTGAAGCAGAAATTGAGACAAGCTGATCAGACTCAAATCAATTCATGAAACATGCATCATTCGATTAAAATCAAACAGTAGTATCATCCCAAGTCATTACAATCTAATCCCTAACACAAGGAACTAGGGTTCTTCATACCCAAGTGAGAGAAGGGTTCTACTCCATAGAGAGAGAAAAGAAAACAGTAATCGGAGTAGTCATACTCATAATGATGAGGAAAATCTGCTCCGGGATGATGATTTCCACTCCTAGGACGATCTCCAAGCTTGAATTGATGAAATCCAGCTCCAAGATGGCTTCTAGGGTGAGTTCTTCGTTCTTTCTCTCTCTAGGGCTCTGTTTTTGCTCAAAAGGTCCGATCCCCCCACTTCTGGCTCGGATTAGGCTTTAAAACCGGGTTTTCCCGAGTTGCACGGCCAGGGTGCACGGCCGTGCACCTCACCATTCTGGCCGTGCACCCTGAAACGCAGCGTATCCCTTAAGTCGAACTCAGGCTTCTTGCACGGCCAGGTGCACGGTCGTGCAATCTTCAGGGCCTGCCCGTGCAGCTCCTCGGCATGAGGCGCACGGCCAGCTTGCAACCGTGCACGGCCGTGCAGCCCCCCTGGTCTGCCCGTGCAGCTCCCAAAAACCTCGCCACTCGTCCGTTCTTCGTCCAATCGACCCCAGACTCGCTCCTAAGCCTTCATTCACGTACTAGGACCTGAAATATCACAAACAAGCACAACCTAGCGTGAAATCGGCCTAAAACACGAGAATCAACACCTCAAACGGTGTAAGAACGGGGGTAAAAACATGTGTAAATGACGGTCTATCATGTGCATTTATGGAATGTCTTTTACATTAATGTTAGGGACAAGTAAATATATGAAAAGTAAATAGATTCCAATAGATTTGAATTTAGATAAGAGACTTATTTATTTGCATGTGAATAACTATGTGATTTAATTTTTTTTAATTTCTATTATAATTATTTATCCATTCCCTAACATTAAGTAATCATCAAGTCACACAATTCGATGGACATGGTTTGGTGCTCCTACTTTAGAGTACATATATACGAACTTGGAGGAATTTGAAAAACATTCGTGAATTAATAAATGCGACTGATAGATAATGAGTGGTTGTTTCATCAAAGAGAGGCATATATATGGCGGGTGCGACTTGAGAGTAGGGACGGAAAATAATTAATGACAATACAAGCTCTTTGCAAGGCTAATATTACAAAAAATTATATATCAATCACTAACAATCGACCAAAACTCAATAGAGTCATGCTCTTTACAAGTAGATTAAAACTATCACACCGTTCAAAAATCCCGGCCTCCATAGTGATTTGCGAATGGGTAATTTGGGAAATCCCATTTTTCTTCTGGGTGGGAACGGAAAACCTGTCTACAAACTAATGGGCCCGAGTTAGAAGTCACTCGATGGGGCACATAAAAATTTGCGACCACAATTTTTCTTTTCCAATGGGTTTTGTTTACCCAATTATTAATTTGAGGGTAAGAAACAAAGAGATTACAAATATGGAGAATGGATAGCAAAGTTCAGTTGAGCGACGGGATGTCGGAGATTTTTCAATAATTTAATTTTACAAGTATAGTTGTTTTTTTAGCAACCCAAATTAATATCAATACTTTAAAACAATAATTCAAAATCATATCGTACCGAAGATTCATCTAACGCCACTATCCCTCTCAATCGTCTTTGTTTCGACAACTCGCAGATGTACTCTAGACTACCGTACCTATCAATATTTATTTTCTCGCATGCTTTAACGAATATTCATTTATTCCTTATAATTCAGATTAGGGTAAACAAAGATACGAGTAATATTGGGTGCATTATTGTATTCGTTCACCACCTTTTACTTCTGCTTTTTAAACATAATAATACTTGAAATTGACATTGAAATTCATTTTACTATTTTCTTAGAGTTTTCCCACAATTAATGACTATAATTGTGACTATCTGTTTGCTCTAGCCTTGGCAACCTAGGAAATCAAACTCTTTACTCTTTAGAGAGAACTACGAGTGACACGTGGTGTATAAGTTAAAACAACAAAACTAGACTACTAAACTCACTCACAAAATCACAATAGATATAAGACACGAGTAACCAAGTCACAAGATCAAAGTTCTTAATGAAGCGTGAAATTAATGTGTCGATTATAAATTTGATTTTCTTGTGTTTGGGTTTCCACAAGAATTAAATTCCTCCAACATTTTTATGGATCCCAAATTAAAAAAAAATTTGTGAAACTGCCCTCGGCCCGTTCCAACTCAACAACCATCACCAATTACACTGTTTGCCCAAGGAATCCCATTATACACTTGGAACAATCAGCACGGATCATCTTCAAAGTCAATAGACCTAGCACTCTCAGTCTTAGGGTTTATCACGTCGTCAACCCTCTTATCATCATGTATCGCACGGACACGCCAAGATCAATTGTTCCGATTATCCATGAATAAATCCAAGTTTATATATTAAATTAATCAATATGAAAGACAAAACAAACCTCATTTGACCACCAACCGAGTAGATTAATACCTTTTAAGCAATTTATGACGACAATAAGTGCATAGTGCTTAGTGTAATAAAGAATATAGACAATATTAATCTAAAGATGACATAATCAACACAAATATATATGAACTAATTATTACTAATGTCACAATCGACAATTAGCACAAAAATTATTTTCAAATTATCAATAAATTATTTAAAAAAAAACCAAATAATTTAAAACTGTGATCAAACTGATGAACATCAAACATTAAAATTTAAATAAATCAAAATTCATTCGACCAACGGGTCGGGTATAAGCTAGTAACAATATAAGAGGATTGGGTCGCACTATTGGTGGCTGGATTGTTTTTTTTAATAATCCTCCATTAATATATGGTAGAGTTTTGTGAACTTTTCTCCATTTCAAATTTCCTGCAACGAGAGTGAAAGTAGGAAGGACATTTTTGTCTTTACAATTAATTATTTATCTCATATAAAAATATCAATATGAGGATTCGAACCCGGGTGTCTTCTTAAAACAAAGACAACAATCACAACCAATTACACTAAACAAATTTGTTGTATCTTTTTTAGTACAAAGCATACACAAAGTTAGACTCTGAAAATTGGATGAATTTTCCATCATGATTACCAAGCCCACTAAGTCTACCGTATATATTTTTATGGTGCTTGATACTTCAGTTTTCACAGTAGCTAGAGTTTCATGTAATTTTTTCAATTTTAAATTTTTTGCTCTCGCCTTAATTTTTTTTGCTAAAGGTAGATTGGTAATTGGCTACCATAGAAGAAACTAATTATGTTACTGCGTGTTGTATCCTTGAAATTTTCAATTTAAATTTAAATTTAGTGCTTTTTTATCTTTGTTCTTATCTCTTTTAACTTCCTCCGAAATTCCCTCTATCGTGCAATAGTTTACGCCCCTGTCACTTTTCAATACAAGGCCGCCTTTGAAATCAATCTTTTGGTATCTCTTGGCACTACGATTTTATTATTGGGGATTTAAGCTAGGCAAGTAGAAGATTTCAACTCCGATATCAATCCATGACAAAAAGAATGGAGTTCAATAAATGGAGTTGTAGAAGGAGGATTAGAGATTGAATTTTTTTATTGAAACATATGTCTCTTGAGATAAAAATTTGGTTCTACAACAGAGAGTGGTGACTATTGGACCTTTAGGTTTATGGTTTTTGAAGCTAGGTCGATTCTTTATTCAACCTACTGGAACTGATAGATATAGAGTGTCTAATTTTGTGCCTTATTACTTTGATCGAGTTTATTAGCATATTGGAGGTAACCCTAATTTTGTCGTTTGCTCTCAAGTTTTATTGGTCCCCTCTTAATTGAGTTGTTAGTATATAGTTGACTTGAATCAACAACTCTCCATTTCTTTTTGATTAGTGGCATATTGTTCCTAAGGAGAGCATTGAACCCTTTATGTAGGATTGTGAGGTTTAAAATTGTGTTTCAAACTATCTATGGCGTGTGGAAATTCCAATGAGCTTTTGTACTCTATCTTTCTTGACAATCAACTGACCAATAGCATTTTAATTGGGGCTTAATTATCATTATAAAAATGAGATCAATAATTTTTATATTTTATATTCTTATTTCTCCAAAAGTTCGACCTATATATTATTTCTTTATATATCATCATCTAGATCGAAGAATTGTCAATAAAATTAAACGGGTTGATAGACTTAAATGTAACATAAAAATACAAATAATCAAATATGAACATTCCAGCCAACGGGCCGGGTTATAAGCTAGTTATTATAAAAAAGGATGCAAAACACGGCAGGAGTTACACGAGAGGGGTGGCTAAGCCGCCCTAGCAAACAAGAGAGCAGAGCTGCTGTAGAAACAGACCTAGGAAGCTCACTCAAAAATGTTAGAGAAATACTAATCAGCTAGTTCTGGTCCGCCCCCGCAATCTGAACTTGAGACGGGAAACTAATTCCCAAAGTGTCGGCCTTATTGTTCTGTCAAACTCAATGAAATGTGGGATTTGCAAAGTCCTTGATGCGTGAGATTTGAGTGTCAAATCTATCACCCAAATCCCACAAGCAAATGATACCTTACTTTTTCTCACAAATGTTGGCTTGCAAACCTGAAAACTCCATCTTTGTTGTTGATGAACAGATGAAATGTTGCATTCTATGTTAGCCTCTTCTACAAGAGAAGCTTCTCCAAAACTCGAATCAATTCTTCTTTGTTGGGTAAGTAGCCTTCATTTCCATCTATCATTTAATTCTTCTATGTCATACGAATACGACTAGAAAACACTATATTCTTCTATGCCTTAATTTTTCTTTCATGCCTTTTAATGCCAGGTTATTAGATTAAGGCTGTCGATCGGGTTTTTCCTAGAGATTAATCTGTCCCAAGACACTAGCCCAATGATCCAAAGTATACCCTCAAATGCTACTTCAACTATACCAGTGGATGTGAGTAACAAGAATGCTAATAGAGAAGTTCCAACAACTAATAATAATACATAACCAGAAGCTGGAACTGATGCTGAACCAATGCAGGGGAGAAAGCAGAGTAAGGCATGGAAGCATTTCACAAGGATTAAAGTGAACGGAGTGAACAAAGCTCAATGCAACTATTGCAAAACTTCTTGGTGGGAAGTTCTGTAATGGCACGACGGACAACTCACCTGCTGAACCACTAGAAGATATGTACTCAAAAGGAAAATACGAGGTCCCGAAAGCTTTTGCCCCTATTTTCCGGGTTGCCTAGACACAATAGTGAAGCAAGACAGGAAAAAAAGACATGAAGGAGAGAAGACAGATCGAGTAAACAACCCCCTCTATCACCAACAAAACAACTCAATGTACATATCAAAAAGATCAGATACGAGGAAGAAGAAGAAACAAGGGGATACCGCCGACGGCAGCCCTCTACAATATCAATGTCTCCATACAACTTATTGCCGATCCAAGGAATAAATTACAAGGCAAACAGCTACGGCTTAAGCAGCCAAAAAATCACCTGCTGGCTGAAAGTGCCAAAGGTATACAACAAGAAAAGATGCAGCAGCAAGAACCTAATAACACACAGCTGACGAAACCAATAATACGTCACAATTGAGGTGGAAGGCTCACCTGACCCGGAATTTTGGCCAAACGGATATGACACCAGGCCTTGCCTCATCAAAGCGGTATCTGTGAAACAAGATGGTCATAAATTAACAAAAACCACACCGAAATTTCAGTTCTCATGGCAAAGGACAGGAAAAATACAAGTCGCACGTAATATGTAACTATCTTACCCGCTTTCACTAAGGAACCCTCTTATTGCAGTTGGCAATGCAGCTTCACCCCGGCTATGATTGCCTACCCCTGATAAAGAAGCCGTAGGATGTTTTAGTTTCAACTCGATCACACTTGCAAATGCTGCTCAGCCTCTGATGCAGATTGGTCAAAAGATACTAATATTATCTCGATCTCAGAACTAAAATCAATAGTGAAGGAGTGTACCTGTTATTACTTGCAATGGTGTTGATCTGTGCCTAACAGCCACCTGCTTTTTGTCCGTGCCATCTCCGGAACTGGTGGTAAATGACTCGAGTGATGAGGAGCGTACCATTCCATTATTCATCGTGATTTTACATGGAGATGGTGCACGATTCAGTGAAATCAGGGTCTCAATCTTGTGTAGATGTTCCTTCAAGGCTTGAACAGCCTCTGATGCATGAAGGCCGTGCAGGTCCAGTTTCCATGCATGGTTTTCACTATTTCTGATGCCCAGAATCTCTCTGGCTGCTTTGGAATTGAGTTTTTCAGCGGCCATCCAGTCGGCTTGCGCCTTCAAGGAGTGTTGTCGTGCAGAAATGTGGTCTTTTCTAATAAAGGCATTAGTAGCTGCCCTGGAATGCTGAGAAGCTGACCTGCAAAACAAGCTTGCAATCTTCATATCTAGGTTCAACCAACTCTGAGTGAAGTACATGGAAGTTCTGAGGACAGGAAAGCTAATGAAAAACTTAAGATTGTTGCATTCTAAAAGGAAAAATCAGATCAAGATCCTGCATATGCAAAAGCATTTCAGACAAAGCTTCACAGTTAACAATACCTTAGTCTGAAACCACTAGCAAGACTATGCAAGCTAGTGACAAACTTAAGATTGTTGCATTCTAAAAAAGAAAATTTGATAATGACTGATCATGATTGTCGATTGGCTAATAAATTTTTATCTTTTATGTCTGAAGAAAGGAACTGAAGTCAAATAGTACCATTAAATCTACTAATTATTGATTTCTAAGAATTGTATTTAGTTAAATGAAAATTGAACAGCAAAGATATTGAAAATCACAATGTGGACCATATGATTAAAAAATCATCGTTAGAAGTTAAAGCATTTCAACTTCACTTGGTCAGCAGATACATAAAGAATACATTTCTAGTGCAAAGATAGATGTTAATAATTAGACATGTAACATAATTCAGTTTTGACCAGATGATCAGCAGTTGTTCCTAGCAAGAAAGGAGAAAAGGTAACTCGCGATGAAATAGTGCCAAGGAAGAAATGCAAATACATCCCCAATCAAACATTTGGATGGAAAAAGGCCACACACCTCATCATTTTCATTGCATCCTTTCGATGGCTTAAATAGATATCGTGCTCTTCCCATTCCGGCTCAACAGGAACGGATCTCAAATGCTGCAAAACCAGTTTCATATTTGAAGTAGCATCATCGACATTCATTGGCTCACTAGTACCTTTAAGAGCATCCTCGAGAGTAGAACTCAAGTTGGCAATCTCTGCAGCAAGGTCTATCTTCTCTCCTGACAGTGCACCCTTATTCAACCCATTACTACGAGGAGATTTCCCATAGACAGAGTAGGCTTCTGCTCCCGTACTTTCACTTGTATTTGTACTGGAACACATTTCTTTCAATAAATATGATGCATTTATGACATCACCATCAGCAGCAGCTATTACATCATCAATCAAGGAATTGTCAGCCCAACGGTGAAGCTCTTTGAGCTTCTGAATAGAGATATCGAGATTGCTCCCCTTGAACTGAACACTTTTGCAAGAGGTACCAGCTTGGTTTCCCCCAGTCGTGGTGCTTTTATCTACCGGAGTTGGAAATGCTGGAGCTGGTAAAAGTAATGATGAAAAAGACTTCTTAACGAAGGTGTTGTTCCCATGGGAGTTGAGTGAGGCGACTGCATTTGAGATGGGTGGATACTGATCTTTGCCAGCTTTGAGTTGACCATCAGCATCTTCTCGATGCTTGAGATCAAAGGCAGCCCAACCAGTGGATTTAACCCTTGTCTTTGAGGGCTTCATGTGCGTATTTAACTTGGATCATAGACAAGGCTAGCCTCAAGAATTAAAATGAAGCAAGCTTGCTCTTTTATGATGAAAATGCCAGGTAAAAGTGTATCGAAAGGCACCTGAAATGCAGGAGAAGGTTAGAAGAACACATAAAATGCAAGGATGCTCCTCATTTAGCAGCGGGGAGCAGACAATCCCCTAACATACAAGTGAGAGAAAGAGAGTTGGGGTTAAACAAAATTTAATTTAGTATTAGATGCTATAAGATATGAGAAACTAGATCAGCAAACTGATAGCTCCAAATACTAGTACATGTCCATGAAACTGTAGGGAACAACAATCTGCCAACTACCAGCAATCTTAAGCACCATGTTCATACATCATACATAAATAAACAATTTTATACACCATGGAAAAACTCGAAAACGGTTACTACTTATGCATTCAGGCTTTTCCCATTTGAGCCACTAGGATACAAACCAACATGTAGCAAAAGTTTGAAAGAAAGAATCGTCTGCAAAGCTTGAGAGACAGCTGCAAACAAAACCTCCCAATTATTCACTTAATCCAGAATCTACAAGCCCATAAAGCAAATTGAACCCACAGCAAAAGCAACATCAATACAAAGGCAGTAGCTTGCAAGAAGAAAACTTTCAGGGACGTAAATCAAGCAAGGACAAATCATCAGGCGAAAAGTAGGTGCGAGGAGTTCAAAGTAAAAGCAAAAAAATAACAAAATTGAAGTGAAAGGAAATATACCTGAGAAGGGAGAGAGAAACCGGAGAGCTATCGAGGAAGGGTGAAGCGTAACCAAGGAGGGAGCCCTGGAATTGAGTTACGGAGATGGAAATTGGGTTTGAAGGAGGAAGAAGAAACAGGGTTTCTGGATGCACGAGAAGGAGATGAAGAAGCTGAACCGAGGATAAAGGTTGAACAGAATCTGATATCCATAAATCTTCCAATAGTCTTCCGTCGGTCTCTGTTTCTCTCAAACACGCCACGGCAGAACACGGAAGAGGATGAAGGGGAAGAGCTGCTGATGAAAACATATATTTTATTGTTGTGGAGGAAAAGAAAAACTTAATTTCCATAACTAATTTCTTTACCAGGTAACGGTAATAATAATTAGTATCTTTCAAATATTCTAAGATATTAGTTATACAATAACTTATCATTTTTTTCTTCATATTATACGTATTTATTGTGCTAAAATTTAGTAAATAAAATTATATATATTCATGCATGTTTTGGTTTTGGTAAGATAATATTGATATATTTTTGTAGATGATTTAAATTTATGTGTTAAGTTATTTTCACATATATATTTATTTATAATACCTTTAATATAATTCATCGAAAATATAGTGACCTGATTACTATAAATGCTACAGAAAATTGTAAAAATCGAAAATTATAATTAACAATGTCTTCTTATTTGAAAGGTGTCCCAAAGTCTATTATGTCATACTTAATACATAAACAATAATGTGAGTACAAGAAAGATCATTCCTCGTGCACCCAAAACGATTTGATGGAGTGGCTTGACCAAACTTTCCATTTGAAAGTTCGTCAAGGAACGATATCGAACACTCTTAAGCAATTGTCAGAGTACCTATCGGTTGAATTAGATCAAGGAAGAGCTTCCAAACGCCACAAGCCATCCAAATATCCTAAGATGGAGACGATTATTTTTTATCAATAGTGAGGAAAGTTCAAGACGAGAGAGGAAAATGAAGCATTTAAGACCGCATCAACTCTTCAAAACTACTTCTCGCAATTAGAGGACACAATAACAGATATTTTGAGTGCAATTAGGAAAGTTGGAAATGAACTTTTACTATACTTGAAATTCAAAAAGAAACAAACTAAGTATAGATTCGTATTTTTTAAAATTATGTTGTAATATTGCAAATTTCTTTATGAGTTTTATTTTTATATTTATAATTATTAATTTATAGAATTGAAAATACATGTACTTATGCAGGTTGGTCCAAATCGAGAAAGGAAAAAATTATTAATTTATTGGGTATAAATTTATAAAGTTTACACTTTACCGTACATTAGTAGTTGAGAGTGAGAATTAACGCCAAACATTTGAATATATTATGACTTTGTTACGGTGACTTGCAAGTCACCGTAACTTGCATTTTTCGGTCGACCAAAAGTTAAGTATAGTCGATCGAATCTACTAATTTTATGTTGTGATTGTCAACAACGCGTTGACCTTGTACATCAAAAGGTCGATCTCTTTGGCAAGCGAACAACATAAAAGGTCGACCTCGTTTGCTATAATGGTTGACCTTGTGCATTAAAAGGTCGACCTCTGTTTTAAAAAGGTCGACCTCTATCACATTAACTAGTCAACACCAAACTCGGACATGTTTCCGAAAATAGTAGAAACGGTCGACCTGTGAGTTACGTGGTCGACCAAATCTACTCTATCCGTATTGAATAAGGAGGCCAACACTAGAAAGGTAACCCTAACTTGTCTACAACTTAATTCGCTCTAATCTCGTTCTAAACAACTATAAATAAGAATATATGTCACAGTGACCGCCACTCAAACACAAGATTTGATTTTTTTAGGGTTTGAGTTTTCGTGAAAAAGAAGGCTGTTGTTTGTTCTTCCTGTTTGGGTTCCAGATGGTCGACCACATACAAGGTGAGGTCGACCTAATTTAGGGTACGATGTTGTCCTCGCTCTATACTAATTTGCTCCGTTTGATTTTATTTGCTTTCTTGTTCTAGGGTTAGAGTTTTGGGAAGAAAAAGAAGTCGTGGTGGTTGTTCATGTACGTGTTCCACGCAGCCGACCACTTCCAAGGTAAGGTCAACCGATTATAGCAAGGGCGTCGTGATTATTTTTTCATAATTTTCTTCGTTTAATTTGAAGGTTTAGTTGCTTGCATAATGAGGATTCGGTCGGCTCAATTTGTATCATGGTCGACCGTATGTGTTAGTTTTGTTTGTTTGTCAAAATATCGACTTTGGCTTTGTTTGTAAGTCTCTGTTACGATTATGGGTCGATCGAGAATGGTCAAAGGTCTACCTAAATGGTTTTGGTAGTTATGACATAAGGTATATAAGGTCGACCACATAATATTTTTGGTCGACCTAATCTCTGTTGTTGGACATTTCTACTCATTTGAATTTGAATTCTGATTTGAATTTTTTTTTTAAATTGATTAGACGATGGCGCATGATGAGAAACAACAACACGATGAGGGTGAAATTATACAAGTGTTGAAAGCCACACAAGAGCAGATGGTGATGTGTCAAAAAGAATTCAATAACTATCAAAAGACCATCTGTGATACACTGGAGCAGTTGTCAATTTGATTGACAGATATGACTGGGATGATGCATGATGGGTTTGAGAGGCTAGAAGATGCTATCAAAGAAATACGTGCATAACGAATGGAGAACGGAGGAAGAGATGGTAGCAGAAAGAAATTTGACTTTGATGAAGAGGAGGAAGACCATGATGACTCTGCAAATTGCTACTGGAGTATAGACGATTTATTGAAAGACCAAAAGAAAAAGGTAAAAGTTTATTCATATGTGAGTGAAGATATTAGTATTACTATAATAAGTGCTAATTTGTTTTGTTTATATGATTGACAGAGTGAAACAACGTTTGGCAGCAATGGTTCCTCTCCTAAGTACAAGAAATCTCGATATGAAAGTGACTCCTACACCACTCCACAAAAAGATAATTTACTCAGAAAAGGATTGTTTAGTGTTGATAGCAACGAGGATGAATCTAAGAGTCCTTTCGAAAAGCACGGAGTAAGTTTACGTTACATAATTTATCTATTAAATTGCGAATGTGTGTTTGTTTTCATATGTAGCTTTAATTTTAACTATGAGTTGTAGGTCATGAAAGTGGAGGGCCTAGAAGGATTTATTAAAAATTTGCAAAATCCGGTTGAAGACTTGTTTTATGTTGTTACTAAAAAGAAGGCCGGAGACACGAAATGGGACAAGTAAGAGAGCTATTATTTTTTTAAAATAGTATTTGGTCGATCGTTTAAACAATGAGGTCAACCACGTCGTCCTGAATAGGCCGACCTTGTCACTGAATAGGTCGACCGATACTATGCAAGTCACAATTGACATTTCTGTTATTTTGTTGTTTGCAGTTTGGTCGTTATTGACTTTGTTCACGAAAACGTACAACGACAATATTTGAGTTCGGTCATTAGCGAGAGTAGCTGGATTTGCTCATCCGTAAGTACTACTGCTATGACTTTGATATGAATTGTGCACTATTTTTGTTATGATTTACGAGGATTTTGTGGTTGATTGTTGGTTTGTAGTATACATGGGTGTTGGGCCGTGCTTGGGCCGACATGGCACGAGCACGCTTCAGGCCCATTTATTTGGTGTCGTGCTTGGCACGACCCATCAGTTTTCATGTCGTGCCATGCAAGCCCATTTGTTAACTTTGCTAGGCCCGACCCAGGACCGGGCACGGTTCGAATCGTGCCGTGCCTATTCGTGCTCGTGCCATGCTCGTATTCGTGTTTAATGAAAAGGACGAAAACAAAAGAGAGAATGAAAAAGAAGGTAAAAATTGGACAGAGGAAGATAGTATTAACTGATAATGTTTGAGAAAAGTAACAAATTAGGGGGAAAAGAAAATTGGAAGTATAGCGAGTGTGATTTGGCTTTGTTTAACAACAACAAATAATTATTTTTTTACTTGTGTTTTGTAATATTTGAACCTATAATTCTTTTTACATTTATTTTCTATCAAATAAATATTATTATCGTCCCATGTTCGTTCTTATACTCAATAAAGTCTCGAAAATATTACGCCCGACACGACTCATTTATATACCGTGTCGTGCCCGTGCTCGTGCCCATGAAGTTTAGGTCCTGGACGGTCCATAAATTATCGTGCTCGTGCTGGGTGGCCCATTTATTTCGTGCTTGTGCCGTGTTCTAACCGTGCCGTGCTAGCCCGTGGGCGCACGGCCCAGTGCCCACGTACAGTTTGTAGGTAATGGATTTGTGTGCAAGGGCACTAACAATGTCTTAAAAACATAAGAATAAAGATCCAAATGTGTGGTATTTTCCAAATATGTTTTCGGTAAGAGGCGTAATTTTTATTTATTTTTCATAACCTAGTTATTAATATTGTACCATGTCAATTAATCTCAATAAAACTATGGTGCAGAAAATGGTATGCAGTAACATGAAGACCAAAAAAATTTGTAACAAGTTGCTAGATGATGGCGTGATGCTTATACCGAATGTTAGTGCGTGCTAGAAGGTTAGTCAATGTCCCTCTCTCATTGAGCTTACAAAGTGCATTTTTTTGTATTATCATTTGATAACATATTTTTTCTTTGGTAGATATTTATGCCAGTTCTGGATGATGACACACGTCATTGGTTTCTGTATCTCGTCAATTTCAGCAAAAAACCGCATTTTTGCTTGACAATCTACCAACAACTAGTGAGGCGGGTCGTAAGCATATATCAAAACACTTCAAGAAAATGGTAAGTGTTTCCTATAATATTCTGATTACTAAGAGCCACCGTATACTGCTAAAAGCATATAATATTCGATGTTTGTGTGTAGTTGTCCAAACTGCATGATATTTTCAAACCAGAGCGCATGAGCAATGTAGCAATACCAAATTTTGGAGATTTCAATATCGAAGAGCTACGCATTCAAGGGAAAAGGAATGGTACCGAGTGTAGTGTGCACGTGATGCAGTGGATGCGCTATGGATCTAAAGATATGGATAGAGTGGTACTTATATTGTCAACAAAAAAACTTGCTTAAATTTGGTATTTTTGAGTTCTAACGAAGTGTTATATGTCATAATGCAGATAGGAGAAGAACACAAATTACCGGCTCAAAGGAAATTCTATGATATCTGGCTACACATTTTGGAAATCGTGCACTAAAAAATCTTTTCAAGCATGTCGTAGATGAATGCGTGGAACGAGGCAAAGAGAGAAAGAGTTCAAACAAAAAAGCAAAGAAGTGATATCATTCAGTTACAATGTTACATTTTCTAGATTATACGTTAAATTTTAATTTGCGAGGTTGTTTTCTTTAATATATTCAATGTTTCCATTTATTTGATTAGTTATTTAATGATGGATTTCAAGGAATTTAGAGTATGAATCGTTTACTCAAGTCAGTCGACCTCGTAGGCAGAGCACCGGTCGACCTATGTCACTTTTAGTTAACTCCTAAACGATGTTGAATAAGGATTCAGTTCTGGTGATTTTTTTTAATAAGCCAGTTCTGGTGATTTTCTTGACTAGCAAATGGTCGACCA